GAGAGAGAGTAAGAGAGAGAGCGTGAGAAGATGGAATCTAAAAATTATTTTCATGTTTTCAGGCACCGGCACCTTTGGACGAGTCCAACTCACCCGTCACCGAGAAACCAAGAAGCACTACGCCCTGAAAGTGCTGAATATGCATAAGGTAAGCTAGATACGTTTTGGCCTTAAAAACGCTATTTTAGCTGGTCACCACCCGTCAGGTCGAGCACGTTCACAACGAAAAGCACATTCTCAATTTGATCCAGCACCCGTTCATTGTAAATTTGTAAGTTTTACTGTAGATCAAAAGGCTTTAAAAGGTACCCCAAGACTAAACCTAAGCTGATTGATAACTAGAAGATGTCTAGAGTTGTTTTCCGGATTCCAGACCACCTTATCAGCCCCAAAAATCTTAACCTGACCCCATAAAACTTATGTACCTTGCGTCCCAAGGCGCCAATCCTGTTTTTTGGGCCACTGGGCAGCTGGCCCCGGGCCCCCCGGTTCCACTTAATGATTTCCAGCAAATGGACACATGACCCGGGGCAGGGAATTTTGGATCCGTTCCGGGGACTGGAACGGAATGGAAAATAGAACATTTTACAAAAAGCAGTGAGAAAATCGATAAATTAAAATTACAGTGTTTTTTCAGGCATGCCACCGAACGGGACGAGCGCAACCTGTACATGATTATGGAATTCGTGCCTGGGGGTGAATTGTTTAGGTAAGTAAACTTACATTAACGATATCACTTAAGTGTTAATAATTTTTTCAAGTATATTGCAAGATTATTCTATTTTAAAATCATTTACATTCACGTAAAAATATTATTTTAGCTATCTCCGAGCCGCTCGCCGCTTTTCCCTTCCCATGGCCACCTTCTACGCGGCCGAAATCACCTCAGCCCTCTCATTTTTACATTCCAAAAATATTGTAAGTAATTTTATGCATATTATTAAATGTTTATTATAATATATACATATTAAATAATTTTTATTATAGGTATACCGGGATTTGAAGCCGGAAAACTTGATGCTGACGAAGGAGGGGCACATCAAGATGGCCGATTTCGGATTCGCCAAGGAGCTGCGGGATCGGTTGGTTTTTCTAGAAAGCAGTGTTTTTACAATTTTACCGTGTTTTAAACAATAATAGGTTTTGTGATCTCTTAAAGCTTAGAAAATCCTACTATATATAAAAAAATAGTGTCTGTGTGTGTGTGTGTGCCACTTTGCATCCACTTCCGTCTGTCTGTCCGGAGGATATCTCAAGAAGGGACGGGTATTAGGCTACGTATGATACGTCATTAGGTGCGTAATGGTCTAGGGATGACTGCACACATCTCAGATTTTTAACAATTAGCCATTTTCGCTATTAAATTTAGGTTTTTGTAAAAACCTGTTTGTTAGGGATAATTAGCATAGACCGGAAGTGGGCTTTCGTCTATATAAAGAGGCAGATAGGATCATTTTTCATTTTTTATTGTCTTCTGAGAGGACAATTATGCAAAGGGCGTAATAGCAAGGGTCCGAGACGGGGCCAGGGTTGAAAAGTCGCGAAGCGGCTTTTCAACCCTGGTCTGGCATAATTCCTCAAAAAGCTCGCAAATTTGACTTTTTGGTTGGCTTAAGCCCAAAAAAAATTCAGATCACCCAGTCCGGGACATGACCAAATCGTTACGAACCGGTAATTGAGACGATAACTCGCTCGATTCTGGCCAGATACAACCTCTCAAACCCCCCAAAAACGTTAATTTGGCCAGCATCGATACCTAGCGATTGTTCTCTCTAATTGTTTGGGAGCTCTCTAATGCTTATATCCTATTTTATGAGATGACGAATGAATTTTTGTACTTTGAACCTTACCTTATTAACTCGAAATTTTCAGGACCTACACGCTTTGCGGGACTCCTGAATATTTGGCGCCAGAGTCGGTCGCAAAGAAGGGGCACAATAAGGCCGTGGATTGGTGGGCGTTAGGTAAGTGGGTTTAAGCTTCGGCTTAGGCTTGTCTCAGGCTTAGCTTTGGCTTAGCATGGGCTTAGCTTAGGTTTAGGCTGAGGCTTAGGTTGGGGCTTAGGCTTAAAATTAGCTTAGGCATAGGCTTAGGCTTAAGCGAAGATTTAAGCTTATGCTTAGGTATTATAGTCGAAATACCAGGATTACCATTACTTTCCAGGCATCCTCATCTACGAGATGCTCGTCGGCAAGCCACCATTCGTCGGCAAATGCGCCCAGCAGATCTACGCCGCAATCCTGGAGCACAACCTCAAATTCCCCAGGAGCTTCGACCTCGTCGCAAAGTGAGTCGCTTCTTGCGGTGCTCAAATTCCGATTCAGGGACCTCGTCCGGAAGCTCCTTGAAGAGGACCGAACCCGGCGGCTGGGTTGTATGAAGGGGGGAGCTGAAGACGTGATGGGCCATCGGTTCTTCTCCCATATTAACTGGGATGACGTGGAGACGATGAGGTTGACGGTATGTTTGTTAATAACGCGAAAATACATATACCGATTACAAACATGAAGCATTAATGAAGGCTATACATTTTGTTTTGAGGCTATTTTAAAGGCACAGGCAAGGCAAAACTATAGAGTTTTCTCTGTGGTTTCCTATGAGCTTGTCCGCGTCGTGAGCATCGCCGGAATTCAATTGCGTACTGGGATGCCTCTCTGTGGCGGCTAAGCGGCCAGCGTTGCGTGTCGCGGCAGCAAAAAGGATACGCATAAACAACCATAAGAATTTATAGTAATTTCTTGCACGATCTTTTAAAGTTTTAAGTTTTTTTGGCCGATCCATCGTAGACTGACACGTCCTTTTAAATGGAAAATGCCATCAAATCGGACACAAAAAACATTAATATTCCAATATTTCAGCCTCCGATCGTCCCCACCCTCTACCACGCCGGCGACACGGGCAACTTCGACTCGTATGAAGAAAACACCGACCCCGGACCCGTCGGCACTAAAGAAGAGCTCAAACTCTTCGAGAACTGGTAATCCCTGATCCCTACTTGTCATTTCTGTGATTGTACCTACACCCTGATATGTATTGCGCGCTCAAATTCTGAGCGGCCCATGCCGTTGAAATTCTTGTCATTGCTATCCAGTGCCCCCGGCTACCGTACCCCGCCAGCCAGATTAGCGCGACTCTTGTCCAGCATCGGAACGAGTATACCCCCGGAATTTTTGCCAGGCTACTACTGTGAATTCTCAAATTTTGGAGAATTTATCTTTATTACCCCTTCCTTCGACGCAACGGGTGTATTCCGTCCTCCCCGTAAGAAAATATTCATTAATTTTGTATAACTTTCTTTAATTTTTCTTTTTAATTTTTTTCTATTGCAATATAGTGTGTCTTTAAAGTAGCGGGGTTTTGGTAAATTGAAAAATAAGCTTGTTAATGCATAAAAACGCTTTTCAATTATCAAAACCCAGAAAAACCCCAGAGCTCCTTGATCTCATCAAATTTCACTGTCCCTACCCGGCTTCCGAATTGTGCTATCCTACCTAATCCTGTCCGGTTTCGCCCCCGTTTTTTTCCTTCCAGTAAAACGTACATTCGCGACGACTAGACACTGATTCCGATGGTATGATTATTCTTAAGTTTCGGTTTATATATTGCATAATTTCATTGAGCGTCATGGTTGCGGCGCATAATACATACATTGTCGATTTCGTGTACTGTAGAATAAACAATGTATTAAGAAGGTGGTATGCCTCTAAAATCGCATGCAAATTACCAAATAACACCAAATCTGTCAAAATTCAAAGCACATTGTATCAGAAAAACATAAAAAAACGAGGAAGGACAATTTGTTTAATATCGAAGTTCGTCGTTTGTAAGAATTTTGCAAAAAAAACTGGATGCAGATCATGAAATAAAGATGGTATAGTATCTCACTACGAAAATGCAAAAATTTTATTGCTTTTGGAAATTAGTGGAAAATATGGCTTGAAATGCTCCTCGGGGAAACAGCCAAAATGACGACATTCAAAATGACGACAGCCAAAATGCCGACAGCCAAAATGACGACAGCCAAAATTACGACAGCCAAAATGCCGACAGCCAAAATGCCGACAGCCAGAATAGCGACAGCCAGATGACGATACGACGACAGCCAAAATAGCGACAGCCAAAATGGCGACATTCAAAATGACGACATTCAAAATGACGACATGCAAAAATTTGAGTTTTCCCAGCTATTATGGCTGATTTTGCATGTCGTCATTTTGAATGTCGTCATTTTGAATGTCGCTATTCTGGCTGTCGCTATTTTGGCTGTCGTCATTATGGCTGTCGTCATTCTGGCTGTCGCTATTCTGGCTGTCGGCATTTTGGCTGTCGTCATTTCGAATGTCGTCATTTTGGCTGTCGTCATTTCGAATGTCGTCATTTTGGCCGGAAATCTGCTCCTCGAATTAACATATGTCCAACTGTTGAAGCTTTTCTTCAGCTTAAGTCTAAGCCAATGCCTTAAGTTTCTTGCGAAGGCAGCTTTACATTTTTTTAACCTTCTAAAGCTTTGACATTTTTGCGTTGTTGGTGATTGCAAACCCAATTTCAATTGTCTTAATTTTTGAAGCTTCCCCACCCAAAGAACACAAGAAATCGGTTGCACCGACATTTCAATGGAGCAGAAAGCAGAAATTGCGGGCCCGGTTCAAAAGATGAATACCAAATTACGGTGCCTGAATGCGAACAAAAGCTCGGTTACTAGGCGATCGGCGGACAATGGTTGGATCGGAAGCAGCAATGAGGGTGGAGCTTTTCGACGATTCCCGAACAGCTGTCTGACGGTTCAGAAGGTGTTTGTGCGGTTTTTTGCCCGCTGTTTAAGGTGATTCTAGTGCTGGCGACGTCACCAAGCAGTTCACGCTTGTTCCTTTTGCTTAATTTTGTCAAGCCGCCTCCCTTTGAATAACCTCGTAAATTCGCGAAAACTCTATTAATCGCAAGCAATACTCGTAGCCTTGAATGGCACTTTGCTAGATATCTTTTCAGCATTCTAGGTCACAATGGGCGAGGCCAACGTCTTCAACACGTTCTCCTTCAACAAATGGGCCGAGCAGAAGAAAGAGGAGGAGATTGACAAGGAGACCAAGAGAAGGAGACATGAACAGGTCCCAACACTAAGAGTCCAATGTTATACCGGAATTTCAGATCAAGCGTCTGAAGGAGAAGCTTCGAAAAGAACGAGCGCTGCGCGAGGCCGGGATGGGTGACGGGGATTTTGACTTGGAGCTGCTGATCCAGGCAATTCAGAATGGGCAGTATGAAGATGTTGAAGAGACTCATATCACGACGGAGGAGAAATGTGGGTTTTAAAGGGCACGTTCAAGGACATTTTTTTGGAAAAAAGTACAGTTTTTTGCTGCGGCCGGGGGTCGAACCCGGGCCCCCCGCTCGGGAGGCGCGGATGGATACCAGTCAGCCACAGCTACAGCCTGGCGAGGGGTCGAGGGGCGCCCCACGCCACAAAGGAGGGGATTGGCCTGTCACAGCACTGGCAGGCAGCGCGCGCGGTCCCTACGTCCATAGGGTGTACACGTTGAGACGAGTACACGGCCCCTCCCTGAACGTGCGCTTTAAAGGAGCGGTCAAGGCGAGGCCATGGATTCGGTTGGATGGATTGCTTATAGATAGGCTTGGGCTTGGCTTGGGCTTAGGTTTTCATAGTAGCATCGAAGGTCATTCTTATTCAGCTACCGAAGAGAGACCGATGACTGCAGCCGCATTCCGTGGCGATCCGACGAGTGACGACTACATTTTATCAGAGGTATCTTCTTTCCTAGTACCCCGATTTCCGTGTAGGTCCTACGATACACTCACGATCATCCGGACGGCGGAAATTATCGAAAACCCGACCGTCCATTAACTGCTAATCGAGATACAGGTTTGAAAACTGCAGAAGTCTCTCAAAAACCACTTAGAAATCGACAAATTCAACTACAACCGTCGGCTGGCCGAGCTGTTGGATAAGGACAAGGTATAGCTGATCGAGTTCGTAAAATTAAAGTCAATTCAGCTTGAAAACGAGAAAATCCGGCCTAAGACTCCACCGCGAGCTCGCACTCCCTCTCGGCCAAGAACTCGAGATTATCAAAGACCGCCAAGTAGGCGACCACCCTCCAGCGATTCCTTCAAGTATAATCGGAAGATGAGCGAGATTGTTATATAAAGATAAATTTAATAAAGTACAACATAGGAAAATAAATAACGTACGATCGGCAAGAACCAAGTAACATATCGTTCCTTTCTTAACTGAAACGCTACAATTTGTGCTTGTTACGTTACTACTTCAAACAAGGCAACTGGTACCCTCATCTCGCGGTGAAAACGGAAGTTTTATCCCTAGAAAAGCTAAAGTCGTTAAAAACATTATATACGAACAATGAACCTCATTATTATATATGAACGAACAAAATTCCGATTTCGCTTCCCCCTTTCTCTCTCTCTTTCTCTCTGTCTCTCTCTCTCTCTCTCTCTCTCTCTCTCTCTCTCTCTCTCTCTCTCTCTCTCTCTCTCTCTCTCTCTCTCTCTCTCTCTCTCTTTCTCTTCTCTCTCTCTCTCTCTCTCTCTCTCTCTCTCTCTCTCTCTCTCTTCGTAATATCATCTGTTATACCATCATCTTTCCTCTGATGCTATTCTTCGACAGGTTTATGCGCGATTCGATAAGTGCGCCTCGCCACCAGCAGCCGGTCCACTCTTAACCATATGCATTATCGACTTTGCCGCAGGGCCGGTGCCTCGGGTGACAAAATTATGGGGGTGGCTGTTTGGCCTGATAAAATCGATGTTTTTGATGTTGATCCGACGGCGTAGCTCACTATGGTATCACCTCAAAGCTACGTGTGTAGGCTATGCTATGTGTACGCTATGTGTGTATTTTTTTGGAAAATATAAGGCGAAGTTTATGTTATTAATGCTTCAAAATTAGTTGTATAACCGAAAATAGAGGACCATTTTTTGATATAGATTTTTGCTTCCTGATTCCTATGGTCTCCTCAAAAAAATCCAAGACTATACACTTGAAAACGACTCGAACGATTCGAAGCGAATGTCATAAAATTCTTAATCCTCGATTCCATCTCCCGGGTGTAATCTGTCGGTATGTATGCCTTTGCCTCCGCGCCGCTACTTCGACCGAAAATGTTTTGAATTGGGGTCGGAAGAAGCCAGCGCTGGGGGGCGGAAGCGCGCGATTCGAGGCTGGTGGTCTGGTTGAACGGAGTGACCGCAGCCAGAGAGTGTGCGAACACCAGAGGGGCAGATGACACAGAGGCGTGAGAGAGCACTTGAGAGCACGAGACACAGACACGAAAAGCGAACAAAGCGATGGACAGACAGACTGCACTTGCACGAACAGGAGAGAGAGAGAGAGAGAGAGAGAGAGAGAGAGAGCGCCAGGCGACCAGTCAGCACGAAAAGACGCCAACACCAAGGGGGGCCGGAGTCCATGTGGCTCCGGGCGGTGCTGCTGCGACCCCAAAAAAGGAGCCCCAATTTGAATCGCCTCCACCCGCCTTGGGTTCACTGCCTCCGATCTCCCTACCCTACCCGCTACGCTTCGCCTCATCCATCCCCCACTCAGCTGCGAGGGAATGGATTGTTTTTTGAGGGTTCTCATGCTCTCGGCCATTTTTGAACGCGAACCCTTTTTACTTTTGAACATGGCGTGGACAATTTACGGCATGTAATTATGTCAGAAATGTACCTTAAGAAAAATGTCTGCTAGATAAGTTTTTTGCTCGTTTTTTGGTGGCAATTTTTGTTCTTTCAATCGTATTGTATAGGCAGAAAAAAGAGGAACTATCAAAGTATTTAAATATATAAAGAATTGTTGAAATAGCTACTACTTATTCGCAGGACAAACCACTTGGTTTTCGTGAATTCTTTAGGAGTAACGTTATTCTAATCTAACTTTAATTACTTCACCTTCACCAACCACTTTCTAGTTTTCCACCTGTTGGTAATATATAATGTATTTTGATAGCGTTTTTAGCAGATTTTTATTGCTAGAAAGTTGCTAAAAATATTGAAATTGAAATTAGAAAATTATAAAATTTTTACCTTTTTTGGTCATTTTTCATCCATTTTTGACAAAGTCAAGAAATTTCGAAAATTTTCTTATGTTTCATATTGTTTTTATACCTAAAAATTATGTAAAATGCCTATAGAATGGTTTTGTATTTTGTTAAAGGGCCGTAGAGAATCATAGGGAAAAACTGGGTCCCCCCCCCCCCCCGCTAACAGTCCAGAACTGAAAAACCTGGCAAGAAAACCTCACAGCTGCAGCTTTCGCGCCCTTTTCTTGAGCACCTGGGCCAGCCAGTTCTCGTAAGGGGGTCGAATGTCGACAGGCAATCACTCGAATCGCTTCCTCATCCCCTCATCAACTACTCGCAACGCGTCGACTTGTACTTTGTCTAGTCCACGTTGCTGAACCCTGCGGTGCCGACCGCCGCCAAATCCGATGCCCTTTTTGGCGGGGGTAGTGCGTGATAAATGGCCGGGGTCCTTCCCCCTGCCCTATTCGGGATGGCCCCAGTGATCCGGGCCGGGCCCAACATGTGCCTATTCATCCCGGCGGGCCCTTTTACGCTTTTTTTTTCCACGCGGCTACGCTAGGCTCCCACGCCCATTTTATCAGTTCTCAAGCGCTCGGTGGGGACGACCCCGGTCGTAATTCTGGCGATTGAACTTATACGATTTTCAGGACGATTCTTGGGGCCTTATTTATCCATTTAATCGCAGAACTTCTGAAATTTTTCTGGGAACTTGGAATCACTCGAAGAAACGGCCCGTGGTAGTTAGAACATCAAGAAAAAATCACTGCCAAATTTCACTATTTTTTTTAGTTCGCCATCTGTCTTTCGTCCAAAAAATTCAGTAATAAAACTTTTAAAGCGCGTCTATTTTGTTCCAGCAACGCTTTAAATGGTTCTCATAACTAGCTAACAACCGAAGAATCAGTGCTTCAGATAACTCGTCAGATAACCGCTAAAAAGCCGGCAAAACCAATTTCAAAGCCATTTAATTACTTTCCAAACAACGGGCCAGTTTTTCGCCCATGATCAGCGCTAGAATGCTGTAAAAATAATCCCTTTCGCTGGGCATGTCACGTTTGTATCCGATATTTTATCAAGTTTGAGAAAATTCTACTACCTTTCAAAATTTAGGCGCCAATTTTCAGCCGGAAAATCAAAAAAAAACTGCTCCTCTTGGTCAAGCCAATAGCCATCAACCCGAGCTACGGTCAACAATACCTTCCACAAATATGAAAAAATCCCCAAAACAACCGCTAACCAACCCTATTTATCGTTTACGACCGAACCCACCGCTCAAACCCAAAATTTCGTCCACAACCGGGACCCGCGAAAATACCCCCCTACGTACCGTTGTTTGTATTTACCCCCGGGCCCCCTCGGTTTTTAAAAAGCTATCGGGTCTCCGGGACAACACCAACGGGGCTGTTTTGAGCGGGTCTCTGTGTTCCGCTGGACGTTGCCGCGGCTAGTGAGTGGCCCGACCAGGGTCCGATCCCAAAAAGTGCGTTCTCGGGTTTAGGGTCGTCTTGACCACGTGTGTATCGCTGAGGCAGTGCCAGTCACTCCTACTATTCCCGTGACAAAAAACGGCGCCGCCGACGATGAGACGACTTGGCGCCGCCCCTGTCAGCTGGCTAATATTTTTGGACTCGACGGGGTTGAGGGATGGTCAGAAGATTCCTGACTCATTTTTATGCGGAAAACGATGCCTTTTGGACTTCTAGCGAACCTTACGAGCTCTAACAAGGTGTATATTTTTTTTGAGTCATCGGCAAAACGGTTCGAGACAAAGCGCATTCGATAGAAAATTGAAATTCGCGCAAGCTTCGGTTGTTCATTTTTAAGGAATGGCTTCCCATTTAATAAAATTAAAAAAAATCACCTGGTAATTTTCTAATTTTATAAAACCAGGGACACCCATTCCGCCAAAAAACAAACGACGGAAGCTTGTCCAGAATTCAATTCGACGTCGAATCAACGACGTCTCAAACCGCTTTTCCGATCACTCAAAAGCACACTTCCTCTTAGTGATCGTAAGGTCGGTAAACCACAAAAATATCGCTTTCGCATAAAAAAATGAGTCACTGGTACCACCTCCGATACGCCTAGTCTAGTTATTAAACGACTATAATCCTATTTACCCGCTCTCGAAAGCTACACTTTCTGTTCGACCACCTCGATCATCACACCAAAAAATTCATATCTATCGCTCGCTGCCCTCGTTGACCTATCCCTCCACACAATCCAACAATCCCCCGTTTCAATAACCCGATTTTTCCGGGCACATCCACTGGTTTTTTTGTGGAAGAGCCGACCCCCCCGTGTGCGGTCGGTGGTTCCCTTCGGGCTTTTGAAAGCCGGTCATTTTCTGCTCACCGTTCCCAGCCATTCCCCCCATTCAACATCTGCCCCGCTTCGGTGCAAGCCGACCAGCCGGCCTTTAGTCACTCGCTAATTCCCTCTTCAGCAACCCGCTGCTCGATTAGTTTCAATTTGGCTCCTCACCCGTTCAGCTTCTTCTGGCAGCGGACTGGCAAAGAAGTGAAATCCTGGGCGGTTGTCAGTTGGGTGCGGTCGGATTTTTATGCGAATGGGATGCCAAAAATCGAAAGCTGGTTCGATTTTTGGTCTTGCTATTCGTTTACGACTTCAACACATCGCCCATAAACTGTTTTCATGTAAGGATTCGGTTGCTGGTTGAAAAAAACCTTTTCGCATCACTACAATTCATCCTTTAAGAAAAACGCGCACGAAAGAGGCCGGGGGAGCTAGACTACGCCGCGCTCCAAAACCCTCGCGTAACTGGATAGAAAGCAAAGGGGCAAAAAAATTTTTACTTTCATCACGCTGTAACTTTTTTCTACGCGACTTTCATAATCTACTTGAACGCTGGAAAAATAGAAGAGAATTTTCTTTATCTTATGAAAGCGGTTTCGCGAAAATTGAGCGTGGCAAACGGGACTTCTGATTTTTTGAAGTTTGAAAAATGAGGTGTCAGTTATCGAGTGGGCTTGTATCCAGCTAAATACTAGCCCAAGGACCTGAATTGCATTTTTTTTTGTAGACTCTCTGTTATAAACCACCCAGATAAAACCTAAACTTGAGGTTTTTGAGATTTACTTGACGGTTTCAGTCGAAGTTTTCAGAAGTTTTCAACTGGCCAGAACGTTTTTCGACGACGGTTTTCGATTATAATTACGGCCTAGGGACATGGAACAGACTTCGCTCTATCTTTCGCACATATTTTTAGAATATCCTAGCGTAGAAATTTAGCGAGCGGGACATGGAAGAGGGCAAATGAGCTTGCGATTTTATTGGCCTATTCGGCCTGGACAGAAGGTGCTGGCTGGCTTTTTTTGGTTTTATAGCGTTACGGCAACCTATTATGAACGGTTGGAGCAAAAAGCAAAAAGAAAATGCAGACGGCTGTGGCCCCGGGAACCGAACCCGCATCCCCTGTCTCGGGGCTGGACCGCCGCCTTATACCACTACACCACGCCCCGACCACCCCTCTCGTGCGCGCTCTGAAAGGCCGTGGCATGATGTTCTCTTTATAAAACTGCACCCGAACAAGGCTAATCAAATTCCTTTCATAAAAAGTCATGTGCATTAGAAAATCCAGGTAAAAAATTATCGTAAAGTAACATAATAGAACTAAAACAATCTATATTTTTCTATTTACTAATGAAAGGAAAGCTAAACAAGTTTTTAATAACGGAAACCCGGAAAATCAACTTTCGTGTACGCGACAATACCTCTTAACACAGTACGTACTGTCCAGCGTTGTATTACGTACGGGCGCCGGTTATTTTTCGATATTTTTCATTTACTCGCCCGCTTTTCACGGTCCACATGAAGGTGAGATAACTTTTCCCAGTCCCAGCGTCGCCCCGACAGTTTGCCCAATTGATGACCACAGCTCTGGGCCACACCCGGATCAATGGGTCCCCCAACGGTCCGTTGACCCCTAGGCCCCCGGTGCGAGCCATCCGTCTCTTCCGTCCTCATCCTTGCTCGGCGTTTCCAAATTTGGCCGTTTATTTGCGCGACACGAGGGATGGGGGGGGGACATTTCGGACGTCTGCTGGCTACCGGCCCGACGCCAGTCCTTTTTTGCCGCTTCCTCGTCGCCCGCACACGTTCGTTGGACCGTTGCGCCGGGTGCAGTCACATTTCCGGGTTTAATTAGATGTTTCCCTTTGAACCGCTCCTTTCTAACTGTTTCTGTGCTTGGTTTTTGACTTCTTGGCGTATTTTTCTCACAATAGACGTCATTTAGCTTGCCGCTGCCCTTTCTAATTTTTTGAAGCAAACTAGCTTATTTCGTGTCAAGTCTATGACCACTTTTCGAAAGGAATGCATTATCCATTTTTTTCAACTATACGATTGACCCAGACAACACCCAGGGTTCACTTCCCCCTGTCGCTCAAACTGACCACGGTGACCCAGCGTAAAGCAGTTGTTCTCTCCCAGTTAGGGCGAAAAAAGAGCTTTAGTTTTTTTTTCTGCACGAACGGTTCAAATTTCTTCGTTATGATAGGCAGCTTCCGCGTTTTTCGCATTGACCTTTCAAAGATTTATCGTTTTTCTGCTTTCTGTATTAAATTTACCATCTTTTTCAGCCCTGTGAATGGCCCACACACCGATGAAGTCACTGGTAGCCCTTGCCACCGAGAAGCTTCTTCTGAAGACCTCTGGCAACACGTTCCTCGAAGGGGTTGCCTTCATGTACAGCGCGGGCCTATCCCCAGATCGGTAAATTTGTCCTTTGCAATCTCTTATTTTCCTTTTTAGGGTCTCCGTGATGCGGACACAGGAAGACAAGAAGTACATTTTGATGTTCCACTCCAAATGCGACATCCGGCCATTTGCGGTACAAATTTTGATTCATTATTTTCATCTAATTTTAGGCAAACTATGCATCGTTCGACAGAGTCCTCCGTGGACTCGTACACATCCGCGCGTGGCACCTAAAATCGATTGAATTCGTCGACATCGATTTCCGGTCAAAGGACATGCCGCACTTGGAGAGAACGATCGACGTAAGTTCTTTGTTGAACAAATTGACATTTGCTTTTTCTTAGAAACTAGGCGTTGACCTGGTCGTGTTGCGGAATTGCACATACCACGGAATCCAGCCCGGCGAGGAATCGCAGAAGCTTCTAAACGCGTTGAACAGGCAATTTATTCTATCGTTAGTTTTATTCTTTTTTTTCAGGAAAAAGCAAGCGGTTGTCTGTGAATACGGCGACACACGGCTGAAGCATCGCTTATGCCGACGCCCGACCGCACCGGCCCCCGACGTCCCTGCGCTTGGACAGCAAAAGTAAATTGTCATTCCTTTTTTATGTAATTCTTTTCAGCGTTCCCGATGATGATGCCGTTTCAATGATGGCGCCGGCAGCACCACGTCCGCAGAATCACAGGGCCAGACGGTAGTCTTAATTTAGAACCGGCCTTCTACCCGTATCTCATCCTTATGCAATTCCAACGGAATCCGGATATATAATTCTCGTTTCCTGACCTCGGCCTAAAATTTAGTCTTTCCGACTTTTCTAGTTTTGGTGCGTTCCCACAACTAACTCAAATTCCCCCTTATATGTGCCGATCATTGCTAGCTGATTATTTGTGTGTGTATTCAACGAAGTAGCGGGTCCTATTCCATCATCCAGACAATCAGCCCTTCAAGTTATCCCTAATATTTCGATGGCACAGCCTTTTGTGCCAGCCAAAAAATACCCCCGTCACGATGTGTTTTACTTATTTTGCGCCTTTTATGTTTAGAAGCCTAATCCACGCTATGGGTATCGCCTGTAATATGCTCTCCATTTTAATAACATTGATTGCAATAAAGTGTTAGAAGTCATTTCACTTCACCGAAATCACATGCGGATTATAGACACGTGCAAGCCGGCGACACCTAAAGAGGTTTTTGAGGAGCTTTTTCATGCATTGGGGCGCGTTGTTTTCTGCCAAGGCCACTCTGTAGTCTGCAGCCGGAGTGCCGGCGCAGTTGTTTGCGATAAGCGCGGTCGATTTGGCATCGCGGCCCCCCGCTTTATTGGTTTCTTGACAAAACTTATGCAACGCTAGGTTGTTGTTTGTTTTCCTTGCTCAAAACCGCAATTAGTGTTTCAGGAAGAAGCCGTATGGATCTCCACGAATCTCTGGATGTTGTGGTGCAGCATTTGAAAAGGTACTGTATTTTTTTGGTCCAAGATGTATAAAAGAAGTCGAAAACGTGCAGAATTTTTAAATTTACAGAGAACCTGTGAGGGCTTTTCCGTAAACGGAAATTATTAAAAACTTTAAAAAATACGTTGTGTTATTACTAGGAAGGTTAGGCTGAATAAAGGAATTGATTCTATTTTCAGCAACATCCAATGGATCTTACTACCAGCCGGCCTCTACGCAATTTCAAAGTTGGCCCAGAAGCTCGTCCCCGGCCCGCACAACCAACCTCGCCTCAGCTTCCGCGACAAAACTGTCCTGATTACAGGTAATTTGATTTTCTAAATGCCTTTACATTTCCTTATCCAGGTGCTTCAACGGGTCTTGGCCGCGCCCTGGCCACCGAGCTGTACGCACGTGGCGCAAAGCTGATCCTCACCGCCCGCTCGATTGACAAGCTTCGTGAGCTCGCCGAGGAGCTGAAGGCGTCTGGTGTTCAAAACAAGCACGAGCCGGCATACCGGTAACTATTATCCGAAAAAAAAATTGGAAAGTTACTTTTGGATACCTGGACATTTGCGAGCCGACAGATCTGGAAAAACTGGTCGAGCTGTCGATCGACGGGAAGACGATCGATGTCCTCATCAACAACGCCGGTCTCTCGAATCGCGGCCCGATTACCGACACGCCGATCAAGATTCAGCGACAAATTATGGAAGCATGCCATTTTACTTGTTATTTAATATTTTACTCCAGGTAAACTACTTTGGCCACATCACGGTGACAAAAGCCCTGCTGCCGTTTATTCCGGACGAAGGTGTGGCCAATTTAAGCATTTCAACTTCAACTTTTTAGGGTGTATCATTGTTACGAGCAGCTTGCAAGGGCGCGTTGCAGTGCCATATCGAAGCGCATATTCGGCGAGTAAGCACGCTCTGCAGGTACTTAGTTCTTCTACTTCGATTTAATTTCCTTTAGGGTTTCTTCGATTCGATGCGAGGCGAGGAGCGCCACAACCTGCAGATCCTCATCGTGTCGGCTGGCTATATGAATACCGGATTTGGCGCGAAGGTGAGAAGAATTCGGCTATCAGATCCTTTCTTAGGCTCTTGACATCAATGGGCAACCAGTGGCAAAGGAGGACCAGGACCAAGCCAAGGGCTATTCTTCAGAATATTCGGCCAAAGCTATCCTGGATTCCGCGGAAAGGTAGTTACTTTTACAGCGCCTTGATAAACCTAATTTTTTTAGAAGAGACATCGAGCTCATCCTAGCCCCGTTCGTCCACAGAACCGGAATTTTCTTGAGGTAACCGTTTCGTTTTCGTTCAAAAATTTCTCTTTTTCAGATGGCTTTGGCCGACTCTTTTCTACCGCCTGATGTACAAGCGCAGTCTCAAGGATGAATACGGGAAGAAGCAACAATGATTTTTTAGATTTTGATATGTTTTTCTAGTGGATAAATTGTGCATTTCGATATTTTTGTGAAGCTTGTTCAACCGTTTTGTTCGGTAAGATTTTGTCAATTCCTTGACTACGGGCGCTCCAATTGACACCTCTCTTTGTGCGCTGATCGTAACTCGTTGGACCAGCAGGATTCGAAATTTCTAAATGCTCTTCGCGGTTTATTTCTAAAAATCTTCGCTTTTTAGAATTGCTTTTGATATTTTGAATTACTTGACGATTTATACTCGTAGGCCTTAAAGGCACCTCAAAATTTCATGTGTGTAAGAACGTTGACACGCACTGAATTTGTTTTAGCATGCTGTTTCTCTAAATTTCTATTCTCGATTTCTTTATCAATTATCACTATAGTTCTTTTCCAGAGCAAAGATGAGCGCACGCGGCAAAGTTCAGAAGGTGATGGTCCAACCCATCAACCTCATCTTCCGGTACCTCCAGGGAAGAACGCGCGTCCAGTTTTGGCTGTATGAAAATGTCACAACCAGGTTGGGTTTGTTATGAGTTGCTTATTATTGAGTGTGCCGCCTTTTAATTTCTTGGTTAGATAATCTAGCTTTTTTCCAGAATCGAAGGCTACATCCTTGGCTTCGACGAGTACATGAACATCGTTGTCGACGAGGCCGAAGAAGTCAATGTAAAAACCTCAAACAGCTCAAAGGTACCCCGGGTCTCCTTTTCATTATTCTTGTTTAGATCGGACGAATCCTGCTGAAGGGCGACAACATCACGTTGATCCGCAGCGTCTAGACGGGCCTTTTTCGTAACTTATACCGATGATTTCAACTTTTATCGACGTCAATCCTTGCTTATCTTTGGGTCCATTTCTATTGTTTTCTTTTACGAGGTCTTCCTCGATCTCCGGTTGTTTTGGAAGACTTGATTCCTCACACTTTTGTTACCTTGAATGTTCTATCAATAAAGCGATTCCACCCATTAGACGACTATGTTATCGAAGAACGTGAAAGGTTAGGTTTTGCAGTGGTTCGAAATGGTGGTGTGCTTTGCTGCATGGCGATACGCGTTGTTTCTTGAACGCTGAAACTTTCATCTAGTTTTGGATCACTGCCGCGCGGGAAGATGCATGGACCCAGCGAGGTTTATCGGAGGCGATCGCCAGGTTTCATCGTATGCACGACGCTCTATCTTGATCATCGTCGTTTTTGGGAGGGGCGGGACGATTTTCTGCAGATCCCAGGTTGCGAGGATGTCACATCTTTCGATATCGTTTGTTTGTAATGCGCGCCATCGAATCCAGCGTGGTGCCATTATTACATCGCAAGAAACTTTGAGTTAAAAGATAGCGGGAATTTACTAGCAGTCTACGATTTCAGGCAGTTGCGAATACTCGGTCTTGCATTGTCCTTATCCCTGCGTAGAGAAGGATACGACGCTACGCCGAGACATAAACTGGAAATTCGATTAAAGAACATTTCCCCAATTCGCTGCCCGGAATTTTCCCGTTTTGGCGATGATCTGCGCTCCCTATTTTTGTTTTTAGGGACCCCGATCCCTTACAGTTTTCTATTTGCAGAGCGTTTTTCACGCTTGGCTGCTTTGGCGTAGTTGACTATTCACTTTTTCATTTTCAGTCAAAACGATGGCGGTGAGCACGGAAGGAAAGGTAATTTACGATCTTTGACATTTTAAAGGGACGGTGCCAACGGTTTGTTTGACATAATTTAGCCTACTTGTGCCATAAAAAGCTGGTTGCTTTACTACAGCTGGCCTTATTACGTTTGCCAAAAAAATAACGTTTTACTATTACGTTTTTTGTAGACGCTTGAATTATATTAAGTAAAATCAATTGATTTTTAGTCGATTACATGCCGCGCCGCGGTCCTCTGGGCGGCTAATGACCTGAAAGTCGAGACTATCGAGGTGGCGCCGCCGAAAAAGGGGGAAGTTCGAGTGAAGGTAACATTTTTAACGGTTGTTTTCATAGATCTTAGGTACTTTTCAATGCCCTCTGCCATACCGATCTGCACTTTATTGGCGGAGGAATGCCGGGTTAAATTTTGTGCATTAAAATTATCAGCTTTTTAGCCCCCTACCCGGTTATAATGGGTCACGAGGCGACCGGAATTGTGGAAAGTGTTGGAGAAGGGGTGACGAATTTCAAGCCTGGTATAAAAATTACAAAAAAAATGAAAATATTCTTATCTGGGTGATGCCGTGATTCCGATTTTCATGCCTCAATGTCTGCAATGCGGGAATTGCAAGAGGAACGACAACAACTTTTGCGAGACGCTTAGGTAAGTCAGTAAATTAAATGTTTTTTAGGGGAATCTCTATCACGTTTTTAATAAGTTACGCTACGTTAAATCGATTATAATGCTCCAACCTCCAAAATTTCAGCCTTACCAACTTCTTTGCCGATATGGGCGACGGTACCTCCAGGTTCACATGCAAAGGCCAAAAGGTAGGCGGGCGAAAAGCTGAAAAATCCTGATAATACGCAGGTCTCGCACTTCTTCGGGACCTCGACGTTCAGCGAGTATACGGTCGTCAAAGCGACAATGTTGGCCAAGGTCTCCTTATTGAAAAAAAACCCAAGAAAAAGTGGAATCCAGATAGATTCGGCAGCTCCGATGGAAAAGGCGTGCCTGGTCGGCTGTGGATTCACGACAGGTTTTGGCTCGGCGATGAACTCGGCTGAGGTATGATGAGTAGGCCAAAGTATAAGGATTGAGCGTAGGCTTGAAAATTTAGAATCTTTAGATTCGTCCTGATGATAGCGTGGCCGTATTCGGGGCTGGTTGCGTAGGGCTTTCGGCTATGCATGGAGCGCAAAATGCCGGTGCCAAGGAGATCTTCGCCATCGACATCAACCCCGACAAGGAGAAAATTGGTATCGAAATCCTCATCCAAAAATTTTAATTGATTTAGCTCGTGAAATGGGAGCAACAGGGTTTGTGAATCCTAAGGATTGCCCCGAGGGGAAGCCGTTTGCTGTAAGTTGGAATTGGACAGTACATCAGCATACAAATTCTCTTCAGGAGTGGTACATCGAAAAATTTGGACACGTCGACAGAGCCATTGAATGTATTGGGAATATCGATTGCATGGTATTTTAACGTTGTTACGAAAGTATAAGTTCAGCCTAAGCTAAGCCTGAGCTTAGCCTAACTGTAAAGTGTTTTTACTCAGACTGGCATTTTAGGAGGGGACCAAGCCTATCTTGTTCAGATTTTTTTGCTAATTCCGAATCCGTTTTCCAAATTTGCTACGGACTTCGCGTTGAAAAGTCATTTTTGGTCTAAATTAAGCTTAAAAACGGCATAAATTCGGATGCTGGCCCACTATTCCCTGTCTGGGTGCAGGTATTGTTGTGCCCCTTATCTACCCTCCCAAAGCCCCCTACCCAGTTGACACCATGGTGCATTTGTAAGCTGTTCGCTTGCCAGGCACAGGGCGGCGGTTCGAGCCCCGCCCGGTACAACTTCTTTTGCTTTTTGCACAAAAACACATGATTTTTTGCATAAAATCGTGCTTGGACCTCTAAAACCATTACCGAGCCAGTTTTAACGTCGGAGGTGGCGACAACTTGAAAAATAACGCAAAAAATCCAGATTTAGTCAACTTTTTTAGCCTAAATGTCGAATAACTTTTTAAATAAAGGTCGGCAGCAAATTTGAAAACCAGTTTCTGAATCAGCGAAAAATTCTGCACAAGATAGGCTTGGTCCCATTCTAAAACGCCAGCCTGAGTAAAAACACTTTACAGTAAGCTAAGCCTAAGCCTAAGCCCAAGCCTGAGCGTCCGTACTTACCTTACCGTATCTTTCGTTAGAAAAATGCTGTCTACATCACGAAACCGGGCTGGGGCCGCACGGTAATTGTCGGGCTTGGCGCCCCCGGCAAGGAGTTCAGCATCAACCCACTAGTTTTCCTGGAACGTAAGACGATTTTGGGCAGCTGTTATGGAGGTATGCACGAAAATTAAGCTATAAAAACGATATCATCAGATTACCGCGTGCAAGACGCGCCAAAACTCGTTGAAAAGATCCAGACCGGCGCCATCAATATTGATCCGCTGATCACGCACCGTTTCGAGTTGAAAGATGTAAACCAGGCCGTCGAGCTGCTGAAGCAGGGGAAATGGTATTTGGACTAGTGATTTATTTCAATTATTCTGGTTGATTTTCAGCATCCGTTCCGTCATCTCCCTGGCCCGGCACGAGTAGATTTTGGCCCTGAATAAAGTGTAGTACTTTCCCAGACTGTTTACACCTACGAAAATACCTGGATTTCCATGGCAGAGTGGTAATAACAATGGAAAAAGGAGATGCTAATTTTTGTTGTTGATGTTCGCTTTCGGGATTACTGCGTATCTTTCATTACACTGCTGCCATTTTGCCAAAAAGCGAGGGGCTACTCGTTTTACTCAAATTATTGCTAGTTATGTCAACTGAAAGAAAGGTGCGTTTTACAGATCAGACAGTGCCGCGGCGCATAGACGCTTCCATCTTCGCGCAGCGTTCCGTAAAAACTTGTAAACTATTGGAAAATGTTAAAGATTTACATCTAAATTTATTAAATGACATGATAGACTATAACCTACCGGCATAATGCTTAATGCATGTTTAAAGTGCGTAATGCAAACTCTACCTTCGACCTCAAACCCTATTATTTTCTTTGGATCTGGCCCACAACCTAGCGTCAGCTCAAAAGAGTACCCAGAGTGCAGAAAAACATATTGACTGCCCCTCCCTCAAAGGGCTGCAAAAAGAGGGACGGAAAATGAGCGCCCATCCCATATAAATAGCGTCGAAATACCGGTATTCCTGCCTTTGCAAGTGTAAATTGTAAAGAAAGTACTACTAAAAATGTTTGCCGCCATTTCTGCATGCGATCCGGCTGGAGCCGATATTCAGGCCCCGAATCAAAGTGGGAACAAGACGCGAATGGAATGCACCGGTCAGGTAAACTTTTTTATCGATTTTTTAAGGGTTTAAGAGATTTTTTAAGACTAGGGGTCCCTGGAGATCACATTAACTATGAAAATAAATTGATATTTGAAATTTAGACTTAATTTTTTTTAGACGATCAAATGCAAAGCTCTGGTCATCTGGGGCAAGAAAAACATCAAGCTCGAAGAAATTGAGGTCGACCCGCCCAAGGCTGGGGAGGTACGCATTAAGGTGAGCTATTTGGTATAAACTACAAAATACAACAATAAACTACAAATAAAAACTTTCGATGTTTTTAGATGCTCTACAACGCATTATGTCACACCGATATCGCCCTGATTAATGGATGGGTGGTTGGAGGTAAGAAGAATCCCGATTTTTTTTATTTAGCTTAATTTTCAAGCTTTATTCCTCTTGTAAATTTTTCATCATTATACATACGTTGTTAAATTTAGCAAAATACCCCTGCATCCCCGGCCACGAGGCAACAGCTGAGGTGGAAAGCGTTGGGGAGGGCGTGACACGACTTCAACCTGGTAATCCATAAACGAACATCGAGGACGCTAATTTCAGGCGATATCGTAATCCCAACCCCGTTCCCGCAATGTAATAAATGCAAAATGTGCACGAGTGGCAAGACGAACCTTTGTGAGGAGATGGAGTAAGTAAAATTTGAAAATTCAAACTTTTTGGATTAGCTTGAATCAGCTAACAATGCCACTCGGCGATGGTACTACGAGGATCAAATGTCGAGGGGAAGACGTGCGTTTTCTAGTTGTAACTTTTTTATCCGACATTTATTCACTTAATCGGCCATTTCAGGTGTTCAACGGTTTTGGTATCGCCACGTTCAGCGAGTACAGCGTGGTCAAGGAGTGCGCATTGGCCAAGGTAATTTACGGAACTTTTTGGATCTCGCGAATTAAGATTAACCCGAAAGCGCCCGCTGATAAAGCTTGCCTGGTCGGCTGTGGAATCGCTACTGGTTATGGCGCCGCGGTAAATACAGCTCAGGTGGGCTGTTTTTTAAATTTAAGGGACCTTACCGACGCCACCGAAACGTTTAAAGCGCACGTTCAGGGAGGGGCCGTGTACTCGTCCCAACGTGTACACCCTATGGACATAGGGACCGCGCGCACTGCCTGCCCGTGGCGTGGCAGGCCATTCCCCTCCTTTGCGGCGTGGGGCGCCCCTCGCCAGGTTGTAGCTGTGGCTGATTGCTATCCATCCCCGCCGCCCGAGCGGGGGGCCTGGGTTCGACCCCCAGCCGCGGCGAAAATGTTTGCTTTTTTCCAAAAAAACGTCCCTGAACGTGCCCTTTAAGCCAAATAAAACTAGCTATGGCGTTGACAATCCGGCCTGTTCTTAGCGGGCCTATATATTGTACTTCTCAACTCTCCGTTCAGGTCCGCGAAGGCGATAAAGTTGCCGTCATCGGGCTTGGCTGCATTGGCCTATCTGCTGTCCATGGCGCCAAACATGCCGGAGCTGCTGAAATCATCGCAATCGACAGCAACCCCAAGAAATTTGATGCTGGTATGCCGACGCTCGTTTCTCAAACTGGGCTTTAGCCATGAAAATGGGTGCCACAAAGTGCGTGAATCCGAAGGACTGCCCGGAGGGGACCGAATTTTCAGAATGGTTTACCAAGGAACATGGGGCTATGGACAAATCGTTGGAGTGCGTGGGAGATGTGGATTGTATGGTAAGGAGATGACGAACTCTGCGGGTTCTCTCGCTCTCTCTCTCACTCTCACTCTCTCTCTCTCCCTCTCTCTCAGTCTCGATACATCTCTGTACTCTCAACCCTCCATCTCTCTCTGGCCGCCAACTACACTGGTGTTGACTTCAAAATTTTTTGTTGTATTCGAGGGCAGCAGAGTTGGTTGCATAGAGTACACCTCCCAGAGCCTCCCTACCACATTGCAGTCTAGCCCCAACAACAACAGCAAAATGACCCGTTTCAGCGCCAGGCGATCGAGATTGTGTCCAAGGGTTGGGGACGAGCCGTGATTCTTGGTGTTCAGCCACCTGAAGATAAGCTGGAGATCTCACCTGCACTTCTTCTGGAGGGACGAACGGTTCTAGGGGGATGTGTTGGAGGTGAGTGGCAGAAGTAGTAACTTTACCTGAAAGACATGGAGGTCAAATGAATGAAAGGATAAGCTACGGAAATGATCCGGCTTCACCTGTATTTTAAGATTATCACACTGTCGATGAGTTCCCGAAACTTGTCGACAAACTGATGGCTGGTGAAATTACGCCGGAGCCGATGATCACCCACCACTACCACCTTGAGCAGTTCCAGGATGCCGTTCAGCAAATGGATAAGGGGAAATGGTTAGCAAGCTCTGAAAAATCAAATGCCGGTATCTTACAGCATCCGTGCCGTCTTCGAGCTGTCAGCACACTAAACGCTCAAATCGTGTTTCTCTTTTATGTAAATAAAGTATTCTTTTGTCTTTGTCTATCGGATAGAAGCCTATAAGGCCGAGCTATTCAGGCAAGGGAGAGACAGAGAGAGAGCGAGAGAGAGAGACAGAGAGAGAGCGATGCTATACGATGCATGAACAAAAATAGATAGAGACAAACAAGTGACTTCTGGTCAGTGGAGAGATTGGGAAAATTAAAAAAAAATTAGAGAGAAGGGCGACAGGGAGATGAAAAGCGAAAGAGCAAGAGAAAGAGGGAGAGAGAGAGAGAGAGAGAGAGAGAGAGAGAGAGAGAGAGAGAGAGATAGGGAACGAGCGGGGGAGAAAAGGTAAAAAATAAGTTTGTCGGGACCACAATTCCGCACGCAAGCCAACGGGCCGCTAGCCCCAAAAAAGCAGAAGTACACACCGAGGGCACGTAAACAAATGCCACCACCACGACAACAACAACCCCGCCTCCTTCTAGTCGGGAGGCCATTTTGTGAGGCTCAGACACAAATTTGTCGTCTAGGAGGCAGTTTCTTGCGCATTTGTGTAATCCTATTATTCTGCTGGCAAAACTAAGTTTTCCAGGTTTTTTAGGAACTTCCATAGTTAATTCTTATTAGCATTACATAAAATTTCACGTTTAATTTATCTTATTTTCAAGTTAATAAGCACATGTTAATTCAACCAAGTTCTGATTTTTGGCGTTTGTGATATGCAAATTGCCCGAATGCAGTCTAGTCTCTTTCGGCTCGTTGCCCTTTAGCTTCCCCCACCCGCCGTTCGGACCCTAAAAAGCGGACTTTACCGAGAAAAACACCCCCCATGGCTCCCCTCTCCTCGCGCCCTATAAATAAGGCCTTTTCCACACCTCTCGCTACCCTAACCCCCTAACGGACAACAAGCACGAGAGGATGTGCCGTACTTTCGTATAAAGACCTCTTCGCTCTAGGGCCCTTCATTGAGCCCTTACTGCTTCAATATCCGCCCGCCTCCTTCAAAAAAAAATGATCGAAGCCCTATTTGCTTCAGATAACATTGGACCGCAAGCACATAAAGATATCGAAATGAAGCCCGACTTTGAAGGAGAGGTGACCTAGGTTTTATTGGTTTAATTGTTTAGAATTTTTAGGTTATTAAATGCCGTGCCGCTGTCGCCTGGGGACCCAAGGACTTGCGCGTGGAGATGGTGGAAGTTTATCCACCGAAGGAGGAGGAGATTCGTATCAAGGTAAGTAAAAATTGATAACGTTACTCGCTCTCCTCTCTCTCTCTCTCTCTCTCTCTCTCTCTCTCTCTGGCTCTCTCTCTCTCTTTTGCTTGCCTACTGGTCGCAATCATCGCCTCAGTTTACTCCAGATCCTCTACAATGCCCTCTGCCATACCGATGTTGCCATTATTAGCGGTTGGATGAAAGAAGGTAGGAATTAAAACTATAATAAAATCTATCATAAACTATAATATTGTTAAAACCTCGTAAATTACGTCTTTTTAGCCAAATACCCAGCCGTCCCTGGCCATGAAGCCACCGCCGTTGTAGAAAGCGTTGGACCCGGCGAGAAGGAGTTCCAACCAGGTATGAATACTTAATTGTCGGAAATCTTCATTGTCTTCTAGGAGACATCGTCATGCCTACGCCATTCCCGGAGTGCAAAAAGTGCGAGTACTGTAAGAGGGGCGACACGAATATGTGCGATGCTGCCTTGTAAGCCACTCGAGAAGCGAAATTTACATACCTTTAGGACCGATATGACCTCCCTGACCGCTACGATGAAGGACGGTACCTGCCGGATTAAGTGTCAGGGGAAGGAGGTGATACTTTAAATGGTCCGACAACTCATAAACTGTTAAGGTATACCACTCTTTTGGGCTCGGCTGCTTCAGTGAGTACACCGTTGTTAACAGAATTTCGTTGTGCAAGGTATGATTAATAAGGGTTACACTTTACCTTAGCCCCTCAGCCTGAAGTTTTTGGCTATAACTTTTTAATCTTACATTATTATAGATTAAAACTCTTGGTATATTTTTCGACGCTCTATCGAATGGCGTTGCAAAAACCCTGATCAAATAAGCGAAAATAGCGAAAACTTTGAGACCCTTCTGCTGTGGAGGGGGGTAAAGCAAAGTCTTACCTTAATAATAAGACTTGGAAATGTCGTAAAATCTTAAGATTAATCCACACGCTCCTATGGACAAAGCCTGTCTCGTTGGTTGTGGATTGGCCACCGGCTATGGAGGTGCCTTGAATACCGCTCAGGTGAGTGAATTTTCACGTTTCCTAAGATTTGTTTGCCGCCATAAGCGTTAAATTAAGGTCTTAAAATAGCAGAAAAGTCCTTAGAACACTCTATCTATACACTTTCAGATCAAAGAAGGCGAACGTGTTGCCATTATTGGCGCCGGATGCATCGGACTTTCGGCCATGCAAGGCGCTAAACACTGCGGAGCCAAAGATATCATCTGCATCGACACGAAACCAATTAAATTTGACACCGGTAAGGTGCTAGAAATCTTTGATGAAATCCATTTTTAGCAAAAGAAATGGGCGCCACGCAGTGTGTCAACCCGGAAGATTGCCCCAAGGATAAGAATTTTGCGGTAGGGAGGCTAAAAAAAATTGCGGAATGATACGCTTTACGTTTTACTACGCAACGACTGTCGTTAGGTCGTTTCGAAATTATGGAACCACTTTAGGAATGGTTCCTCGACGAATATGGACCGGTTGATAAATCGATCGAATGCGTCGGAAATGGTGATTGCATGGTAAGAAAATTGAATTTTACTGTCCGGATCCTTCAAAAAAACAACTTTGATTCGTCTGGCAAAAAATCCAGCCGTCTCTAGGCTCTCTTTAATGCGCAAAAGTTTAGCGATGGGCTGTTGAACTAGTAAAGAAAGGCTACGGTGTTGCTGTAATTCTCGGCGTACCTCCCAAGGACCAGCAAATCACCTTCCCCACCTGGTTGATCCTAGAGGGCAGAACCGTGACTGGAGGATGTATTGGAGGTATTTTAAAAATTTCGGTATACCTAACATAATATTTTTTAGATTGGCATACGGTAGATGACTTCCCGGTACTTGTCGACAAAGTGACAAGCGGGGAAATCAAGACCGACCCGATGATCACGCAGCGATACCAGCTCGACCAGATCCAAGAAGCTATTGATTTGATGGGCGAGGGAAAATGGTAGGCCTTTTAACTATAATTATTTTTAATCGTTGGTATAGTTATATATTTTTTGCATTAATGGTTAAATTCAAATTATTAATACACCGTTTGCCTTTTCAGCATTCGTGCAGTCTTCCAGATGGCAAACGAGTAAAGAAAACGTGACGATGAATTTGCATTCCTTTTGTATAAAAATGTATTGAACTCTATATTTTTTTGAATAAACGGATTTTTGCTAAGATTTTGCATAAAAAATACAAAATACTCTATCTTAAATGAGACAAAAAAAAGATTATTAGCGCAAGAATAAAACCTGAAAATCAAAGATAATGAACCCTATTTTTGCATATTTCATCGTGTTTTTCTTTGAAAAAACATGCTGCTGACACTTTATTCTTGGCACCTTTATTCAAATTAAGAATGTTACGCAAGACCTTTACAAGATGGAGTAGACTTTACACAAAATTGGGGCAAAATATGCGACTGAACCCGTTACTACATTAAATAGACGTTAAGAATTTTACGGCATAACTTTTACTAGATTACATTTATCGCCTGGCCCTGTGGTTCGGCACACGCTGTCCAGCTGCTGCCGCCATCATCAAAACCACAGCCTCGTCGAGATAGCTGGAAAAATTCAAATAATAATTTTTACATTCACTATTTTATAATTTAAAATCATAATAAAAGTTAATTCTAAACTTAGCAGGTATCAGAAAAGTTTTCATAAATGATACTTACTTTTGCTGTCCAAGCCCAGGAATAACAGGAATCGGATTCGGACGCGGGCTTAAACGAAGCTTCAGCCGGGCGTTGCCGTACTCACAAACAACTCCTTTCTTGTTCCTGAAAAATCAAAATTGATTAGTTTTTTAATTCTGATTTTATTTTTTTTGTAATTTAATTGTCTGTTCTTTGAAATTTTGTTTAATTTACCTATTCAGGATGCTGAGCAGCTTCTGCGACTCCTCCCCGTGCAGGATTCCGGGGTATGTGCAATTGCGCAGCATGACCAGCTCCGCGCCAACTTGCTAAAAAACGCAAATAAATCTAATCCTTCAAATATATTTTAATGTAAACATAATTTTAATTATATTTTTAATGTAAATAAACGTGTAATTTTTTAATTTATTTAGAATTATAGAGCACGAAGCAACTTTTTTAGGCTTGGCCCTACCTTAAAACCGGACATATTAACATATCATAAAAAGGGAAAATCTTTGGAAATTCTCAAAATGCTAAATTCGGTCAACTTTAAGCTATAATTTTGGCATTTCTGTCAACCGAAATAAACTGTTTGATCTTAAAATAAAAGCCTTGGTATTAATAACAAAAAATGGACAAAAATTGCCTTTGTTTTTATAAGAAAGGAAATACCGATAATATTCACTGGAGGGGGCTTACCTCGATCGATTTTTCCAAGAGCGGCATATCCCTCGACCGGAACTGGATGTCGATAAATTCGATCGATTTCAGGTGCCACGCGCTAAGGTGAGCGATTCCTTGTAGGACTCTGTCGAAAGAGGCGTAGTTTGCCTAAAACAAAGTAATAAGCATCTTGAAAAATTCGGAGTTATTTATAAATGGCGTCGTTAGTTTTGGAGCATTTCCTCTTTATGAAATAATAAAATTTAGATGAAATCTTATCGGGCCGGAATTAATTCGTCTAGCATATTTTTGGCCGCCTTAAGAAATGGCTTGCCCAAATCACACCTAAATTTAAAATATCAAAAATACCGCGGCCGTAATAATTATTTCTAAAATCCATACCGCAAACGGGCGGATGTCGCATTTGGAGTGGAACATCATCACGTACATGCCCGAGTGCGTACGTTGCACGGTGATGCTAAAAAACGTAAAAATATTTCACGGAAAATAGAATTATGAAGCTGAAACATAAAACTAACCGATCCGGGGAGAGGTCTGCGGCGTACATGAAGGAGACCCCAGCGAGGAAGGTGTCGCCAGAGGTCTTGAGAAGGACCTTCTCCATGGACAGGGCAACGAGTGACATGAGCATGTTGTAAGGTATCGTTACGGCTGAAAAAAACGGAATGAAAAGTCGTTAATAGAAAACAGAGAAAGTAAAAACGAAAAGTGAGAAGCCGTGATTGAAGGGTAGAAACGACTAAAGTAATTTAGCTTAGTTACATAGGAAGACAGCTACCTAAGTAACGATCGTTTTATATTAAGAGTGGTAGCGTTCTTAAGAGCTATCAAGGTATACAGATATATAAATATCAAAGATAAAGATATTAAGAGATATCGATTACAAATAACTTTTCTCAAAAGTGGTGTCGCTTTGAACGCACCAGCCGTCAAGGAGAGTTGTTTTTGGTTGATGGGGAGGGGGGGGGGTAGAGAGGAAGATGCTAAGTAATGATGGTGTGCGGAAGCAAATCTCGACCTTATATATAGCATATCTAATCTGGAGCATTAATGGCCTTACCTACCTACCTATCCATCACATCTGTTTTGAAGCTCGATATGTCCGGACGCACTAATGTAGCCCAGTGTCCCTCCGCCGGACAGATGCGTGTGCGTGTACTGTGGGCCCTTGAGGTCAAAGGGAGCACGACAGGATCGATAAATCAAATATAAAATAAATTAAATTTTATTATTAATGCGTTGAAAAAAATAAAAAATAAGGTATCAACAACATTGTCGATCATAAATTTTTCGGTTTTTCCAAATGTAGCGGAAGTGGTGGATGAAGTAGCGCCCTGAAAATTACATTGCTATATTTTTATGGTTTTGGAATAAACACTCAGCACTTTTCTTTTTTCTGCAAGCCACATAATGCAACATTCTCCACATTTTCTTCAAGAAGCCGAAAAACGAAGCCAATCGGGTGTAAGCCCACGCAAGTGTGATAATTCGCTATCAATCCCCCCTCGGCAAATCGGCTTAATTTCGGGGGCGCGGCAAGGGTCTTGGAAGCAGGGAAATGATCCAAAAAAGCAAAATAAATACCAAAGAAGGCTTTTCGTGGGTAAATCGATATTCTGTAATATTGCTGTTGTGAATCGTCTTTGCACGCCTCACTTAATTTTCAGATATTCTCTTCTTCATCGCGTCCGTCCCAAAAAATCTCTGCTTGAATGTCAAACCACTCGGCCTCTTTTCCTTTTGACCTAAATATTTACTGCTAGCCCGTCCTCGATACAAAAATGATGCCAAGCCTGGCTGACCACCATAAAATGCGCTCTTCTTGAAAATAGTTCGCGCAGCCAAATTATCTCTGCTTGTCTGCCTCCCTACACAAATAGTCGTTTTTGCATCCACTACAAAGATCTCTACTGGCCTGCCCTCTAGGCCTATTTTGTCGCCGCCAGCAGGTCTGAATTTTGAAAAAGACCTCTGAGATTTAGGGTGAAGCTCAGCGCTCATGGCTTAAATGCAGAAAAATGGGAGGCTTTTGAAGTATTTTGAAATTATTTTTTCATGCTAACATGCCATTAGTGCACAGGCTCGTCGACAACGGCTAACACGTGCTGACGCCTGGGTGTCTCTTCTTGACATATTCTTCCCCCGTAAGTAAGCGAATCCTGGAGCCGCTGCCTGAACGCATCTTCGCATATATAAAGAAAACTACTAATACGCTAAAAATGCTCGTTTTTGATGTCAAAAATCAGAATTCCACATCATCAAAGATCGCTCACGCAGAATAGCCCCGAAAAGTACGGGGGCCCCCGAAATTCAGGAGCCTCGATGGTTTGCTCCCCGCGTCACCCCCCATGTTGTAACTGGGCGGTGGGGATCGTAAATTCACGGGCCTCCTCTTTTCCAAGTGGACGGCTCCCGAAAGGGGGCTTATCACCTTAGTCCCCAATTTCTATGTTGGCTTCCAAGGCAGATAAATTTACTCCACGCACCGGGTAGTCGAATGTCTCTTTCCTGCGGCCGCCCTTCTTCTCGCACAGTCATCATTTTTTCCAATTCCCTGCTAAATACCTCGGGTTGGGGAAAAGCCGATTTACTACCGTAGCCTACGGATGATTTGACGTTCCGCGCATTCTGAAGATTTTTGGGTTACTGTAGGGCTTGTGTTTGCTAGAATTAGAAGATCTTGATCAGAATTTTGCGCGGATTCAGAATATCACGTCAGAATCGGCTTATAAAGGTTTAAAATCGCCAAATATTGCAAAAAATAAAAAAATTCTGCTCCCGAAAACCGAGATTTTAAATTTTTTGGTCCAACTTTTATGATTTCTTTTACATTTTAGCTCAGAATTTGAAGCAGCCCCTGATTTTGGCCTTGAGACGGGCTTATCAAGCTTGGAAAGTTTTACAAGATTTGAAATCAAGAAAGGTTGTTCCTTCTATTTTGCAAAAACACAAAAGTTAAGTTTCTAAGTACGAAAATTGTCTCGCGCGAATTTTTGTTTTTCAAAGCTTAAAAAGCTTAAAAAAGTAAGCTTGAGCTTAATACGGGCAAATCCCCACCCCAAAGGGGTTCCGCCCTTTGAAAAAACGCCGCCCGGTAGCCGCCCGTATTTGCGTGGAGACGTGTGGCCAGCTGCCGCGTTCCCATCAGCTCGCCCGGAATGGATGTCCGAAATCAGCGTGTGTTTCTGGGTGTGGCCCTCGTGAAAAAAGGAGTAAAAGAGAACGTTTACCGGTATCTTTAACCTTTTGCCACGTCAGAATCCATGGATATGACAGTGAGTCACGTGGAGATAAAGATTTGATTGATCGATTGGTGGATCGGAGCCTGAGAGATTTCGGGGTTCCGATTCTGAGACCTGGAGTTCGGGCTTCGTTTGAAGAGCGCTTACACCTGCGATATGCAACACTGCTGCGGCACGCAACGCGCATACGCCCGCGATATCTAACGCTGCCGCGACACGCAGCGCGCACAGGCCCGCGATACCCAACGATGCCGCGACACGCAACCGCGCCTGTACCCCGATAACCAGCACTGTAGCGACACGCGAAACACAACGCGTGTGCCCGCGACACGCAACGCTTCAGCCGCACGACCGCGGTGAATTCATTTCGCGCCATTTCAACATTAAACCAGATCCTCCTTAGGCTCGAAAAATCCTTTTCACGCGTTTTAAAGGGGCTGGGAATTTGATAAAAATTGTCATTGAAAAATCCGCGGAAATTCGAATCTTCGAAGATTTTAATTTTAGCGCACTTTTAATTGCTTCTCGAGAATATCCAAAAAACGTAAACTTAACCGCTAATTCCCCAGACATGAGCTCGGACTGGGACGGCGGTGGTGGCAGGGCGCGACGAGGACGCCTTCCGCACCTACCAGGGCCGCCACTCCATTGCCAGCTATGAGAAGCCCTTCTGGCAGAAGCCGGTAAACAAATGAGAAATCCATTTTGAGGACCATTGACTTATCTTAGATCTTCTCCTATGGCATCCTGGCCGTTTCTATCCTGTTCCTCATCGCAGGAGCGGTGATGCTCGGCGTCGGCATTCACAACAATAATAAGGAGCAGAAGCAGGTCACCGTGCCGGTGCCGGGGACATGTAGGTGTTGGAATAAAGCCTAAGCTAAGCCTAAGCTAAGCCTAAGCTAAGCCTAGGCTAAGCCTAAGCTAACCCTAAACCAAAGCCTAAACTGCTCCAATTTTTAGGTCCCACCCCACCTGCCCCAGCCGTCATCAACCCCTTCTATTCAACCCTCGATTTTACGGACATTAATTACGATGACGTCAAGAATGACTATGAGGGAAGCGCAGCGTCAATTCGGACAAGAGTACGAGACAATACGCTTTTCGGTAGCTTACTTTAGATCCTCGGCCAAATGGCCATGATTTCTGGGGACTACGATCTGGGAGTTTTCCCGACAAGTAATCTGAAGGTCAATATGTAAGTTGTATTCACACGATGATCCTAAGAATTGGCATAGTCTCGGAATCTCTGAAGCAAAGCAGGGCGTCAATGTCATTACTGCCCTCATTTTCCCGATCGATATTTCTGGGTTCGAGGTGCAAAAGAAGCTGGAGTCGATGAAGAACGTGGTGGTGAACCAGGTTACTGGTACGTTAATAGGGGTATTTGGGTTTTAAAGGGAGGGTGAGGGCTTGTTGAAGTCACCTTAAGTTGTTAGAACACCTTGAGTAAGGAGGAGTCATCAGAATGCGGTCGAAAAATCCCATAAATAACGCCTTGCCGTTGCTTTAGTAAGAATTATTTGTTTTTAAAGGGAGCGTGACAGCGTGCTGAAGTCACCTCTCGCTTAGTGTCTAGAGTGAGCAGTGATATATCGTGAGAATACGATTGAAAATTCAAAAAACTTTTTTTTCTATGTTTTACTTTTCTTCTTTGTTTTTTTTAAGGGGGGGGGGACCCCTCGAAAAATAAAAAAAAATAAAAAAATATTTTTCCCCGGGAATATAAAAAAAAAAAAGAAAAAAAAAAAAAACTTATTTAAGGTGATAACATCCCCTCATCTAACAACACTCAACTCTGCATGGTTGTCAATGATTTCCAAGACCTTTTGACCACGACCCTTCCGACGACAACAACTACGACACCATCCCCAGCTACAGGCACAACACCAACTGGAGTCACAACCAAGAAAACCAAGAAAACAACGGTTTCTCCTGGCACGACAGTCCCATCAACATCTAAGACATCTAAGACGAAAAAAACGACTACTACAGCCGGATCAACTCCAACTGGAACTATGCCCACAACCTCAAAGACGAAGAAGACCACGGCCACTGGACCCACCACGACCCCCGGCTCTACTGCTACTGGAACTGTCGCCACCACCTCGAAAACGAAGAAGACTACGGTGACTGGAGCGACTACTACTCCGGGAACTGTCGCTACCACTTCAAAGACGAAGAAAACGACAACATCACCAGGTACGGGTAAATAGTATTTTGCCAATCCGTCTATCAGCTCTACGGCACCTATTTAATTCTGTTCATTTCAGGTGCCACTACACCGCAGATACCTACACAATGCCCGACTTTCCCGACCCAAGGGCCAGGTAAGGCCGACTTCTTGGCTAGAAAAACGCTATTTTTTAGCCACTACGACATATCCGGTTAATCCGAACGTCAGGGATCTTGTGCTACTGATTGATTCCTCGACGGCTCTGCAGCAGGCCGTGTTCTTGAAGGTATCATTTTTGATGCGGGATGGACCCTCCTGGGATGCCTTGACAAGCCTTCGTTAAAGGGGGGCAAGGCATTCCTTTTCATCCCATATGTTGGCCAAAATGCAGAAACACGAGGAAGGCAGTCCGGAAACGATGTCCTAGGGATCCATAGCGACAAATTTGGATATTCATGCCTTGCTAGCCCCTTTAATCAACTTATCACTTATTATTACCCAAATTTCATAAAATATTTCAGTTAAAACCCTTCCTCTACAAAACCCTGGCCCCAAAACTCACCATCGGCAATGATACCCTCTTGGCGGCTGTGGGAGAATATGACGATCAGTAAGTCTTACCTAAATGCCAAAAACCACGAATCATCTTCAGCCACTTCAACATGTACGACCTGTTCGACGCGCAGACGGCTGGCGAGCTGGCGAATGTCATCGGATTTTACATGAATTATGAAGGGAAATATGGGCCTAGTATTTACAAGTGAGCCTCAACAAAGTTTTCACTACTTTTTTTAGTGCACTAAAGCGTGTCAACATTCTGCACAGCGCTGGGAGAAATGCGCCGAGGACGGTTTTGATGGTGACGGCGTCAAGGTAGTTGTTGTTCAGCCGATCTAAAGTGCTAAAAGAGAAATTTTCAATTAATATGGTTCCTACTCCTATTATTCTTATTATTAATATATTTCTATATTAATAATTTAACCTATTTCTTTAGCGATCCATCCGACGTTGCCAAGTCCATCCAACAGGCCAATCTGCTGAAAAGCCAGGGAGACTATATCGTGATGCTCGGCGTTGGAGCGGGAGTGAATCCAGATATTTTGACCATTGTAAGGGTTTTGTATACTTTCTAAGAATAGTATTTAGCTGGCAACGGCTCCAAACTACGTCTTCACTAGCAAGGACCTTTCCGAAGGAGATACCCTGGCGACTAGCTTGATCTCTGCCATCTACGGAAATACGGTCCCTGTTACAACCGCAGCTCCACCCACACCTCCCTACACCTGCAACCCGGATATTGCCATACTTTTTGATGCCTCGACGGCTGTCGGATCGGAGGATGAGATGGGCAAAGTGAGTTTTAGGCTAATTTTGATGACCAGCGCTTCATAACTGGCTCCTAACTCCTTTTTTAGCAAGTCGGTTTCTTCACCGGAAGAGTCATTCCAACCTGGACAGTGTCGCCAAATAGCACAGAAGCTGCCGGAGCGATCTATACAAATGTAAGTCTGCTTCTGCAACCTAGAAGTATGTCAACTTTACGCCTACAGAATCGAAACGTAGAGCTCAATTGAATCTGAAGCTAAAATTTGCGTTAACGAGATTTTAAGTATACGATACGACTTTTAAAGTGATAGTAGCATTCATTTCCAGGGCTACGCGTTTGTCGTCCCGGGAGCTTACGGCTATTCAACCACCCAGGCCTTCATCGACGATCTCAACTCCTACGGTGACGACTATTATGGTGGAAACCCGAACATTACGAAGTGAGAAACCTATATCAGAGTTAAAAAAAAATACCTTTTAGCGGTCTCTCCCTTCTTCGCTTCCTGTCCTTGACCTCGCGTGGCAATTACCAAACCGCCATTTTGGTCACTTATTCGAGGTAAGTTAAGACGAGAAATTAATGGCCCTTTTAGTGACTACAACGACGTAAAAGCGGCAATCCCGATTGCTCAGGCTTGGGATGGAAATCTGATTATTCTGGGAATCGGTTCTAACGTCGATGGAGATTTGCTAGGTGTTTTGACCGGAAATGTGATCACCAAGCTGGCTTATGATGACGATGCAGCGTACCAGGTAGGTAATTTCATTACCTGTAAAAACTACCACGCTTAGACCTAGGTATTACAATGAAAAACATAAAATTTTTTAGATTAACGGCATGGTTTGCACAAAACGACCTCCGCATGGACTTTCTACTACCTCGCCGGGTACTGTAGCCACGAGCACGATTACAACAACTACCACGAAGGCTCCTTTCACCGAGGCTCCGACCACTACCGTAACACCGAGTTAGTTTTTCTTAGAAAATCGTTTTTTTTTTGCCTGCACAACCATCTCCTTCTTTTAATTTTGATCCTGCCGTTAGACCTCTTGATTTTTTTGATCCTTATTGAATCATACAAGCCTTTAGCCGCTGCTCCTTGCCCCGATTGTAAACCCGACCGCTCCTCCCTGCTCGTCGTCTACGACATCAGCATAGCCTTATTGCCAACTGACGTAAGCAGCGAATTTCGATATTATTTTTGTAATTCTAGTTCGCGAACGTCCTAAAATTCTTGAGCGCGGACCTGTTTGGCAAGTGGAACCACTGGGAACGAGTGGCACTCGCTGGATTTGGAGGTTTGAAAATCATACGAACCAAAAACGGTTATTTAGACAATGCCCATTTTATCGATTTGGCCAACTATCGCGACATTACCAGTCAAAACGACGCTTCGATTTTGGTAAACTCGCAGGGCAGGATTGCATCAAAACCTGATGTCGCTGCGTAAGTTTATCTCTCTCCCTCCCTCTCTCTCGCTCTTTCTCAGTCTCCTTTTCTCGGTCGCTTTCCTTTTCACTTAAAAAAAAGCAAAATTTAGCGCTCTACATCACGCTGTCCAACGTTACACTCCTCTGGCTGGATACGGTATTCAGCATACAATTTTTTTCACGAGCACGGCAAACAATATCGTAGCTGCCCATCCGTATGCTGACGCATTAAGGGTAGGTCCAACGACCTTCTTTTGCTCAAGACATGGTGCGTCCACCGATACCCATGCTGCATTTCAGGCCCTCGGAACGTTAACTGTTGTCGGAATCAACTGGAGTGACATGACACCATTCGTCCCACTGGCTACTACAGGATCTACCGTTCCCTGGCCGGATACAACAAATACTACCGGACTATCGGACGCTATTGATGCGACACTTGGTGCGTCGTCGAGCCAGGCTAAAAATTCTCAATTCTTAGTATAGAGGGAGTTAATTCAAAAAGCATAGTCATAACCGTGATTCAGTGGCTCCTCCCACGACCACACCCGGTCCGACGACTACCACAACTGGCGGAACAACCACAGCTATCCCGACCTCTTCCGTCCAACCCACCGGACCGTGCCAACGTGCTGTCATCCTACTCATCGATGAGTCCCTGAAGGTCCCCGGTGCGCAATTTAATGACGTAAGCGTTTGTCAAATTACTGAATACCATATTTTCCTAGTACAAACAATTCCTGTACACACTGACCGGCTCCTGGCTCTTCTCCAGGGATCAATTCTCTGTGGCCGCAATCGCCTATACCAAATCGATCATCACTGAAATCGCGACGTTCGACCTGAAATCCGCGGATGAGCTCAAGGCTCTGATTGATGCGGATGTGACTTGGCACAGCACGTCTCCGGCTGGCATGACAAAGTAGGGACCAGGATATTAGAATTAGGAAAGTGATTCAGGGTTCTAAAAACGGCAGTGGGACTGAAAGTGCCTCTTATGGAGGGTGTGACGACAATTTTGGTGACGGCTTCGAGGTATTTTTCCGGATTCGTCTAGCCTCTCCTTTTTTTTTTTTTTTTTTCTCTCTCTCTCTCTCTTTCTCTCTCTCTATCTCTCTCTTTCTCACGCTCTCTCTCTCTCTCTCTCTCTCTCTCTCTCTCTCTCTCTTTCTCTCTCTTTCGTCTCTCTCTCTTTCTCTCTCTTTCTCTCGCTCTCTCTCTGCTCTCTCTCTCTCTCTCTCTCTCTCTCTCTCTCTCCCTCTCTCCGTCTCTATCTCTGTCTCTATCTTCCCTCTGGATTTTACATCCTATTCTGTAGCGATCCCGACGACATCAACTCAGCTATCCCCTATGCAAATCAACTAAAGCAAAATGGCAACACCGTCATTACCGTGTCGATGGATGCTGATGCCAGTCCGGTAGTTCACAAATCCGAAAGAATACCCTTTCCGTAGCTCTCCTCCGGTCTCGACTTCGCCTTCGAGCTCGACACATTCGACGCCTTCGATGTTGCCCAACAGATCAATGCCGTGATCTGCAAGAACGGACCGGCGCCTCCGACTACGACCACACCTACGTACGATTGTGGATATCCCTAAAAGCTCAAGAATTTTTAGCACCCAAGCTCCGACTACCACTACCCAGCCCTTACCTTTCCCCTGCCAGCCCGACATCGCGCTCCTGATTGATGGTAGTGGAGCTGTGGAGGGAGGGGCAGATGGTGTTAGGAAGGTACTGTATTTTAGACACCTTGTGGCTTATGTGAAGACCTAGGTTTCCAACTTCATCGTTGATCCGTTGTCTCGGAATTGGCCTATCATGCTCAACCACACCGAGGCGTCAATTTACTTCTATTCGCGACAGGTGGGTGCTTATAATGCCGCGTAACGATACCTCGATACGGGCGACACCTCATAGATGTCTCCAATTAATGTGAAAAACGCGTACATTAGCACATTTAACGTAACAGTTTCTATTTTTAAGGGTAACCTCGTGCTCGGCGGAAAGACTTACGAATACGTGGATCTCCAAGAATTCCACCAGGCTTTGATCAATCATGGAGATATCTATTACGGAGGAGATCCCTCGATTAATGAGTAAGATTCTTTTCCGCTTTTGATGATTGCAATTTTCAGAGGTATCAAATTCATGCTGAACCATGAGCACTGGCAGAGAGGACAGCCTCATGTGCTGCTGCTCTTCACTTGGTCAAGGTACTGCAATTAACCCGTCTTCCGTAACCACGATTCAGCGTCTACACCGACATTGCAGCAGCTGTAAACCAAATTAACCAGATCCAAACTGGTTCCAACGTTATTGTGGTTGGACTTGGAAACAATGTGAATGCCGACTATCTGGCGGCGTTGTCACCGAGGATCCTTTGGGGAGCGTTGGACCAGAGCTTGGCTGATCAGGTGAGGAGTTCAACGAGTTCAATGAGTCCAGCTAATGCAAGCTAAAGAGAGGCAAGAAACAAGTAAATTCAGATCAACGACCTCATCTGTCAAGGCAACACCAGTCCTGGGACTCTTCCGCCTACGAATCCGCCTACTACCACGCCGTTGACGACGACAACTACGACCACGGCATTTGCACCACCAACTACAAGTAATACACCCGTTCATAGTAAAAACGTACTCGGTATTTAGCGGTAAACCCAGTACCATGCCCCGACTGCGTCCCAGCTTTGGCAAACCTTGTCGTAGTCATCGATGCTTCTGGAAGTACGAAGGATACGGTAGGTCCGAAGGGCTTTTGAGCGTTTGGGTAGTACCATCCATTTTAATATGGTTGAGTGCTGTTACATCTATTAAAATTCTCCTATTAAAATCGATACCTTCCAGTTCAACGACGAAATCCTCGCCGTCATCACCATGCTGAACGGCTGGAACCACTTTGAGCGCGTTGCCCTCGCTACCTTTGGAGACACAGATGCACACTACGAGATCCTCGCCCAGTTTGGAGACCTCAGAAACGTTGGTGATGTGAATGCTACGCTGTCGAGTGCTGTCGTACAGCGATATGCAGGTGCGGGAAGCTTGACCAGGTAATGAGGCTATTTGTCCCAATCGGAATCCGATTCTAGTGCTTTCAAGAAGACACTTCGTGCTTTCGAGCCAAACAGCAAGTACGGCTATGAGAAGACGATCATCTTCACCGGAACTGCGTAAGGTCTAGTTTCAGAAACTTGAGCACGATTTTTTAGAACGACCCTTGACATAAACACGGCTTCGGTTTACGCACAAGCACTAATGGCTAGAGGACAGGTTGTTGTTATCGGTGAGCCAAAAAAGTTGCAAAAATTCATGAAATTTTTAGGTGTCGGACAAGCTGACGTCTCGGCCTTCCAGCCCTTGGCTACCCCGGGCGATGCTCTGGCTTGGCCAACGACTTCGGATTTAAATATTACGAACACGATCACAGGAATTCTGAACTCAAGCATTCCCACGACGACTCCCGGTCCAACTACGCTACCACCGACGACCAGCGGTAAGCTTGGAACGTCTGATCTATCCTCGTACGAGTGTTGAGCTACTCTAGGTTATGTATTTAGTTTTTATGGTTCTTTAGAACCGTAAGAAAAACGGTTTAAAACTATTTTTAGCCACGACGCTTCCATCTACACCATCCACTCTTCCGGCAGCCACCACAACGTCTCCAAGCAGTGCAGCGTGCCAGCGAGCTGTCGTTCTACTGATTGACGTGTCGAATGCCATCCCGTCGGATTCTTATGATGGAGTACGTAATTTCCAGTAGTAACATGTTCTTTGTCCTTTCCAGCTCAAAGAATTCACGCGTCAACTGGTTGTCTCGTGGAGTGTCGGCCCGAGCGGCTACAACGTCGCCGGATTCGGCTTCACCGGCCAGTCTCTCGAGTTGATCGCCGACTTCGACCTGACGAGCACGCAAGAATGGCTGAATCTGGTGGAGGACAAGGTCAACTATCGCCCGGCCCAACATGGTGGAGTCTACAGGTATGAAAAGGGATCCGAAGCCGTAGAAGGGCGGTTTTAGGGTGATGCACGCGGTCGCTAGTCTGGATTTCCCCAAGAATGTCTCTGTAACCACGATTTTGCTAACAGCTTACAGGTAATTACAGTAGCACTAAATCAGAATATTTTTGAGCAATTCTGAGAAACCTCGAAATCTTAGAAATGGGATTAAAATTTATTTTTTTTAGCAACAGCGACGACTTGAACCGCTCGATTCCGTTCGCCTACCAGTTGAAGCAGAATGGCAATTCCTTGATTACCGTATCGTTCGGAGGAGCCGACGCGTCAATTGTAATAACCATACTTTAATCGTAAGGTGTTGGGATATTTAGCTCTCCTCTGGCGACGGCTTTAACTTCCGCACCGACGACTACAAGGGCAATCAATACGTCGCAGCCGTGAATCAGAAGATTTGTGCTCAAGGACCTCCACCACCCGTGACAATGTAAGAGTTTATACATTAGTTTTGATGTTTTTTAGGCCGCCAACGACCACGACAGCTGCCCCGACTACCGTACCCAGCCAATTTGTCTGTAACCCAGACATCGCTATTGGCATTGATTCGAGTTCGGCTGTTGGCAGTATGGCTGTTTTTGGCAATGTGGGTTCACTCTCTCGCTCTCTCGCTCTCTCTGACTCTCTTTATCTCTCGCTCTTTCTCTAACTAATACACCACCTACATTTAGTTGATCGACTTTGTCGCCTACAAACTCGGCTCCACCTGGCCGATCAATCGCAACGAAACAGAAGCTGCCGCAATTTTGTATACAAATACGGTAAGTAGAGAACTGACAATCGTAATTTTACCCCTTTCAGACTGCCTTCAACGTCTACAACACGTTCAACTACGCGCATGCCAGTGACTTCACGATCGAGGTGGCTCGGCACAACTATGATTATTACGGAACACCTCCAGGAATGCATCAGTAAGTCCACAATTTTGGAATAGTATTATTATTGTTTATTTTGTAATAGTAATAATAGTATCATGTAATAGATTGGCCCTTTATAAATCCTCGTCTTTTAGAGCAATCCTGCAAACAATGCGATTGTCCAACCGCCGATTGACGCAGCCGAAGGTGTTAGTACTGTTCACCTATTCGAGGTATAGAAACCTACGGCATCCTCGAATTGTTTTTTCTTTAGTGGTTATTCCGATGCGGCCACTTCGATCGATACCCTGGACCTGATCGACCAGCAACTGGGCGGGATGAATCTGATTATTGTGGCACTGGGCGACCAAAACCAAATCAACACCGACAACCTGCAAGCCATGAGCCCCCGTGTTCTTACTGGGTCGCTCGATGACAGCATGGTCAGTATGGTGAGTATTTTACTGGTGTTGATTCGGCGTTTAAACATCGTAATTTCTTGCGTAAACACTAACGTATACGGTCGATTCAGATCAACAACATGATCTGCCAAGGCAACACCAAGCACGGTACCCTCGGATCTACTTCTGCGCCGACTACGACGACTGCCAACGACCACCCCGACAACTCAAACTTTTGCCCCGCCCACTACCAGTAATTTTTATGCGGTAGTTGAAGTGCTAATTATATGTTTCTAGCCAAAATCATCCCCTACTGCCCTGATTGCATCCCGAGGGCTTCGAGTCTGCTGGTTGTTCTCGATGCAGCTACTGGGGGATCGGTAAGGAGTGGTGGCTGATTAAAGTATCGAGTTTTTCAGCTTGACCAGCAAAAGTTCGTCGCTAAGAAACTGGCCGCCCAATGGAATCACTTTGAGCGCGTTGCACTAGCTGCGTTTGGTGACACTGACAAGCATTACGAGGTATGCATCCTAGATATCGACTTACGAACCCCTTTAGGTTGTCGCACAGTACCGTGACATGAAAAACTCCGATACCTTTGCCGCCTTTGTCGACACGATCTATGCAGTAAACGGAGCACCAAGCTTGACCCTGTAACTAAATTCACCGTTTGAAAACTGTTCTAGGGCTTACAAACGCACCGACAACTCCTTTGCGCCTTCGTCGGAATGGGGAGATCAACAAGTTGTCATCTTTTTGACGCAAACGTAGGAATTGGCGAGAAAAATGCAGCACTGATGCTTTAGATCCGCTGACGATGTCCGAACTGCGGCTCCGTACGCTGACAAACTTTTCGCGAAGGGCTCCGTCATTGTCGTCGTCATCGGGTCAAACGATGTCGCCCAAGTCGAACCCCTTGCCTCCCCGAATTCTGCAATCGGTTGGGCTGATGTCAAGGATACGGACACGATCGTCGGGCAAATCGAGAAGCTGTTGGACCCGAACCCGGTCACTCGAGGTCCCACTACGACAGGGCCTAGCAGCTTGGCCCCCAGCTCCACGAAACCCAGCTCGGCTGTGCCGACAAGTTCCGGACCGACCCCTACTGGAACAACGACAGCCCCAGCACCATTCTGCCCTGACTGCAACCCACCTACCGCCAACCTTCTCCTACTGCTCGAAAATTCTGGTGCCTTGACGAACGACGTCTTCCAAGCACAACTCGCTGTCGCCCTGACCGTCGTCCAAGGATGGAATCACTTTGAGCGGGTCTCCATTGGCTCCGTGGCAACAACGTTCAACCAGAATGCTGAATATGGTACACTCAACAAACTGGATGACGCCTATGTGACCATCAAAAGCATTGCGCAACTCCCTAAGCCGGACGTGAACCTGAATGCGACTCTGGCGCAAGTCCTCAAACTCGCCAAGCCCCTCGCTGACTTCGAATACCAACGAGTTATCCTTTTCACCACACAAACTGATGTCAATGACATTGTTGCGGCCGCAACTACTGCGGGCATCCTTAGAAGCATGGGTTCGGTGACCATCGTTGGAATTGGTGTCGAGGCAGTGGCAATCTACAACGATTTGGCCACGCCACACGATGCGATCAGCTGGACGAACTATCAGGATCATGCTACGGTTGCCAGGCAGATTGATGTTACGCTTGGGGAGCAGTTTGGAAGTACTTCCGCAGCTCCGCCTGCGGGTTCGACTACAGTATCCTCGCCTGCGACTACAACTTTCACGACAATTCCGACAATTCCAACCAGCCAAGGACCGACCACCTCAGGGCCCTTCTGCGCAGATTGCAACCCACCAAGGTCGAATCTGTTCGTAATTTTCGACCGTTCAGCAACCATTTCGGCAGCAGACTACCTACAGGAGCAGGGGGCTGTCCTGACCCTGGCCAGTACCTGGAACCACTACGAACGTGTCGCACTCGGCGCCTATGACAGCAGTTTCAACCTCGTCGCCTATTACTACGATATTACTTCCATCTCAGACGTGCACACATACCTCACGGGCGTCCAACAGAGCCCCGGCACCAGGCCCGACTTGGCCGCAGCACTCGAAACCGCGTTGAAACAGGTGACGCCGATCGCGGATTTCGGACCGCAGAAAACGACGCTATTCATCTCAGTAACCGACCCGGCTGAGATTGCCAGGGCCACTCCGGCTGCTCAGAAACTTCAAGCACTTGGCTCACTGACTGTTGTCGGACTGAACATGGCCACCACCGATAGTTTCAAAGCCTTGGCTTCACCCGGAGGAGCCATCGCTTGGCAGAATACAAGCGATGTTAATGCCGTTGTATATGATATCGACAACACCCTTGGAGAACTGCCAACTACCACATCTGACCCAACACTTGGAAGTACGACAAATCTCCCTAGTGTTGCTCCCGGAAAGTGCAAAAAGGATATACTGCTCATGATCGATACAAGCTCCTCGATGAACGGTGTCACCAACTTTAATTTGGTCAAGAATTGGGTCAGGAACACCCTGGTACCACAGTGGGACCTCAGCTCTTTCACCCTGGCCATCGCCACATACTCGAACAAGATCAATATGATCATGCACTTTGGTGACTCGGCTAGCCAGGCTGAAGTACAACAACTCATCGATCAGGCCCAATATATTGGAAATGGCTACGCTCTGGATAAGTCACTGCATGAAGCCCTTGGCCTTTTCCCGAACACCCTGATGACGACGGTGATCATCACAGCTAATGGGGATATCGGCAAGGCCAGGCAGTATGCGAATCAGTTGAAACAGGGCGGAAACACTATATCCGTGTTGGCACTGGAGGATGTGAGGACCGACGACTTGGAGATGGTGGGCGAGAGATTTAGGAAAAGAGGGAGGTTTTCTAGATCTCGTCTGGACTCGGCTTCCTCTTCCAAGACAACCCGACGCTACTTGGAGACAAAGTTGCTGGGTTGTTGACGACGTCTCTGTGTCTCCCGGCCCCCACGACACCTGCGCCACCGTAGGTTATTGGTTCCCTTGGTCTCTCTCTCTCTCTCTCTTCTCTCTCTCCCCTCCCTCTCTATTCCTTTCTCCTTCCTCTATATCCTCTTTTTCTATTCTTACTTTATCATACCCCCGCAAAACGGACGTCATGAAATCCTGATAAAATTCGAATCTGAAAAAACCTGCAAGCTTCAAATTTACGTCTGTTAGCTTGATCTTAAATTTTTAGAACGACACCAAGCACCGTTCCAACCACGGCCTTCCCCGAGCAGTTCACCTGCGACCCCGATATCATGCTCCTCCTCGATTGCTCAAATGCCGGCAACGCCGAGCAGTTCACCAGGGTATCGGTATTTCTTTACGTCAATCCTCCCGCCTTTTCAGATGATCAGTTTCGTGGCCAACTGGCTTGCCCCCACCTGGGACGTCAACATGAACAAGACCAACGCGGAAATCCTCCATTATTGTGATGTGAGACCAGATTATCACCCTAGTGCTAGTAATTTAGGGCCAAACTGCGCTTGGCCATGGCTTCTTCAATTTTAACAGCACGGACCAGCTGGTCTCGGAACTCATGGGTGATGTTCGTTTTTATGAGCCGCATTGCGAGCCAGCGATGGACGAGTGAGTTAATTGAAAGAGATAGAGAGCGAGAGAAAGAGAACAAAAGAGAGAGAGAGAGAGAGCAAACAAGAGAGTGAGATAGAGATAGAGTGCATCTGCAAGCTGAAGAGTAAGGACAACCATTTCAGTGGCCTTTTCTTCGGTGACCTCTTTGCTGACGATGGCCGAAGAAATCACCCGATGACGATGATGATGTTCACTTTCACCAGGTGAGTTAGGATAAAGAGGCCTTACGCATTTTCAGTACGTATTCCCAAGTCGCAAGAGCACTGAAAGCCGCACAGCCCGAGCGGTTTATCATCGTGGCCATGGAGGAGAACCCAAGCGTGCCGAACTTGCAGGCGTTGACGGAAAATGTCATTGTTGCTGGCCCGACCGACAACTGGAATGCAAATTTGGCAGCAGCGGTAAGGGATTTCCGTTCTTCTCACACGCTCTCTCTCACTATCTCTTTTTCTCTCTCTCGTTCTCGCTCTCTAAGACTCTCGATTTCAGATCAACAGCGTCATTTGCAACGAGAAACCAGGTCGTGAAACCTTGCCCCCAACAATCCCAAGCACAACATCAGCGGCATCGACAACGACGACCCCGAAAGTCACCTTTGCTCCACCAGCCACAACCACGAGTATGTTAAAATTTCACGACGTAGAACGATTTTAGTCTCAACCTTCTGCGACAACTGCACACCAAAAGGCAACATCCTCTTCATTCTAGATGCAGGCTCCGGAAATGAAACCGTATGCAAACACTGATGATACCTACAGTATCTCTCTTTCAGCTCTACGCTCAATTCTCACTCGTCGTCCAACTCTCAAACAACATCAACCATCCGGAGCGTATTGCCGTTGGTGCGTATCGCGATACGCTGGCCAACTTCCAGGTGAATATGGCATTTTATAACCCAACCCGTGAATTCCAGATTCCGGTCGAATACAAGGAACTCGTTTCCATTGCCGAGCTCTACAAGCTTTTGACGCTGACGGCATTTGGAGCAGCTACGGACTTGAGCACGTGAGCCTGAGACTTCGAAAGGGTTAACGAGGATCCCAATTTTAGTGGCTTCCGGAAAGCAGACCTGGCCTTCGAACCCAGCGCATTTTATGGCAACCAACAAGTCATCGTCTTTACCACGTAAGTCTTTAACCTGACAAGGAAGTGCTTTTTTTGAGTCATCGTCAAAACCTTACGAGACCTAGCTCATTCGATAGAGAATTCGATTCTAAACAAAACCCGGTGGTTCGTTTTTGCAGAATGGCTATCCCTGATTTTATAAAATTTTAAAACTGCACCCAAAGGCCTCTCTTTTTGCTCGAAAGGCACTCATGGCAAGAGACGGTCACTAGTATTTTAATTTTATAAAATCAGGTATAGCCATTCTGCAAAAAAGAACAACGGGGTTTTGTTTAGAATCAAATTCTCTATCGAATGAGCTAGGTCTCGTAAGGTTTTGCCGATGACTCAAAAAAAGCACTCCTTGTGAGACGCCAAAACCTTTCTTGTTCAGAAAAGACGATGCTACTGCCATCCAAAAATCACAAGCCGCTTCGAAGAGCCTGAAGGATAAGGGAAACGTCATCTTGGTTGGCACAGGGTTGAGCACATTGAGTGATGGCCTAGGTATGATAATATTAAATTAGTATGGCAAAAACTATGTCTTTTCAGCAAGTCTAGCGTCGTCTCAAGAAGCTCTTACCTGGCCCGATCTCACCCAAACCAAGAATATCGAAGCTACAATACTGGGACTATTGCAAAGTAAGTTTTTTCATCTTCCCCGTCCGGTATTTTCATTGTCAAAAAAGTAATTACGCACATTTCAGATCCACCTACAAGTCCAACAACCTCGCCTGGACCTACCACAAGCCCAGTCTTGACTACCGTACCCTCTACGCAACCATCCAGTGGGTAGACCAACCTAGAAAGAGCTATATATTCAGACTTCTAAGAATCATACAAACTGGCTTGAATTGTATTCTTTTTAAAGCGGTCCCATGACCATTTGTGGCAATCCAGAGAAAATTTTTGATATCTACTGCCTATACGGGGTGCTCCTTTTTTCCTGAGATGTAATTATTGTAAAGTGCTTTCAATCCGGTGGTGATGTGTTTCGTCAACTTTTTGTCCGTACTTTTGTCCGCAATCCTAATAAAATTATTGGAAATTTGAGCTCAAAACACATCACAGCCAGAAAAAGCACTTTGCAAATTTGCATATAGAGACAGAAGGACCTGGATTTTTCACATCAAAAGATACCACGCATGAAAGTTATAAATTACTTGCTATACCTAAAAAAATCCTTAAAAGATATTTAGGTACCGGAACAAACTCCCCAACCCCGCCCGATCCTACGAAATTTGGGTGCCACGTCGATTTTGCGATACTTTTTGATAATTCGGACGCTACCGGAAGTGCCGATAACATGCAATGGGTATGAAAGAACAACGTTAAAGCAGAGAGCACCTTAAACACCACCTTCACCTGGAAGCTATCCATTAGGCCATAGTGGCCAGCCATTGGGTGGGATGGGAACGCCACAATAGGGAAAGGTGTCCGAATTCTGTGCGGCAATGGCGCCCCATTGCCGCACAGAATTCGCGCGTCATTTGTACTGCCCGGAATACATAACTATATATTTGCCGCCAAAACCTTGGGTATCCCTTTAAGACGGTCGACTTCCTCTCCGATCTACTGATTGGCCCTTGGGACATTGGTGTAAACAGTCAGGCCGAAATCATCTTCTACACCAAACGCCACTCGCTCTTGGTAGGAAAGCTCCCGTGTTTCGAAGCATCGTGCCCCTTAGGAACCAAATGCTTGGAATTACGACTCGACCGAGGCAGTACAAAAGAATTTCACGTCCTTTGATCGGGTCTACTTTGGCGGGCCCCCGAGTATGACGGCGTAAGATCAAGGCGCTGTTTTCAGGGTGCAACGAAAATTTAGCGGTCTTCAAAGCCTGCTGGGCTCGCTGGATTCCCGTACGACAAACGACAGGATGCTGACGGCATTGATGTTCACCAACTCAAGGTATTAGACAATAGCAAACCTAAGTATTTGTGGGTTTAGTGGTTACGACGACATCAAATCAGCCATCGGCGTGCGACAGGAGATCGAGGCGAAGTTAGGAGTCGATCTGTTCAACTTGATTTTGATTGGAAATTCCAAGGATTTGAATGGTAGTTGATATTTTCAGTCTTAGAAAACCATATTCAGGTGATTGGATGCGAGCGCTGAGCGGTCGTGTCATTAATGCTGAGAGTTTCAACGATGTGTTGTGTCGATGGGTAAGTAGTGTATAGATCCTTGTATAGATTTTTAAGGGTACCATTTTACCGATCAATCCTCATATTTTTCAGCTAAACGATCACGCCTGTCTTCGAGCCGATCCGCCAGTGACGCTAGCGCCTCTACCGACTTTGTCTACGGCACAAGTTCCAACGACTACTACGCCATTCGCTCCTCCGACCACGATCGGTTCAGATACACAAAAAAAAATCTATAAAAAGTTGTTTAGCTCCGACCGTAACTCCGATCACTTGTAATAACTGTACTCCAGAAATTGCGAATATTCTAATTATTCTCGACGCAACTTCAAAAGACGTTTGTCCATATTTAGCTTCTGAAACTTCTAAAAACCCCTTTAGCTCGAATACCAAGCCAACCTCGTCACGAAGCTCACGGCAAATTGGTGGCCCTGGGCTCGTGTGGCCTTGGGAGCATTTTCGGATATCTTCCAGGTACTCAACTTCAGAATACGTCGTATGAAGCGCTATTCAGGAAATCGCGCTCTTCGGTGAGATCCGTACAGCAGATGAATTCGCGTTGGAGTTGAGCCAGATCAATCCCAGGCTTGGAAAGACCCCGAACCTGGCCAAGTCGGTTTTGACTTTAAAAGGGAAGATACTGGATTTTTAGTGGCTTCAAGCAGTCGTTCAACCAATTTACGCCAAATGCTAATTACGGCATTGAGAGGCTGATTATCTTGACTGGAACTGAGTGAGTTTGGCTCAATGGCGTTAAAGTGCTCGTGATTAGATCCGGAGTCGCAGCAGCCGCCCCGTATGCCGATGCCTTCATGGCCAGAGGCACAGTGACCCTAGTCGGAGTCGATATGGACGATATTACCAACTTGGCACCACTCGCCTCTCCTGGATTCGCCATTCCATGGCCCAATCCGGAGAAAGATGACATGGACCTATTTGCCGGGTTGATTAACAGGACATTGTGTAAGTTGACGTTTAGTAGTGAGAACAGTCACTGATGAAAGTCGAAATTCCTTTTAGTCAACTAATTTTAGATGGCCCGACACCCACGGGGGTTCCATCTGCCGCAACAACGACGTTGAGACCAAGTAAATAACGTTTGAAGCCATAACCTAGGCATTTTAGCTACGGTAACGCCACCGGTCACAGGTTCAACGACTTCGAACCCGCCAGTCCCAACCAGTTAGTCCGCCACGTAGTGCCATTACACTTTCATACCTATAGCAGCCAACCCCTGTCCGGACTGCAACCCACCAACCTCTAGCATCCTTTTCGTACTTGATCAAAGCAAGAACAACAACGGGGTAAATAAAACTTGTTTAACGGGCCGATAACTTTTGTTCAGTTCGCCCAAATGAAAGACGTTGTCCTGAAGTTGGCCCAGCAGATGAATCGCTTTGAGCGAATCGCTATAGCCACATATTCCAAGACCTTGGTCTCTGTAGCGCAGTACGGAGATCTCAGACGGATAGAGGATCTGGCCGCTGACCTCGAATCTATCTACCAGGACGCCAAGGCCGAGAACATGACATCGTGAAAATTACAAGCTTTAGCCAAACGATATATTTTAGAGCAATTCAAGCCTGCCTCAGCAATGACTTCAAACCGGTTGCACCTTTCACGACACAGCATACGATCTTCTTTACGGCTTCAGGGTATGCATTAGCTAAAGTCAACAAATACGGTCTTTTAGAAGCAACGACGACGCTGCACAAGCCACCACATTTGCTCAACAACTCGGAGCTATGGGAACTCTGACCCCAATCTCAATCGTTACCCACCTCGTCTCGCTTGATCAACTAGCGTTCCCGAAGTCTTACGCGATCTATTGGGACGAGCTGACAAAGGGTGATGCTGTGGTTGAGACATTGAAGCAGCAGCTCGGTAAGTAACCGGTAAGCTTCTCGAAGAAAGTAAGCTTAGGAATCGTACCATCTACGTCAACCAGTGCACAGCCTACCTTGCGTAAGTCCAGTGTAACGTTATCTAGGAAACATTTAGCTACCGTCACTCCACCAATCGGTACTACGACTACACCCGTGGTTGCGTCGACGAGCACAATGTTGACGGTGGCTCCTACCGGTATCTTGATTCCGCGAATTAGATACCTTTAATATCGTCTAGTCGACCCGTGCCCCGACTGCAATCCACCGACGTCAAGTATCCTATTCGTGCTCGATCAAAGCAAGAACAACAATGGGGTAGCGCTCTCGATATATAGTGCTGAAAAAAGAATCCTTTTTAGTTTGCACACATGAAATCATTGGTGCTGAGACTGGCACAACAGATGAATCACTTTGAACGGATTGCTGTGGCTGCGTACTCAAAGACTTTGGTCTCAGTGGCGCAATATGGAGACCTCAGAAGGATCGACGATCTAATGGCTGATATGGAAGCGGTGTATCAAGACGCTCGGACAGAGAATATGACCTCGTAAGGCTCCGGATATGCCAAAGATATGTCTATCCAGAGCACTTCAAGGATGCCTGAGCAACGACTACAAGCCCGTTTCTCCATTTACCGTTCAGCACACGATCTTCTTTACGGCATCGACGTAAGTGCCGAGCGTATGCCGAGCTAGCCATTTTTTCAGAAGCAATGAGGATGCAACGCAAGCAGTGGCCTTTGCGCAACAGCTCGGAGCCATGGGCACGCTGACTCCGATCTCGGTCGTCAGTCATCTGGACTCTTTGAACCAATTGGCCTTCCCGACTTCATACGCCATCTATTGGGATGATCTTACAAACGAAGACGACGTCTTGGCAACTCTGAATCAGCAGCTTGGCACGTTTACAGTCATTAACTTAACGATCTGCTATTTTAGGAATCGTCACCTCAATTTCAACAATTGCGCCAACTACCTCACGTAAGTTTGAGGTGACGGTAGCCTAGAATCACTTTAGCGACCGTCACCGCACCAGTCGGTACAACAACTATGACTGCAGCTGGTTCGACAAGTACAAAGTGGACAGTCGCTCCAACCGGTATTTTTGATCCGCGAAAGGTGTATAACTTTAAGCTAACCTAGTCGACCCGTGTCCTGATTGCAACCCCGCCACTTCCAGCATCCTCTTTGTGATCGATCAGAGCAGTAACAACAAAGGAGTAAACATAAACACCACTGTCTACAAATACTTAACCGTTCCAGTTCGACCAAATGAAAGACGTGGTCGTGAAGTTAGCCCAGCAAATGAATCATCCTGAACGCATCGCCATCGCTTCCTACTCAAAAACGCTGGTTGTCGTTGCACAATACGGCGATCTGAGGAAGATCGAAGATGTTGCCGCAGACTTGGCCTCGGTCTACATCGACAAAAGGCCGGAGAATATGACAACGTAGGCGTGACTTCTCAGCTGATGTGATTTTTTAGCGCCATCAAAGGATGTCTTGACCTCGACTTCAAGCCGGTCGCTTCGTTTACAACGCAGCATACGATTTTCTTCACCGCTTCAACGTAGGTTGCACTGCTTGAAGGCAAAAAGTGTTTCAGAAACAACGACGACGTGAACCAAGCTCAAGAATCCGCGCGCACCCTTGGAATGATGGGATCGTTGACACCGATTTCGGTCATCAATACCTTGGAAGAGCTCTCCCATCTCGCTTACCCCCCACAGAACGCCATCTATTGGGACGACATCACGACAGGAGACCAGGTTGTGGATGTGCTGATGCGACAGCTGGGAATGCCGCCTCGTTCGACTACCACTGGCACCACGGCCCCGACCACAAGTGAGTGGCGTTCAGCGCTATCTTACCTCCCCCTTTAGCACCCGGTTTTTGCCCCGATTGCGTGCCATCCGCTGAAAACGTCCTCTTCCTCTTCGATACGTCGGCACTGAACAAGAACGTAAGAAGTGCCTAAAAATCCATGCTGGTTAAAATTTAGATACTGGCCACGCAATCGGCTGTTCGCGAGCTCGTGACGGGGTGGAACCACTTTGAACGCGTAGCATTCGGCGAGTTTGGGTCGATTTTGTTAACGAAAGCTGGGTACGGCGAGGTTGTGGATCTCGAAAAGGCTTATGAACTTGTTGATGATTTGGACACGATCACCGGGGATGTCAACCTTACCTAGTGAGTTGGAGTAGCTTTCAAACTTAACGATATGCAGCTGACATAAACAAAATTAAGGTCGGGTAAAAATCACATTCGAAAAAAACAACTTTAGTGCGCTCATCATGGCCGACAAGGTCTACAAACCGAAAACAGAGTATGGAATCCAGAGAACGGTCGTGCTCACCCAGGCCAAGTAAGACAATTAATCCTTTGCAAAATAGCTATAACTTACAAGGGGATGGTCTCAGCTCGGAATCGAATTTCGGTTTGAAAATTTGCACACTTATAGAGCTCGACGAGACAAATCGATTGGTGTAAATTTCAGCAGCAGATACCCCGAACGAACAAAGTTATAAGCATTTTTAGTTTTTGCATACATTTTGCATGGTATTCGCCCTACCTTCATAAGCCCTCCCCCTTCCCCCATCAGCATGGTCTGGTGGTCTAGTGGCGTGGTACGCGGCGTCTGGGGAATCGATCGAGGGTTCGAACACGCTCACGATTTTTATTTTTTGCTTTTTGGTCCAAAGATTCCTCTTGGCCTTCTGAAGGCCTTCAATAACTTTTTCAGCATCAACTATACCCCAGAAAGCGTTGCCAATAATAAAGCAGCTTTGCGAAAAATTTAAAATTTTGTGCCTGTGCTCATGCCTCCTCAAAAAATTTTGAGGAAATTTTCAGAAGGCTGGCAATCTGCTTATCAACACTTTATCGTAACCCAAGCTTCACGAAAATAATTAAAATTATTTTCTTTGAACTGATCCTACTATGGTTACCTTGCCAACTTTCAAAATTTCCAAAAATTTTTAGGGTGGGATTTTTGCTGCGAGCGCTTCCTGGTTCCTGGTGAATGCCTAAAAGCCATTAAAGGTCTTTTGGAAGGCCAAGAGGAATCTTTGGACCAAAAAGCAAAAAATAAAAATCGTGAGCGGGTTCGAACCCTCGATAGATTCCCCAGCCGCCGCGTACCACGCCACTAGACCACCAGACCATGCTGATGGGGGAAGGGGGAGGGCTTATGAAGGTAGGGCGAATACTCTGCAAAATGTATGCAAAAACTAAAAATGCTTATAACTTTGTTAGTTCGGGGTATCTGCTGCTGACATTTACACCAATCGATTTGTCTCGTCGAGCTCTATAAGTGTGCAAATTTTCAAACCGAAATTCGATTCCGAGCTGAGACCATCCCCCTTGTTAGCTCGATCCTCGACATCGAATCAGCACTCCCAGCCGCCCAAACCCTCCAAGCCAAGGGCAGCTTGACCATCGTGGCGCTGCCCGGCGGCGCTCATCAACTTGCTGACCTGGCCTCGCCGAATATGTACTTCAACTGGCTGGGCCAGGAGCTGGACCCGCTGTTTTGTGGGATCCTCAGCTTCCTGAAGACAAATTTGGGTAAGAAGACACGATTTTTTAATACAAAATATAAAAGAAACATGAGAAATTTTCGAAATTCTTTTAGGCGACCCTTCGGTCTCGCCAACCTGCGGAACCCCAGGTAATTAACAACATTTCGCGCGAATTGCGTTGTTTTTAGCGCCAGACTGCGCGGACTGTGTGCCTGGCAGTGAGAACATCTTATTGCTTTTTGATACTTCTGAGGGAAATTATATGGTAAGTGAAGTATTGAAATACTCAGAGAAAGATTACGTCGCAAAAACTATATGATAAACACAAAATAAAAACTATATTTGTTGTGTAAAAGTCGAAAACACGAATTTTTGGGACAAAGCAGGCCTGACGGATAAGTCTCACCTGAGCGCGAAGGTCTGCGCATCAATAGACTCTATGAACAGCGGGAAACACGCCAATCGTGGAAATGCCCGTTTTTCCAGTTCTCCGACATGCAAGCAGCAATCCGTAACGCCACATCCACTTGGAATCACTTTGAACGCGTTGCCATCGGCGAGTACTCGAACCTCCTCCTGACACAAGCCATCTACGGCGAGCTGGAGGGCTACAGCGATTTCCTTTACCGCATTGATGACCTGAACCGGTTGACCGGACAAGCGAATATGGCGACGTAATCGATTTTCACAATTTGTCATTTTCCCTTTTAGCGCTCTCGAAAAGGCTGCAGAAACCTACCAGCCACTGCTCGAGTTCAACAAGCTCGACTTGCAGAGGACCATCTTGTTTACATCAACCAGGTAATGAAAGTTTTGGCAGCCTCAATGTCGAGTCTTTAGCATCGGCGTCGATGATGCTCTGGTCCCAGCAGCAGCATTGAAACAGCTTGGACTCGTCGCCGTCGTTGGCCTCGGCGTTGACGCCGCTCCTCTTCAACCCCTAGCTTCCGCGCCCGACTTGGCACTATCATGGCAGGGCGACCAACAAGCACTCGTCAGCTTCATCCAGCAAGCCCTCGGTACCCGATGACATATGCATAATTGAGATGTTTTGATAAAGCTATACATTTTTGAAGTATCTCTCTTCTGTCTTCGAAACCAACAAGTCATTTTCAGAGCGTACCCACACCACCACAGCGGCTTCTACCACACAGAGTACAACAACTACCTCGGCACAGGCGACGAGTGGGTTAAGTTATGATTTTTAAGGGCACAGTTCTCTCAAAATATATACTGAAATTAACTCCCCCGCATTTAGCATCTGGATTTGTGTGCAATGAGTGCTACCCTCAAGCTGAAAACATCTTGTTTTTGATCGATGGATCGACAAGGACTGAATTCGTAAGTTCTCGATTAGAGAGAGAGAGGGAGAGAGAGAGAGAGAGAGAGAATGAGAGAGAGCATGACTCCAACAATCGTAGAGTCAAACTAACTCTCTAACTTTAGTTCGGCTACATCCAAGACATATTACGATACCTGGCCGCCGACTTCAACCACTGCGAGCGAATCGCGATGGGCGCCTACGATTCGACAATCTACAGCCACCTGAATTTCAACGAAGAGGACTGCACCCGCTTCGGTGACTGGATGGACGACCTGGATTATGGCGGAGATGTCCGGAACCTAACCGTGGCCCTGGAGTCGCTCTTCGACGCCACGGTCTTCAACCCTGTCTCCAAATTTGGGCCCACGCGGGTGGTGATCTTCACAGGAGCCACTGAAGCGGAAACCACCTTGGCTTTACCTTCGGCTCAGAAAGTCAAAGATCAAGGGACACTGACGATTGTCGGGTTGGAGACATCGATTGACATAATTCAGCCCCTGGCGTCGCCTGGATTTGCCTACGCTTGGACGGATGTCGATAAGTTCGCGCAGGTCAAGGCATTTGTTGTCAAGACGCTGACGGACCCAGCGCCGGGACCAGCAACTACCGGCAGTCCTATAGCTACCAGTGGGTTCATTTGATCACAAATTGCGCTTTGTAGGTTCACAAATCAACAATAAGTTTAAAAAAAATAGATGAATGACTCTTTACAGAATTGGAAAAGGTAATAGACGATTAAATAGATTTTTTAGCACCCGGCTTTGTGTGCGATGACTGTTACCCACAGGCTGAGAACATTCTGATTCTGATGGATGGATCGTATAAAAATCAACTGGTAAGTTACAAGGGTGCGGGCGGACGGGAGAGTGAGAGAGATATAGAGAGGGGGGAGAGAGAAAGAGAGCGAGAGAGAAGCCGCGAACATCCTTTTTTAGTTCGGCTACACTGAAGGTATCTTGATGTCCCTGTCCGAGGAGTTCAACCACTGCGAGCGCATGGCGATGGGCGCATTTGCGTTCAGTATCTACGGCCACGTGGATTTCAACGGAGAGGATTGCCCCGCTTTCCTCGGATGGCTAGACAACCTGGACTACGGTGGCGACGAGGGCAACCTCACGGCCGCCCTGCAGTCTGTGTTCGACCGTAAATACTTCAACCCTCCCGCCAAATTTGGACAAATCCGAGTGGTTGTCTTTACAAACGCCACCAAAGACGACGTAACCCTGGCCCTACCGTCTGCTGAGAAAATCAAGGCTCAAGGCACCCTGACGATCATCGGGTTGGGGACACCTCTTCAGCTGATCCAACCGTTGGCTACTCCCGGATTTGCCTACTCTTGGAGCGACCATACAAAAGCCGGCGAGGTGAAGGCGTTCATCATCGACACGCTAAATAACCCGAATCCTGGAGTGACGACAAGTTCCGCAGCTACCTCGCAGAAGCCGACGAGTAGGTTATTTGTGACTTCAAGGACTTGTCGAAGCTGAGCCTGACCCTGGCATTAGCAAGTTAATGAGGTAAAATTTTAGCGCCCGGATTTGTTTGCGACGACTGTTATCCGCAACCTGAAAATATTTTGTTCTTGATGGACGGATCGAAAAAAACGGAATTTGTAAGTCTAAGGGAGCGAGATTGATCTAGACAACGAGACATCGAGGAATAGATAGAGAGTGAAAAGAGAAGTGCGTAATTGAACCCGATTTTTAGTTCGGCTACATTGAAGAACTCTTGATGAAGTTCCCCGAGGAATTCAACCATTGTGAGCGGATTGCGATGGGAGCCTACGACTCGAAAATCTACGGTCATGTCGACTTCAATAGGGATGATTGCCTGCGTTTCGACCAGTGGATAGACAACTTGGACTACGGTGGCGAAGAGGCGAACTTGACTACGGCATTGGAATCGCTGTTTGACCCCAAGGTCTTCAACCCGTTATCCAAATTTGGACCCGCTCGAGTGGTCATCTTCACCAAACCCACTCAAGCAGATGTCACTGCGGCTTTACCTTCCGCCGAAAAAATAAAGGCTCAGGGTACACTGACGATTATCGCGTTGGGAACTCCGGTTGAGGTCGTACAGCCATTGGCAACCCCCGGTTTTGCCTATTCTTGGACTGATGGCGATAAAGCCGAGCTGGTCAAGGCTTTCGTTATCAAGACATTGACGGACCCGGCACCTGGGGCCACTACAACGACAAGTCCGGCAACTACAGCCTACCACTGCGACGATTGCAACCCCGCCCAAGCGAACATCCTCTTCGTCTTTGATGTTTCCTATATAGCAAGAAAAGTTAGAAGCCAAGTCGAGCTTGCAAAATACTTGGCCGTGAACTGGAACTACCTGGAGCGAGTGGCGTTGGCTGAATACTCATCCGACCTCTCGATTCTAGCAGAATATGGACAGATGACGCTTTACGAGGACTTCCTCGAAGCGCTTTCCTACATAAAACCCAGTCAAGACCCTGAGAACATGACTCGTGCCCTAGAAAAAGACGCAACAACTCTACCACCCAATTTCAAAGTACGGGAAGCAAAAAGTTGTATTCTTCACTGGATCCGTAAATCAAGCTGATATCGATTCGGCAGTTGGGCCAGCGCAGCAACTACAAGCGCTTGGTGAAGTCGCGGTCGTCGGATTGGGGCTAGGGTTGGAAGATGCGGAAAAGCTACAGATGCTAGGGAACTACGTCTACGCCTGGAAGAATTTGGACGATGTGATGGCGGTTGGGCGCTGGATTGACGCGCTTTTAGGTAAGTAATAGCGAAATTATGTTACGCATCCTGTTGTGTGTTGCGTGTTGCGCTGCGTGGTGGTAGCGGATGCTTAGACTACGGGTTGCCTACAATGGTGCGTCAGCTAGCTTCCAGCGCCTCGAGTATTCTAGCTGTCTTCGGAAGCAAAAACCAAATGACATGGTGCGTCGCGCGTGTGTTGCGTCAGGATTTACCATATCTTATAGAAAAAGCATTCCATCAATTGACAAAAGAATCTATTTAGGCGGAACTCTCCCTACGCAATCACCAGCGACGAGCGGGTCAACGTCAGGCCCTACCACGCGTAAGTCCCTAAAACTTACAAGGATCTGAATAATTTGAGCATTCCGCTGTGATGACTGCAACCCAGAATCTTCAAGCATACTTGTTATCGTCGATCGCTCGCTAGCAAATCCCGGATTTGCGCAGCAAATGGCGATGCTGAAGGAGCTAACGTCCGATTGGACTCACTGGGAGCGCATCGCACTTATGGACTATGGACCCTCAGCCAACCTCGCAGCCGATTTCGGGGATCTGCATAGCTATGACGACTTTACACATCTCCTCGACCTAACACCAGCCTATGGAGAGCACGAAAACATCACAAAGTATGAAACACCGTTTTATCAGCTAGAAACGACCATTATAGCGCACTTCGAGCTGCGAATAGCACTCCGATTTTCGATCCAAAGTTTGGGGAGATGAAGGTGTTGTTCTTCTCGGCCTCGAAGTAAGACTTTTCTTCAAAGATATCGATGACATAACCAAGTCAGTAAATAATTTTTTTTAGTGACGCAGCTGACGTGAAAGCATCCCGACCCTACGGTGAAAGTTTGCATCGTCTCGGCGAAGTCGTCGTCGTCGGTATTGATCTGGTGGAAGAGGAGCTGAGGCCGTTTTATGTTTATGTCAACTACGCTATTCCATGGACGTATCTTGACGATTTCAGCTATGTAATGGAAACGATCGATCATGCTTTGAGTAAGGAAGTTGAGAAGGCGTCATTTATTTTTTAGGCGGTAGCGAGCCGACTACGACGAAGGGGACTGGGCCAACAACAACAAGTAAGCTTTGTTAAGGACTTGCCTCGTTTTTGAGCTCTAGCGACTTGGCTTGGCTAGATACGTGACGCAAGCCGTCGCGCGTATCACCCGGTGATTTAGATAGTTTAAGCTTTTCTTAGAATACCTCTGCTCCGACTGCAACCCGACTAGCTCCAGCATTCTCATCATCATCGACGAGGGCGCTAGAGAAGACGCCGTACGTGTGCTTAGGCGGATTATAGCATATATTTTGTAGTTTAAACTAACGCAAGCCGGTCTCACGCTCGTCGCTGCCAACTGGAACCACTTTGAGCGAGTGGCTATCATCTCGTATGCTAGTATTGCATACCCGGTCGCGAATTACGGCTCGCTCAAGGATTATGCCGACTACAGCGAATACGTCAGGAACCTGATTCCGGGCGTGAAAGTGGAAAATATGACGGCGTTAGTGATTATTGAAATATCGAATTTTGAAGTTTAGTGCCCTCAAATATGCAGCCGAAAAGGTTGAGCCGGTGCCGAGATTCGGGGAGCAACAAACCTTACTTTTCACAACTTCCAAGTAAGCTAGAAAAATGGAGTCGATTTGCAAATTTAATTCTAGCAACCGGGCCGATGTCGCAAGCGCGAAACCATACGCCGAAGCGCTTTACGGACGGCTAATCGTTGTTGCGTTGGGGATGGATATATCGCAAGCGGACGTTTTTGCCGAAATTGCGGATGAAATTGTGGCTGAGACAGACTTGAATGATATCGAGGGGCTGGCTGCGGACCTGGACGATGTGTTGCGTACGTACCTAACCCGATTTAACGCACGCTCTTTGTGCTTTTTAACCCACGCCCAAGCTTGAATGATATTTCCAATCGAACTTTAAAGTACTAAGCGTAGTTTAGGGCATAAGTTTTTAAAACAATTTTTCTAGGAGGCCACTTGCCAACCACCACCGCCGTTCCGACGACCTCAAAAGGTGAGTCTTCAAACTTCTTTGTTTAATTTACACAACTTAGCAACTCGTCCCTCTACTGCAACAGCTACTGCTAACACAGGTATGGGGATACGCTAAAAACCAATATATTCTGACGCTTAGCAACAACCACATTCACGAATCGTTGCCCTGATTGTAACCCACCCGGAAATCTGCTCCTACTCTTCGACACCTCCGCCCAAAATTCGGCGGTATTGATTTAATAACTAGTTAAAGAAACGTCTGATTCAGTTCATCAAACAAATGGAAGCCGTCGAAGGCGTTGGTTCGAGGTGGAATCACTTTGAGAGAGTGGCGTTGGCCGGCTATAATAACGTTACATTCTCCACTACGCAATATGGTGACCTCCAATCGCTGGATGATTTTGACAACAAAATCGGGTGGATCGCAAGGATGTCGGGGACGAGTCCGAACTTAACCCTGTAAGCGTAATTAAGTATTTTTATACAAACATATCTTACATAATGTCATACGAATTTAGCGCCATACCCGAAAATCTTAATTGATTTAGAGCACTCTCCCAAGCCCTAAGCACCTTCCAACCAGATTCAAGCTATGGCCAACAGCATGTAATTCTCTTTACGGAGACGAAGTAGTTTTTCCCGTAAATCACGGAATTAAACTTATTTAGCAACAACGGTGACATCGCTGATGCTATCCAAGCCGCCAAGGAGTTGAAGAAGCTCGGTCCATTGACCGTGGTGGCATACTACCCAGCCAGCGAGCTGTACGAGGTCGATTGAGTAGCTTAAGCTTCAGCTTTCTATTTTTTACAGTACCTCGCATCCCCCGACATGTACATCCAGTGGACGGGCGAGACGGTAGGTGATATTGTGGATGCAGTGGAGAAGACGCTAGGTATGCAATTAGCGTTACGTCATCGTAAGTTATTTTTGTAGGTTATCAAGGCCCTAGTACTCCTGCTGGAATGACAACGGGTAGGCTAAAAAACAGCAAAGAAATTTATTAAGGCGAAATGGTTGTTTTTAACTGTTTTAACCAAGATCGAATCTTAATAAAACTAGCTAGTAAACCCACAATATTTTAATTAAGAAAATATCATTAAGAACCTACCACTGCGTCAAGTTCAACAAGTAACGGTGCCTTCACGACAATTCAAACGGCGCCTCCGAGCACTACAAGTACCATTTTTGAAAAATTGGCACACCTTCCCTTCAATTTTAGCAACGGTTCCAGTATGCCCCGATTGCTACCCGTCAGCTGGCGATATCCTATTAGTGCTTGATGAGTCATTATCCGACAAGCCGGTACAGTATAGTTTTCCTATCGAAAAATCCTGTATTTCAGTTCCCAACTTTCTTTTTCACGCTCTTCATGAAGCTCACCAACTCGTGGAATCACTATGAACGTGTTGGAGTTGTCGGCTATTCGACGGGCGATGCTGATTACCAAGTTCACGTCGATTACGGAAAGCTACGGAACCAGGATCAGCTGTTGACGCTGGTTTCGGAGTTGCAGCCGCATGGGGATAGGACGAATTTGACGAGGTATCGCCGTACCATCCCTAAAATATCGATCTTCTTTCAGCGCGTTCCAAAACACGGCCCTCAAGTTCAGTCCAACGTCACCTTACCATAACCAAAAAGTTGTAGTGTTCACTTCGACTACGTAGGCTACAAAATTCGGTCGTAATGTATCGTTTTAGGAACATTACCGACCCCCAATCGACTGGATTTTATGCAAAGATCTTACAGAGTTTAGGCTCCGTGACATTAGTGGGCGTTCAGGTATGAATTTTTAATGGGTCATTTGAAGCTATAATTTCTAGGTCGATGTGATACAACTTTCACCCTTGGCTTCGCCTGGAAAAACCATTTCCTGGTTGAATTTGGGCGACAGCCAAGCGATTGCTGACCAAATCAACGATGCCCTAAATTGAGTAGAGACACTTTGAGAACTTCCACACCGGAGAGATTACTGTTTGTTGGTGCTGTGTTTTATTTACCTTGTTATGTGTTTTGTGATGTCCTGATACCAGAGTTTTGCGAGTATAAAAATCCGCTTTTCTGAAAATGAATTATATTGCTGGAATCTCAAGAAAGAGGTAACGAGTATCATCACCACATACATACGTCTCAAGGTGTCAAGCGTATCGTATCATAGCGTAGCGTGGCGTGACTTGGTCTAGAGTAGCGTAACATAGCCTAGCGCAGCCTAAAGCGTTCGACCCGGAAAAACGGCCAAACCAGCTCAGAAGATAAGTTTTGTTAAGATCATCGGTATTCGTAAATGTCTCTATTTATTACTTTTTTAGCGGTTAAGGGACGGAGAAGGCAGTGGTGTGGAATTTTTGAAATGGTGCGCTATGGATTTTGTTATGGCCGTGGTGTGTAATATGTAATGTAATTCATTACGCCATGTAAACGGTTATCAACGTAGATTGGTCAAAGCAATTCCATACAAATTCATAGACTGCAAAATCCATAACCAAGCCTTGCCGATCCCGTTGGCTCAAGGGATCCCATGATCTTCCGGCTCGCCCTATAAGCTGATCGTCATTCGTTCTGTTCTCTCCGGAAAAAACATGATCAGCAGGGAGAGGGCATGAAGGACTGCCCCTAGGTCGGGGAAATGAAATCCGGTGAAAGCCAAATGGGTCGCCTTTCTGTCGATCTTGTCTTTTTTCGGCCCAGCAGAGTGGGGTCCGCACCACCCGGGGGTGGGTTCTTGATTTCAGATTTTTCGAGGAGATTTTTTTCCGGCCCAGCGACCGGTCTCGTAAATTTTTCGAGGCGGGATATTTGCCATCACACCCCGGTGTGGTCGCCTAATTTGGGGGAAAACACGGAGAATGGGGGGGAAATTTGGGGGCGAAAACCGCCTGGGGGTAAAGCAAGCGACCAATGCGGGCAAGCGCTGCTTTTCCCTTATTTGGGGATGGCTAACCGCTTGCAAGCCCTCAGGCTATATGGTGGTCAGGCGGGAACAGGTTCTCCCCTTGCTCCTAAAGTGACATTCTCGGGCTCTGCTCTCGCGTGAAGTGGGCGAATGAATCGAGCTTGTGGTCGTGACACGCCGCGCAATAAATCCATAGCCCATGCTTGCTCTTTTCGCACGTTGCTATGCAAAAAGCGGGCACCTGTACTTGTCGTTCTTGACGCCTGACTGTTTTGTTCGCAGCCATACTTACAAGGAGACGTTTTTGGGTGATATTGGAGTTTTTGAACGAGACCTAGCTAGTTCGATAGAGAAAAAAATTCTGAACAAGATGTCGGTTTCCAAATCTGCTAACCGTGTACTGTATTCAATAAAAATTAATTTTAATGAAAAAATGCCTGGACGTCAGGCTGCGACCCATGGATCAGACCCGGGACATAGCCCACAGCGCGAACCAGCGTCCGCATGAGATCGTGGCCTAGTGGATAATGCCGGCGCCTATCAAACTTTTGCAAAATTATGCCCAGGGTTCGGAACTTATTGTGATTTATTGTTTTGCTTTTTGGTTTTTCATGCCATTAAAATCGAATTTGGTTAGCACGGTTAGCAGATTTGAAAAACGACATCTTGTTCAGAATTTTTTTCTCTATCGAACTAGCTAGGCCCCGTTCAAAAACTCCAATATCACCTAAAAACGACTCCTTGTTAGCCTCATCCTGTGTCTCGACCTGCCGAGAATTCCGGTCTATTTTAGGCTTTTTTTCACTCGTTTCTACTATTGACCGAATCCTGTGATTTCAAGGCCTTGTTTGTATGCCTTCAGGCACAAACATAAAGGTTTCGAATTTAATTTTGCATGGATTAATCAATAGTAAGCTAGTGGTGTAATGGACGTCTTTATTACCACTTATTTCCTTCGATTTCTTCTCTGTGATTTACTATTGCTCATTGATTTGGTTGTTTTTACGCTCTATCGCATTAAACCACATTATTAAAGGTATCCTAGTTTTTTTTATTAGATAAAGCTGACTGCATATAGGTTTTAAAGGTGGTTCTCAGACTTCAAGAAATTTACATAGTAACAAAAAGGTTAAAGTCGATTAGTAAGATTTACGGTATTTAGGTATTGTTACTATCATTCCACGAGTGTTTTATGCAGAATTCATTAACGGAACTGCCCTTGATGTGATTTTTGTATACCGTTTCGTTTTTAAATTTTTAGCTGTTTTTTATTGCTTTCGTTTAATTGAATTTAGATAGCATTAATTTATTCATAGGCACTTTCCTCATTCCCAAGCCGATCCCCCGCCAAATCCGTCGCTAATTTTTTCGTTTCCAGATAACGCATTTCGCGCCCTAAACCCCCGGGTATCGCCACCTCTCGCCAAAGTGGTGAGAAACATAAGAAACTGTTGAAATCCGGTCGTCGAAGCCGGCGCGGCGGCCGTCGGCGATCCGACGGCCGATTAGGCTTCTCGGATCCGGAGAAGCCGGCCGTTTTTTGGGCGCTCTCGACCTGGGCGGCTGGATTGGGCAGTTCGCGCAAGTCTCGTCGCCTCTATCCAATGCTTCTTCTTCCACCTCGTGCTTATTTTATGGCCCATTAATTCGCACGAATGGCTTCGTTTCATTTTATGCGGTTGTAGGGCTCGGGGATTAGCACGTTTTGGGAATAGGACAAAGGATGTACAATTTCAGGTTGTCGCTCTTCGAGTGGTCAGCGTATTTGAGAGATGCAGTCGGAATTGAGACTCCTTATTGGAGTCGCACTGTTAATTTGCATAGCAGCCGAGGTGGACATTGCTTGTCGGCGGATACACGGGGCGTCTTGCTGTACGACGAGGGTGGGTTAACGTTAATATTGATCCTTACTTTCCCTATTTTTTATTTAATTCTTTCGTATTAACCAACTCTCCCACCTCACGATATCATTAGTCATTTTTAAAAGGTGAATAATACCGTACAAACCCTATACAGAGCTATCACACTACAAACTAGAATATTATATGAATTATGATATTCTAAAATATACCTGAACAGATACCCTACGACTCCTAAAAATTCATAATTAACTAATTAAAGCAGCGAACGTCAAAAGTATTGGTTTACCTACCACTACAAACTATAAATTTAGTGGGCTCCAGAGTGCGCACCGAAAAATTGTTTCAAATACATCCAGCGCTATTGCCCAGATCGACGGGCAGCTTTGGTCAGTTTTTTAATAGCTTTCTGATGCCATCTTTCTCCTCCAGGCCGCAAAATCACGAAGAAAGGCAGTGACATTAGAAGATCACCAACGCATGATGATACTGTAAGTGCCTAGCATCATCTTTCATCAACATTTTCATCACCCATCAACTATAAAATTTAGGCAAAGTGCGGTACAGCCGAGAAGAACTACCAGCCATGCACGACAAAGAAGATTGCCAACAAGCTTTTCCGGTCTTGCTGCGAGCTGTACGTTCCTGATGAGTGTCATTTTATGTGCGAGTACGAGACGGATCAGATGAAGACGAGGAAAATGGTGAGTTTACCACCCTTCAAACGTCAGCCCGAGTCTTTGAATTTCGAGATTTTTGATCAGTTCCGAGTTCAGGGCGAAACATGTTTGAACCTCCGTATTTTATCCACTTTTTTGCAGTTGATCGATATGGTGAAGCACAAGAGGTGCTCGATCAAGTATCTGTCCTCGATCCTGTACTGCGCCTCGCAGAATCGGGACAACCGGAAGTGCTGTGAGGACTTGGATTTGAATGCGCCGCAGCTTCAGGTTTGAATTTGATGGTTGTATGACTTTGTATCTCGCTGTATCTCTCTCTACTGATCTATTTTTTTCCACCCTCTCTCTCGCTCTCTCGCTCTCTCTTTCTCTCTCTCTCTCTCTCTCTCTCTCTCTCTCTCTCTCTCTCTCTCTCTCTCTTTTTTCCGAATCGCAACTAACGGCTTGCCATATCAGTATTTTAAATTCCAGATCGGTTCTCGTTGCCTAAGAATGTGCGACCCTTCCGGAACTGCCATCGAAAAAATCACAAAAGAAGACGTCACCTGTCTGTATAATTGGAACGTCATCATGTACTGCCACCACGCGGGAATTCGGGAAATGTAAAACCCTCCGATTTCCACAAACCTAATAATCCATACCGGGACCTCCTAATAAAGTATCTCACGTGTCGCAAAAAATACGTTATATCACTTTATACATGGAGAAAAATGACGACATCTTACAAAATATGTACGAAATTGTTTTTAACACTGAGAAAAAAAGATCAAAAGCCAGATTCGGCCTACTGATGCGTCAGTGACGGTCACATGGCATTGACCACAGAAATTTTTGCCGGCATCGAGTGGCGATGGTATATTTGGTTTATGGCGTACGGGACGGTGATGACCGATTTTGGAGAGGTTGGCTGGATCAGTTCGTGTAGTGTATTCTGTAAAGAAATGAAACTGTTTTAGAGGCGTCAATTCTTCCTGCTAGCCTGCCCCCGCTTACCTGAAAAGCCCGAATCATAGCGTAGGGGATTGTGACTTGCAAAAGATACCCAACAGCCGAGATCAAGAGCATTGAGTTGATAATGTAATTTGGGAGTGGGAAGTCTGAAACTTTTCAAGGTATCCTGGAGCAAAGCAGGCTTACATGGTCCCCAGCTAACTTTACTTACTTGCCAGTGCCAAGTTGGCTTGGGCGATGTGAAAACCGAAGGCCAGTAAAGGTAGGAGGCCTTGGAGCAGAAGCGAAATTGTCATGTTTCGCTCGTCGGAGAGGTGAAGACGAGTTTTAATGTGACCTGTAAAGTACCATTTTCCCCAAGCTTTCGAATAATCAAACGTCGATAAAGCCCGAAAAAGTACAGCAACTTCCAAAAAATGGTATAGAAGGCATAACAAACCATTGCTATCCCGTCGGTGGCTCATCAAAAACTTTAGAATCCACAGATTTAGTGAAAAACTGAGTAGGTCGTAGGCAATAATTTGGATCATGATAAACTAGAAAATCTATTTTTTTTTCATAGCGGCACGATTAAACTTACCGTATCATCTCCCAGAAAGTTCGTGGTCAGGCTCACTCTGCAGCAATCGTTGTAGGTTTCGGTTCCCCAGAATAGGAAAGCGATTGGATGCAGGATCTAAAAAAGTTGATGAAGCGAGAGGGAGTGAGAGAGAGAGGGAGAGAGAGAGGAGGAGTGAGAGGAGCGGAGAGAGAGAGAAAGCGAGAGCGAGAGAGAGAGAGGTTGGGGTAGGCCTTACCAATTTCCAATTCAAAACGAGAAAGATGACGTGCTGGCCGATGTCGAAAAAATTGATGTTCCAGATGATGCTCAGGTATCGTGTGATGGAGGATGCCTAAACATTAAAAAAATAATCAGAGATATGTTCATAGCTTACTAGCAAATACGACTCAAAGCTCCACAAAAAATAGCTAGGCACAGATTTCAGAAGCGCACAATGGAAAGGGGTTGTCTAAAATGGTTTGGAAGCTCGAGAGCAAGAGTTTTTCAACCTCAAGCTCAAGCCAGCAAGCAACACAAATACACGCATCGGCCAGAAATTTTGGAGTTAACAGCATAGCGAATGCATAGACGGTCCGGACTGGAAAATTAGAATTTTCTCGGGAATCAAAAACTACGGTACCCCATAAGCGACATACAATTCCGGGTGGCGTTTTTGTAAAAGCATCAATAACAGGCTCGAGATATAGAGCGGAATTTTTAATAGCACATCCCTGGCAGCGGCTACCGTATACTCATGGCTGAATCGTGCGTCCGAGGAGGTGTCCATAGGAGCGCCCGTACTATCGTGGAATTCCCTAAAAATTCTGATATCCCTAGTAGCTGTTGAGTAAAAGCACAAAATACTAGTTTTAATTTATTATTTCCTGCCTTACAAGGAATTGGCTGGCCCCCGGAATCCACATAATTCCGAGGGCGCCAAAAGTGCGCTCAGTCGGCACGTGGAAAATTCTAAATCTGAAAACAACTTCACTGATCTTTTAAAGGCGCGCTTTTATGCAAAAATTTTTTTTGGAGTTTCAAAATAGAGCGATTCTTGCTTTCCGTGCTTCTCCACACCCCCGCCCCCAAACCACATGCGCGGGCTGTAATTTTCTACAAAGTTCGTGGAAAAATCCCTGAATGTGCTGCATGGCGTTGTGAAGAATTGTTGTTGGTTCCCCGGGGGACAATTTCTAGTAGGATTTGAATTGGAAAAACAGGCATTAGATGCATTTTGGGGATGCCGAGGCTCTGAGAAGAGCGAGCAGGAAAGTAAAAATCGAAAATTAAAAAAAAATTACAAAATAGCTATAATAATGTGTATTTCTGACAACAATTAGCTATGTTAATAGGGTATTGCTTGACGCCCCTTTATAGCAAAAAAACAGCGGGTATGATTTTTATTTCACGACCCGATTACCGTAATTTTCCAGCGCTAGTATGTTATCATTTTTTTATTCAATATCGTGCATTCTTCACTGGGTTTGATTAATACTCAATTTAGCGATAAATATTGGCGGCCTACGCTCTAAAAATATTTTCACAACTATCGCCCTATGAACTGGTAACTTTCAAAATTAGCATCCAGCCTGACGCAGGGGCTTTGTGCTCTGGGCGACCAAAATAAACATCCCGTGTTTTTATTGCACTTTTTCGGGGGAATATTGGGGATTTGGTGGATATAAAATGGAGGGCTCCCAAGCCAGAATAAGCTCAATTCGTAAGCTGATCAACATGACTTCAATGGTTCGTTATAATCCTTAAAAATTTTATATATCAACTTTAGAAATTCTTTATCCTCCTTGTTGCGATTTTGGCTCTAGCGGCTGCTCGTGAGTATTGGGCCGTACTTCCGTAAATGTGATTTTAGAAACGTCTCCATCACCGAGGACTACCAGACACCGAAAGCGTAAAACTTGAAGTTAGTAAAATATTACTTTTTTTTAATTCTAGATCATACTGCGACTAAGAAGCAAATTACCGTAACTAAAGCACCCGGCCAAAGACTCTGCAACTCCAACGCCGATTGTGGCGGTGGAGAGTTCTGTAACACTTGTGGACCGGGGAATTGCGAGCAGAACTGTGACTTGCCGCCCCAGGTCTGGATACCTATTGTTTTCTATTAAATCCCCTTGAAGTTAAATCCGAATGCTAGCTCTAAGCAAAGCGACCTAACGAAAAAGTACCACGGAATTGCCTATACTACCTACCTCTTAGAACTAGAGATGTTACGAATCAAGTAATATAATGACCAAGTAAATTTACTTGAACAACTTTATTTGCATCCGAAATTTTCAAGTAACTATAAAATTATTTTACGCCGTTTGCTTTGAATAAGCATCAAGTAAAATAAAATTAATTGATTTACTTGATCTTGATTGATTTGGGAGAATTACTTGATTTTCAGCGAAATTACTTGATTTTGTGCAAATTCTCAATGCAAATCAGGCAATCGTGCCGCGAACCCAGTAAATTAGCATGCGATCATGTCATAAAGTTCATTACCATCCGAAAAATTCCAGAATTCCAGAAAGCTATTATTTGATCAAGTAAATCAAGTAAATCAAGTAATCTTACTTGGATCTTTCTCGAGCGGAGTCAAATAATATTATTTTACTTCGTCATACGCTCAGCCCCATCCAAATAAAATAATATCGTGCCAATGTATGCAAATAATCTTGATTGTTAATTGATTCTTAACATCCCTATTTAGAACTGCCCGAAGCAACAGCAGATCATCTGCGCCCACTCGATTCAACGTCAGGGCGTCTGCGTCTGCAACGAGGGCCTTTACAGGGCTCGCAATGGAAACTGTGTCCTGCAGGGACTCTGCCCGTGTAAGTTTAAACGTCGAAATTACCACCTGAAGACGCATAATGTAAAATTCGGGGTTTCCAGCTCACAACCTGAAAGTTCTAATCGTTCAGACCATAGAAATATCGATACAGCAGTTCTAACAGCTATTGTTTTACACGAATCTGCTAAACCGTCCAGCTGTTTGTACAGCTCTTAAGGTTATACAAGTTTCACATACAATCTTTTTAGTGGGACGTCCCGGTCACGGCAAATAAGTCCTCGACGAAAGCCTCCACCTCTAGTCGAGTCTCCAGTCGAGTCTGTACACTTTGTTTTTGCTTTCGACATGTTCCTCATGATAAAGACATTTTCCTCATGGTTTTTAGTGCAGCACATTATACCCTTATCGCACAAAATTCCCTTCAACCCTTGTTCTAGAAATCCAGCAAGAAAGAAAAAGTGGAATACGACTCTTCTTTCTCTTTATATAGGCGATAATCCCCTTCCGGTGTATGCTAATTGTTTCCTAACAAAGAAGCTGAACAAGAATTTCACAAAAACCTCATTTTCGCACTGAAAATAGCATATTTTCAAGGATTTCAGCTGCGTGTAGTCGATGCTGGAGCTTTCTTTCCTAGCGACGTTTCTTCCATATCGAAAAATGCTTCTCTGCGGAACATCCTCACGGAAGTTGCATACAAATGCACACAGAATCTATTTTTTATACATAGTAGGGTTGTCGTTGTAATGGCAATGGAGGCCATCGCTGTCTGTCTCGGACTTGCAACGGAAGTTGAAAAAAGAATGCAAACGAGATTAATGAAAAAGATCAGGGGTGAAAAAAGAATACCGGGCTAAAATACAAACAAGAAATTTTTATGGGCCCCAGCAGGCCCGTAACAGTGCGGGGCGAGGGGGGACGAGGGCTTTTTTGGGCTGTTTTTAACACTATTTTTAATGTTATAAGTTCATTTTTATTTAATGTTTTCACAAATTTTCCTGCGGCGCAACATTTTTGGTCGATTCATTGGTCAAATTTTGCCGCAGCCCGAAATTTCGGATTTGTTACGGCCCTGGGCCCCAGGCTGCGCACCGAAAAATGTCACATCCATAGACTATTTATACCCGTCGAAAACCATAGCATACTTTGCCGATGGCATTAAAGGGCTCGAGAAAGTTGAATTTGGCGAAAAAGCAAAGGATCTTGCAGCGGGCGGGAGTCGAACCGACGATGGTTCACCCCACAGCCCAGCGTGCTAGCCAATACGCCATGGCGCCATGGCGCCAACCGAGCCGCCGCGGCGAAAAGCCCTCAAATACCCTAGCGGTAGTTCCGCAGGCCGTTTCCGGGTTTCTCACTATGGCGGACACCGAAATTGGAGTACCGTAGGGACGTTGTTCGGAAATAGACTTGGAAAACCCCCCGAGAAATACCCCCGGGGGTGAAAACCCCCGCCTTAAACTTGGGCAATTGAACCAAAATCCGGGTTCTCGAAAGTTCCATTTGTTCGATCGGCCGAACTGTTATTTCTGATCAGTGGGCCAGGTCCTCGTCTTTTACCTTCCAGCAAAAGACGCATACCTGGCCATCGGTGGCAATTCGGTCCCACTAACGAACATCTGGACGGGGGGGGGGTCCCTCAGGGGTTTTTTTGGGGGTATGTTGGCTCCTCGGGGGGTGGGGGTTTCGGAGGGTGTCAAAGTCTATTCGGAAGTTATCGTCGATTTTTGGAAAACCGTCAATGCGCCGCAGCGGGTTGCAATCGCAAACCAGCGGAAAACTGCGAAATATTTGAATAAAGGTGAATGAATAAGATGTTGCAGTGCTGAGGCGCCACGTTGAAGAATCTCTTGTCGTGCTATTAACTCATTGCGCTCAATAAATTTTGGCATTACCGACGTGATGAATTTCACCTTAAAATTACCCCCCGGAAAAAATTACCGTTTGTGTGCGAATGGAGATCACTCTTTGCTGGGCTCGGAACCACCAGTAGGAGAGCTGAAAATTCTGGAACCACCCCCATCTAGCAAAGATTACAGCCCCTTATCACATGCAAGAGTTGCCACCGGACCGGGAAAAATATTGCCGACCAGTTCGCATTTTTACGAACCGCCTGCTTTTTTCGACGCCTCGGGATGTGCTGCTTATTTTGCCTGGGGGCCGCTATAGGTTGGTGTTCCTTAAATCATTCATCGTGGGATATCGATTATGGTAATATACAGGGTGTCTCAATAAAAAAACTCTCTAACCCGACGCAGAAGTATCCGTTCGGAATGTTATTTACACCATCTAAAAGCCCTTGAAACGGCGACTTTGTAGCAGTTTTGAAAACCTAGTTTTTATTTAAATCTGCGATTTGGTGTGCGATGTGAAATAGTGGAACTATCATTCCGCTGTAACCGGAAACTAGCAAATATTGCTCATATCCTTGCCAAGCTATTTAGCCGCCTCTGAAACCGACCCAGAGCGAGAGCTGCGGCAGCAACGACAACAACAGAATCAGCCGATGCCGCCCCATCTTGATTCGGAGGGCCATCACCACTGCGTACGTCGCTAATTTGCCATAGCACCCTAAAATAAAGGGTCGATTGCTCACGTCCCCGTGTAAAAATAGACAGGCTCGTTTTACCTGGTACCGTACCTTTCCCTCTCAAAACACGGAGAAAGGCGCAGCAGAAAACGTCAACCAACTTTTTACGTGCAACCCTATTTTCGGACACCTGAAAGTCATACGAGGGAACGTTTCAAAGCAAAAGTAGCGGGTAATGTTAGACCCTGTGTCTAAGCAAGTCTTTACGTTGTTTCCAAATCGGCAAGCCGTTTGTGCTACAGACCCTTAGCTTTTGAAAAATATTTGCTGCCTGTAAAACAACCTAATTTTGGTTTTTTCCTTTCTAAAACGTGTACGATAGAAGCTAGGCCTAACCAAAACGAAGGTGAAGTTTGGCGAAAAATTTTTTCGTGAAGTTACTTATAATTGGTGTATCTATTACCTAGAGGCTTTTCGAAAAATTTTTGATGCTGACCTGCTTACTCAAAATAACATTTTGGGGCCAGCGAATGTGTACTGCGATGCAAAACCATAATTTTTTACATAGAATCTTTTAATTTGAAAGATTTTGGCGGCAGTTTCGCGACGCCCTAGACAACTTGTTATCCCAAAAACTAAAGTGGCATAAACAGATTGCAGCTTTGCAGTCAGTCTGCACGTTTTCACCCTAATCTAAGGTTTAGGCACTGACCAAGAAGGAATGGGCCGAATGGGGAGAAAGATCGAAGGTTGGCGCGAGGTGCCTTGCTATATCTTTTTAGGCAATACTCGTATTAGTATCCCTGCCCGTCATCGTCGGGCCAGCCGTCCATTTAGCGATGGTTATTTGGCTAATGACTGATGTGGGAAATAAGTACGTCACACCGAGTTCGGTTTGGTTTTGAGTGTTTTTTTTGGGGGTGGGGGGCGGCCGGTGAGTGTGGGTTTTAGTGATTTTCTGAAACGGTGTAGAGCATGGTATCAACCGTAGTAAAGTACAGACCATTTTTAGCCCGCAAGACTACAACGACTCGGCCCAACTGATTGTGACGATCATGCTGCTGGCAGGGGGCCTGATTTGCATCCTGGCGTTGGCTGGTCGGTTTTCGATGGAGATTTTAACGCTTCTTCTTCCATCCTACGAGGTTCTTATCTTATAAAACTAAAATAGAGGAAAATCAATAAAAACATGACCTCGCTGGTGGGATGGATCAGGTTTCAATATACAAACAATCCAATTCCTTAAGTGATCCTCCTAAACGTTTTCGGTGTGCGCAGGAAGAGATTCGCGCTTCTAAGGGCTTCACGAATCATACTGGTTTGCTTATTCAAAATCTACATTCTTGCCTAGATTCTGCTAATTGTGCTTTACTTGGCAAGCTTTATCGGATTGATTTTGAATTTTGATTGGATCGGTCTGGGGATTGGAGGTGAGTGATGCACTTGATGGCGTTTATGCTAAAGTAATAATATTCGGAGCAAAAAGTGTTTCAGCTGCCAGTGTTGTTTGGATGGGCATCACCCTTACGCTACTGCAACGCCACATGAAACGAATGCTATTGTGCAAAGCTTGTTATTAATTTAATGCCGGATAAATTATTACCGATCCTACGTTCTATCTTCGTTTTGTCGTTGGTTATTTTGCGAAGCTATGCGTAGCGAAATCGACAAAAATTATGCTCCCCCTTTTTCAAAGCTATCAACAAGGGAGGCTTTTCTTGCCTTCTCATCTGAAACTGCAGCAATGAAGGAAACCGTCTCTATCAGCCCAACGGTGGAAATTCGCGTTTCCGACCGGCTCCCCCTGTTAGAAGAACAGAAGTTTTGCCATAAGATAAGCCGGCGTGCGCGAATTTACAACGCCCTGGAGTGGTAGAGCAGGGCTCGGGCCGTGATAAGAAAGGCTTGGTTCTTAGTGTACTACACGTAAAAATTTGAAGTTAAAGAAAAAATTCAAAGAAAACTATTGAAAAATAAACCATGAAGAGTTGGAGGAAAAGATATCTGCAAAATGACGACAGCTACTCAAAACTAATGTGATTATGGTGCCGATGTAATCCGATCCATCCTTGAAAAATATCCATGAGGTTAATTTAATATGAAATTTGCATGTATAGTCGTGCATATCTAGCTTTTAATACAAATATTCTACTCGTCTCATCGCCGCGATTAGGTGGGTGAGCAGTCCAAAGGGTTTGGAAGTTTTTGTAGCGAGGATGCGTTTCAAAATCCAATCGGATTGACAGACTAACTAGGATGTAAATGAAAAATTTCAAGAAAAATAGCTTCTAACCATAGATTTTTTTTGTCTTTTGGCTGTGCAAGGTTGTTATTCCGAGGCCCGATTTCTATGCGTAATCGTCCTGGTTGGATTCACATTTCTTTTCAGGTTGGCATGAAGCCGGCGCAGCACCTCCTCAAAATATTGCCACGACTTCGCGCTGTTCGAGCCTACAGCAGCGGTACGAGTCGCCCTCTTCTTCACAGTGATCTGGAGGTGAAGACAAAAGCACGCTAAGAAGAAAACTTGATGCTTGTAGGTCGAACCGGCCAGTGGTAGCCAGTTGCGCGCCCCGCCGACCGACTACGGGTCCATCGAGTTTGGGAGCCGTTTCTCCGACCACATCCTGAGCATCGACTGGACGTTGCAGAAGGGCTGGGGACGGCCAAAGATTGGGCCCTTCGGTGACTTCTCGATTCATCCGGCGGCTAAGGTACGTTGTTGTGCGGTGAAGGCACTAAGGTTGCCGCGAGTTTTAGGTGTTCCATTACGCGACCGAGCTCTTTGAAGGTATGAAAGCCTACCGCGGCGATGACGGGAAGATCAGGCTTTTTCGGTAGTAGAATTCCTAGGTGGAAGCAGTCTTTTTTTTTAGTCCGGAGCTCAACATGGAGCGGATGCGCAAGTCGGCGGCGCGGCTGTGTTTCCCGGACTTTGATGGGCAGGAGCTGCAAAAACTCATTATGGAACTGGTGAGGCACTTTCTCTTCCTTAACTTATCGTGTTCCTAGGTTCGCATCGACAAAAACTGGGTGCCCAGCGTCAAAAACTCGGCCTACTACATCCGCCCCACGCTGATCGGCACCGATCCGTCCCTCGGTCTTTATGCATCTTCGGTATTCTGAAAGGCGCACTGCAGTGTAACCTCCGGTTTTTCTGATGGTCAAACTGTTCGTCATCGGGAGCCCGGTCGGCCCGTATTACGGTGGCAAGCCCAAGGCCGTCTCCCTGCTGGCCGATGGCCGCTACTGCAGGGCCGGAGAGGGCGGCGTCGGCGCGTTCAAGCTGGGCGGTAACTACGCTCCGACGATTGCTGTTGCAGCTGTGAGTTTGGCCCGAAGCACTTGGTTGCGACGCACCAAGTCGCACTCTAGATCACTTCAGGAAGCATCCCGGACGCACGGCTGCCAGCAGGTCATTTGGCTGTACGGACCCGACGAGCAAGTCACCGAAGCCGGCGCAATGAACCTGTTTGCGTTGTGGAAGGACAAGGAGGTTGTCTGGTTTCTCGAGGCGTCATAATTGTCGACCTAGGGCCAACTCGAGCTCATCACCCCTCCCCTCGATTCCGGCTTGATCCTGCCGGGTGTGACCCGCCGCTCGCTCCTCGAACTCGCCCGGAAATGGGATATTTGCAAAGTTTCTGAGCGCACCTTCACGATGAGCGACATTGTGGACGCGATCAAGGAAAAGCGGGTAATCGCCGGTAGTTTTGCTGATGCTTACAAGCGGACGTTTCTAGTGAAAATTTGCGTAATTGCCGTACCTACCAAGCCTAGCTTTTGCAAAATTTTGCGCTGATTCTGAGTTTGATTTTAAAATCTGCTAAACGATCAAATTCAAAAAGTTATGAAGGTTTTAAAGGGGAAAAAAGCAGAAAATGGCCCAATTTCAGAGAAACTTTGCCTTTTCCGCCCTGAAAAGATTCATAGCTTTTTCGACCTGACCGCTTCGCAGATTTTGGAACCAGGCTCGGAATTACTGCAAAAGGTCTGCACAAGATTGGTCCCGTACAGAAACTCGATTGTCACTAAAAAAACGTCTCCTTGGTAGCTCTTTTTTTAGATGCTCCAGCTCTTCTTCACCGGCACCGCCGTGGTGATGTCGCCCATCGGCGAGATCGTCTACCGCCCAAAAGATGGCAACGTCGTCCGCCTGCCGATCCCGACGATGACTGCCGAACCGAAAATCATGCAACGCCTCTTTAACGCCATCGTCGACATCCAGTACGGACGCGTGGAGGTGCCCGGCTGGACCGTCGAGTGCTAAGCCCTTAATTTCACCCCTTACGTCATTCCCATCAATTTGCCCCTTTCTGCTTGCGATTCTCTACTCGCTGACTCGCTTATACACTCGATTATCACAATTACTATTGATTTTTTGCAACTTTTCCTACATTTTTCATGCCCACAAATTTAGGCATACCCTTGCTGTCCTTGCTCGAGCTCGAATAAAACGTTTTGTTCAATTGGCCATAGCTACAGTTCATGGAGCATACACTTGGCCGGCCACACACAAGTGCAGAAATTCTAGAGAGAGAGAGAGAGAGAGAGAGAGGGAGAGAGAGAGAGAGAGAGAGAGAGAGAGAGAGAACGATGTGTGCTAAGACGCCACGGCCTCGATAAAAGAGCAGCAGATCAATAAAAGCAAATGGCATAGAATAGTAAATACCGGGTGTCCCAAAAAAGCACCCGTCCGGCATTTCGCCGCCTTACATCCGATCGGTCCCATACTTTGCACTAGTGTGTATCGGACCAGAAATAACGACAATCCAGAGTTAAAGCCCGATCGCTATAGTAATTTTCGAGTTATCGCCAAAATTCTTTTTCTTACGCGGTTCTTAACAGTTCTTTCGGCTATCTTTTTGGACTTTGCATGGATTTGCATCGACTTCCGGCTGCGAATCCCTAATTTCGCTTAATGTCGGGGGCAGGGTTGTTCATTTGCGGTCCGGTCCGCGCCCGTCCGGCCCGGGACGCGGACCCGTCCCGTCCGCGCAATTTGCATAAAAAATGCGGACGGGCTGGGACGGGACCCGGACGGGCCGGACGGACGCAGTGCGGGCTGGGGCGTCCGCGCGTCCGCGATGCAAATGACCGGAAGCATATGCAAAATCATCTCTTTATTTACAAGAACCAGTAAATAAAATCACATCTAAACGATGAGCTCAGAAAAGGGCGATCATTTTCGCGCCGACGGCCATCATGATGATGAGGGGGAGGAGCGAGTTGGACGAGCTGGATGGAATCTTTGCCTTCAGCGTGGCCGGATCCCAGTTGTTGCACAGATCGCCAGCGCAAGAGCAGACCAGCGACCCGACTGAAATTTTTGATGTTTGTCCATCTGCCCTATTTTAAACAAAATCGCCACCTGGTTTAACATTCTTAGAAATTTCGCGAGAACTGCCAAACAATGAAATTTGATCAAAGTAAAACACATTGTGTAGATTTTAGCGAAACAAAAGCGTCGTATAAAAATAGTTGAGCCTGAAGGGCCATCTCATTAGCTTGCGGGTGGTCAACTATACGTGTCCCAAAAAAGTACGAGTCTCTAACGGCGCCCAATCATACCGGATTGTCACGATTTAGGTATCCATCGAAATCTCTAGAAAAGGAGTAAAAAACACTAAACAAGGAGTGTTCATTGCTCTATTATGTGCTTTTTTCCGTGAATTTAACTTACAAAGCCACGAAAACCGCTGACTTATGTCAGATCTACATGCTACTTGCGAACTCGCTGTTGCAAAATTACCCGTTGGTTTAGAGAAAGGTTCAATATCGATAGAAAGGGAATAAATCTTGAAAAATGAAACGCGCTTGTATTCACGCCTCTTCGAGAAATTGTGTAAAAATCGTCTCGAGCTGAGCTTCCTCCCTACCGCTACAGGGGCTTTTTTTGGCACACGCAGCAGGGGTATAACGCCCGTTCTCATTGAAACCAAGCAAGTCGGCTTGGTTTGAAAAGAGCGACAGCGCGAAATGGTTGCAGGACCTTGATCACGACCGCACTCTCGCGAGTTCGGCATGCACGTCCTAATCATTAACGGTCCGCCTTCAGTGTTTTCGCTCAACGACGCGTAGCAGTGAGCACCGTCGCAAGTGGGCAGGTCCTGAAAATGAATAATATCAGGAATACGGGTGGGGTGAGTAAGTCAGTCACTATCTATCCATTGCAACCGTTTTTGTCAACCTTGCTGCCTTGCAGACAATCCGGGTGAAGGGGATGCGGTGACTCGGAGCTGCAATCAGTTAACTTTTTGAATGTCTATGATTTACGAACGTATCCGCCTTCGGATCGTATGTATCTTTTGGTCCGGGGCTCATGCATTTGTAGCATTTGGTCGCTTCGATGACCTCGAAATGGGCGACGATCAGGGCCTGCACGAGAAGCACCGAATAGCGGGCGGACATCGTGTACAAATGATGTATTAAGTTTTCGGAAATTCGTTTGAAGAGCACAGATTCGCTTCAATTTGATTTAGAATGTGTTCATGTCAATTTTTTAGGTAAGAGTTTACTTTACCCCCCACACAGCCGAAGGGTCTCAAAGTTGTCGGTATTTTCGCTTATTTTGTCAGAATTTTTGCAACGCCATTCGATAGAGCGTCAAAAAATATACTAAGAGTTTTAATTTGAGCCTACAATAATGTAAAATAAAAAAGTTATAGCCAAAAACTTCCGGCTGGGGGGGGGGGTAAAGTAAACCGTAGCCATTTTTTAGGGTTTGACAACCGTATGACTGGATGAGAAACAATCCTCCGCCCGCACCTTGTTCATGCCGCTATATAAAACAATCCAAATGGAATCGCTGTAAGAATAATTTTTCAGCTTGCGGACTTTATCCGTTTCATTCAAATTTATTCACGATTCCATGAAACCGAAAATCATCAGAACCAGTTTGATCGTATGAGCTCTACCACAGTGCGAAATTCAAAGGTAATTTTTTACCAAACATGTTCCCAACGAATTTTAACGACCAGAATTCTGCTGATACAAAACTCCCCTCCATAGGCTTAAAAACGAGCTTTCCTGATAAGAGGTGCCACTCCCAAGGGTCGACATATCGATCCCAAGCACTTCAGTTACCGATTCGAAAACAATGAGTGGGAACCGTATGTTTATAACTTATTTAAGAAAAAATTATCATCAGCTTACACCGCATTACACGAAGAAGCATATGCTGTCGATCATGAAACGCGACATACTTGCGTAAGATAACTGGTTTCTAACGCGCAAATTAGTTGTTTTTAGCCTCTTTCCGCGGGTAATTGGAAGCAGACAAGAAATATGTCAAAGGTAAAGAGTTTGTGGCGTTTCCTTAAATTTGGTTTAGCTCGCTGTTACGCTGCAGCTCCTCGGCCATGCAGTCTTGCCGCTCGCATCGTTGGGCCTGATTTTGGCGATTCTCTACGGTTCCGGATTACCATCGTAAATTCTCCGAGGCACCGAAAGCAATTTCTATTTTTTAGCGGCGAGGTCGACGTGGCGTGGATCCAAATGATCATTACCGCCGTATTAGCTGGATTTGCAGTAATTAGTAGGTTTTTGACGTCAGTCACCGATTAAATATTCATGTGGCACAAAATTATTGTTCGATTTCAGCTACCCTCCTTGGAATCGTCGGAATCTGGGCGAAACAAAAGTTACTCCTGCGGATGACCGCTGTATTCGTGTTGGCCTACGCGATTTTGTATGTGATCGTGCTGTTCCTGGCCAAATGGAACGTCGCTTTTTACATGCGTAAGTGTTTCGCAGCTGTACGAGTGAAAATTCCATTGTTTCTAGTCGGCTGGGCCCTGTACGAGCTGGTGTGCTGTTCGAGCGTTTGGACCCAACTCGGAAAACTGCAAAGCTGCCCGGAATGCTATTAATTTTTACATCAATTCATGCTGGAAAATAAATTAACGATATCCCCAGATTTATCTCTCTGCCGGCTTTTTACAAATTGACACGAGGGAAGGCTCGTTGCAGACATTATCATTCCATTTTCCCACTCTTTCAACGCTGCCGGATCCGAATTCCCGGGAGAAGTATATCTAAAGTTGGAACCATTTAGTTCATTCGAATTTTTCGAGGAAAAGGAGAAGTGTAAGAGGCATATATTAATTTACCGTTACACAATCCTCATGCCGCACCAGTGCCTCGTCCTCGTTGCCGGGATATTGCCAATTGTTTGGCTCACCCGGTGCCCAGAGCTCATAATCGAACGGGGTTTCATCTAGCCAGGTCCAGTTTCCAGCAACCTAGATGCTTGTTTTGCCTGCGTTGCAGCACTTAGGAAGTTTACATCCCCGAGTCGCTTTCTACTTCAGAAAAAAACTAACCTTCTGCGCCCCAATCATGACAACATTTTCGTCCACATCGTCGAGGGTCACGTTTTGCCTGGCATACTCTGCAATTCAGTGACTACCATGACTTCACCATAAGTGCTTACCAAACACGAACTGATTTCGGCTTCCGAGTGAATTGATGCTAGATTAGCGCCATATTTCTTGCATTCAAGCTGGGCTACAGCAAAATCCATGTTGTCGATTTTCTGGAAAAGTTTAAAATCCGAATTTTTACAGATTTTTACGAGATAGCACGAAAAGAAATTCCGGGGAGAACAGCCAGCCATCGGGACAAGAGGAGTTTCGGGAAGCTGAGTTTCGAGCTGGAAAATTAGACGTCAAACTGGGTGGAAATGGTAACTCACCTTCCACCAACGATTCATTCAGCTTTTTTGAAAGAAGGTTTGGGATCGGATCGGCAGCGACGGCCGATTCTGAATTCATCGTTAAGGCCGCTTGGGTGTCAAAAAACTCACCGGCAAACCCGCGATAAACCACTGAAGCTAATATCCACAGCACGAACATCTTGGGAATGCCGAATACAGCCTGAGATCCGCATCTTTATAGCCATTGCGAACACCAGGAAGTGAAATTGAGTTCTCAGCCACCCCGGATTTGGCCTTGTCAATATCGCATTTGCAGCCGATTTGATGGATGGACAACGCGTACGGCTTGTTCGGCCAGCGCAAAGTGAATCAGGAACTTCCTTACATTAAGTTTATGGAATCGATTCATATGTCAGGGGCCAATGCCCCTGACTCAAAACACGTGATATCACTTCGGGGAATTTTAGCCCCAATTTTTCATATTTCGGTAGCTAGAAAAATAAAGCTTTTGCCTTCGGTCCTTGAGACTTGGCTTTAAATTGGAGAAACACGATATTTTAATATTTATTAAATCCAGGTATGCAGTGTTTCATTGAGATTTGTCAAAGGTCTGAGGTGCGGCCATTTTGCAGATTGCTGCGGTGAACGGCTCGTCACAAATGTTGTCGTTCCACCTGCCCACGACGGGACCATTTTCCGACATGTACCCCTCCGAGAAGTAAATCTAAAATTGACAGCCTAAATCGGCCGAGCATCAAAAACATACCGCTGCACAGTTCTCGAAACGTTCGGGCATCTTAGCGTCATCCTGCGACTCCGGCCACTGCCAATTGTTCGGCTCTCCTTGGGCCCAAGCGACAAAATTAAATGGAGTGCCGTCGAGCCACGTCCACTTTCCATTGACCTAAATGACCTGAAGTAAAAAGTCTGAGACGACGTCTTGAAGTAGTTGATATAAGCCTAAATACAATCCAACCTTCACAGCCCCGGTCAGCACAGCCTGGTGATCGCTATAGCGAGTTCCATTCTCCTTCGCCAAGTCTGAATCGTCCCCTTTCAGCGCAAAATTTGATGATACCGTAAATCAGTTGATTTTCCGCCTCAGAGTGAATGGAGGCCAGTGCAGCCCCATATTGATGGCACTCCTCTTGGGCCTGCTCAAAATTCACGTTGTCGATCTTCTGAAAATGACTTGATTTAGACGCTACAAAGCCTTCCTTACCAGATAGCAAGATTCTAATTCGCGAGCGTAAAGCCAATTTTCGGGGCATGAGGACAAGACGCCGTGGGAGCGATGGAGCGCTAAATAAAACATAGTCATTAGTTTATTCGGTAGTTATATGCTCAGGCCAAGATCTCCACTCACCTTTTATCGCCGAATCATCATTATTTTTCCAGTCGACTTCGTAGAGGATTTTGGCGGGTACAGCGGGTCCTAAAAAATGTTTTTGATCTTGTAAAAGCGTATCGTAAAGTCCTCTTTTTAGGAATCTAAGAAAAAATATCCCTGAACCAGCAAATTCTCAAGGGTCTTAATCTACCTGCAAGTCCAGAACATACCACCGAAGCCAGGACAACCAAAGCAAACATGTTCGAAATGCTGATGCCCACCGGCGTTCGAGAGCTTTATAGGAATCTCCAATCACAAGGGTCATTGATCTGGTGCTCTGGCCTCTCTACATCCTCCACACCCTCTCAAACGTTCCGAGTTGTTGATACCGAGTTTTTAGAGGCGGACTGACGTTCCTGTGATTGCTTCCTGTGATTTTGGTTGATCGCCGAATGGCGATGAGTCTTGGTTCCCAGGGCTGGCATGGCAAAACGAGGGTAACTAGGACTCTGTTCACCGGAACTAGGCCGCGGCAACAGATAATTTGCTTTATAAACAATCTAAATCGAAATTGCGCGGAGCTGAACTTAATGTGTTTTTTGGCTATCGCCTTTGCTGTGATTTTTGTGAAAAAAACAAGATGACATTCGGGGAGTTCAGAACGCAAATCAACAATAAATATTTGGCACGAGGCCCTTTTGACAAGGAATACATTTTCTTTTCTTGGCAAATCGTTATCTTGTGTTCTAAAATTTCTGGAATACCCGGATATCACCCTGAAAGTCGGCTATATCAAGCAGGCTGGGGTAAAGTCACCTACCCCGAAAAGTTACTACCCCGAAAGTCACTACCTCCGAAATTCACTCACCCGCGGAAAAGTCACTACGCCCGAAAAGTCATTACCCTGAAAAGTCACTATCCGGAAGTCATACGAAAATCACTACCCGAAAAGTCACAACCCCGAAATAATTTGCATGATTTTCATAGAAATCCGCATGAAAACGGATTTTTCCCGCGAAAAACAATGCTATCATTTTTCGGGGTAAACGGAGTTCGGGGTAGTGACTTTCGGGGTAGTGGACTTTCGGGGTAGTGAATTTCGGGTAGTGACTTTTCGGGTAGTGACTCGGACGCACTCAAGCGGTGGTGATCGCTCAGATTTATGCTGGCATTTGAATGGGTTGCTGCCCTTGCGTTGTGAGTCGTTTTTGTGTTGAGTAAGGTCTAACCGGTTTTATCCACGACACACTAAAAGTTAAAGCTTTCAGATGAGCATCCCGCTATGTGAATGTTTTCAAAAATCGTTTAGAAGATCTTGTGGATATGGTGGGGCTTCTTCTTGCAGATGTCAGCCTCGTAAGTTCCTTCACAGACGTTGTCGTTCCACCGTCCAAGGTAGGGATGGACAGGTTTCGTTGCTGCCGAGCGGAGAGGTGTACATCTAAAAGTAAGGGTAATTGACTCCAGATAAATGCTAAATTCCTAAATGCCCTAAATTCAATCTGATACGTGAATCGTCAAAAACCGACCGCCACACAGTCCTCGAACCGCTCCTCGGCCTCCTCAGACGTGTATTGCCAATCGATGGACTCTCCACGGGCCCGGGGCTTGTAGTCGAACTTGGTGCCATCGATCCACATCCACTCTCCGTCGACCTGAATTAATTTGGATTTAATAGTAATCTTTATGGCGATTTTGATAGTTCCCAGCTATTCTAGTTAACGCGGAAAAACTAACCCTGCAAGCGCCGAGGAGAAGCTGATCTTGGTCGGAGTAAACGAGGCGTCTCAGTCTTGACCATTTCTAGAAAAAAGAGGAAATTGATGCTGAAAAAAAGGTTAGGCTTACTGTATAGCAGTTGGTTCTCAGCATCCGAGTGGATTGAGGGCTAGGTTGGCGCCTTCCTTCTTGCACTCGGCCTCTGCCTCCTCGAAGTTGACGTTGACGTTTCTCTAAAAGCTCAATGAGAGCTGTTAGTCATTAATTTACCTTATAGCAAACAGCGAATTCCCGGGAGAATACCCAGCCTTCCGGGCATGGGGATGGTGGGGCAACGGGGCGGTTTCGCCGGAGAATTAAAAACAATTTATTTATCCTATACTTAATTTACTAGTTCATTAACAGCAAGCATATACAAATTGTCTTAGCTGCGGATTAAAACGTAAACCCACTTTTCATGAACATCCTCCCTCCCCCCCCGCCGTTCTTCCAGTCGATATCCTCGATTTGATTTCCATAGGTATGGACCTGAAATTTAGGCTGTATGGGAGCTTCAGGCTAGTTGAACTTATGTGAAAATTTTGTAGATTTGTGGATTATTTATACAGCTGCATGTCACGTTGATGTATATGATTTTGTGTACGCTTATCAGCCAGGGGTGACAGCAGCTGAGCGCGGCAATAACAACAGTAGTAATCAGCATCTCGTGATTTTTTCCGAAACGAGACTGATACCCCGGGGTTCAGCCGCCCTTGCGCAACCCGTCGATCTTTCAACCCCTCTCGCGCAGCACGCGATAAATCGGGATTTCCGGGCGGAGCTGATCTTCTTGCCTTTCTCTCTCATTTTCCCTCCTTCCGGGGCTTCTCTGGGCTTTTGACTGGTGTACGCCTCGGGACCAGTGGCGTCAGAGGTTGGACCTTAGCTGAACTGAACTGAAACGGATGTGATTATCTGCTAGTGGAAAAGGCGAGAACGCGTGGGAAGTTAAGAAACAACTTATACTTTTGGGAAATTTTGAGAAATCCTAGGCACTTTGAAACTTTTTTATTTTCGTCGTACATTCAGCACTTCTTTTTACATTTTGAAAGCTGAAAAGAAACTAAGTTTTCGTCTTTTACGATGGTGTTTCCCTAGGAACGGTCGAGATTTTCTCATCTAACTTAGCATCACAGACGTCCGACATGTTGCTCATTGGAATGAAAATGCGGCTCTATGAATGCTACAAATTTGCTACCATTAAATTTGATAAGGGCGTTCCAGTCTTGCGGAGTCACAATACACTTCCGGTATCCAATTCTATATGTAGCCTGGTGCTATCCCAATTTAGCCGAAAACTGCGCTGTTCGCTTCCCGCGAAAAATTGAGCCGCTCAGCGTAGTCACGGACGAGATCGACCAATCTTGACCCGTGTTGAGCTCTCACAAAGATGGAGAGACACCTTCCATATCCAAAAGATCAACCGCCCGGATTTATGGATACATCAACGATCCCGGGAGCAAAACTTCAAGTGTATTTTGGACCCTAGCCTTTGTTTTCTTCCCCTTAAGGATGTTCACGTCCGTTGTCTGGACCATTCGAAAAACTAGAAACGCTCGTCTCTAGATAAACTCCACGAGAGGGTCTGATTCTCCGTGAAATGCCGAATGTTCATTTGTTCAAACTGGCTTCGTTTTCTAGAGATTCTCTTTAGCGTTTTGCCACATCTCAACCTACAATTAAGAGCATGAAAATTTGCGTAAGATCAACCATTGGCTATGCTTGGGTTTTTGCGACCATAGACGTTTGAGGGGAATGCCTGACGTTGATATACGATAAATTGAATGTGATGATAATACAACTGAAATGCTTTTTAGCGCCCTTCTAAAATAGAATTCTCACCTGATCAGTGCGCAATGCACAAATTCGTATACCGAATACGCCAGATAAGTTGTTAACGGTTTATAGGTGACACTTTCCGTAGCGTAGCCGACTGTTTGTTTGCCAAGGAATAATAAATTTGTCGCGACCAGCTGTAAAACGTTGCATGTTCCCTTTCGATGTTTTCAACGTACCATGGTGGCAAACCGCATATTCACTTCCTCCCTGGCAGCGGAACGTTTTAACTAAAGGAACTGTGAGCATTGCTTCTTTACGATTACCCGCATTCTGACCGTGGCATACGCAACAATATCAAATATTAAAGTTATTCCTTGCAGACCGAGTAGGATTTCGGGTAAAATGTCATATAGTTTTTGATGGAAAGCCGTTTTGAAGAATAAGCAAGCTCGCCAATAAAATACTGGTGTGAAATGGTAGCCGGTGTAGCATAGGTAACCAGTAGCTGGATCGACGACTAAAAAGTTATAAAACGATTGTTATAAGGCTTTCATAGACATTAATAAATTCATGCCACCGCTCATTAGCGTTGGGCCTACTTGCAACTGGCTGCGCACCGAACTCCCGACACCACACTCCTATGTGCGTGTTGAGTTGTGCGCCCGCTTTCCTGCGAGACTTTCGCCTTTTTAGCGTTCTCAAAGAATAAAGAAAATAGGAAATGATGGAGGAGGGAGAGAGGGGGGGTGAGAACCCAGAGACCCCTGTTTGCCTGCCGGGCCTAGCCTTTTAGCCGCGGTGAGCTAAAGGTGCCCTAACCACCATTGCCGCCCCCAGGGTGTACCCTTGTTTGCTGATGTTACGCCCCCTGATGTTTTCTGCTCCTGCTACATTGTTTACTCCTTAATTTCTTTTGAAATTATGTTTGTTATCTATTCTAGTTTAGATACTCGCTTACTCGTCCCGATCAACGACCCGTTGAAACCCCACAGCAGCAAGATTATCGCGCCGACATAAAATATTGACGCCCTCTCGACGTTTCGATAATATTTTCCGTCTTGGAATATAGCGAAGAACCTGAAAGCGACAAAGAAAATGTTTCTGTTTGTTCCATTACCTTGTGATCGATATCCAATTCTGTAGCAGACTCATCGTTGTATAGGATGTGTAATCCGTGGTCGCTAGCAGCATGTTAAATAAAATTCCGGAAAACGGATAGCCTTCGGTCGTGACACATTTCCAACTTCAAATTTTTGTCGTGATTGATATAATAAACTTACTCGAGAACACAAACAGCGTAATATATCCGCGTGGCTGAATTGATAAAACGACAAAAGGCATCGGCCAGCATTCCTATTCCTATGATGCGGGTGAGGTGAGGGTTTTTCGTTATAAAGAATCCGGATGCCGCACTTAGACCCATGCCGACGAAGCCGAGCTGTAATTTGTGAAGCATTGAAAGTGCCTAAGAGCTGTTGGCCTATTTTGGCATAATTTAACAACGGCCAGCGGTGTGCCAGGCACACTGTCTCAGGTGTCGACCGCCTTGTCCCTGAGCTACTCTTCGCCAGGGCCCCGTTTCCCTTTCCCAAAAGGGGGTGGGCCGCCCCCCTGGTGGGAAGGGGGGGGGGCCCCCCCCCCCCCCCCGCCGGCAGCGAGGGGGGGCGCCAAGGCGAAGCGCCATGCTCTTTCCTCCCGCGCGCCAGGCTTGCCTTCGCCCTATCTTTAAGTCTCCTTACAGCTATCATTGAAATAGCAACCAGCGTCGCATAATCCGCATTAATGGTTGTATGAACCGGGGTACTATCCCATTTATAGGCAGCCCAATAGTCCGTATAATGTGCATAGTGTTGTAGATCACCGCGTCCTTTTTTGCATATTAGGGGGTCGTGGCTTTTCAGATCCTGGTTGAGAACATCGTCGTAATACACATAATACGAATATTCTTCATCGAAAACATTTGAAACGTTGAAAGCATAGTAGAGGAGTTTAGTCGTTGAGCCTGCTGTGGTTGTCGTGGTGGCGTTTGGGTGGATGGGCAAAATGGTAGTTGTTGAGCTGTTCATTAGGGAATCGATAAATTTATTTTATTGACCTTGGAATGTCGGGAGGTTGAGTAAGCCGGTGGGCCTAGGTATTTTCTTGCCTATGAACACTGAAACGCCCACTGCCTCTTTTGAAACTAATTATCAGACCCGCGCAATTGGCTTACCCAACTTTCTAAATACAATTCCCCCGGGGCGCCAGCGTCAGTTTTTGATTTCCTAGTGGACGAGTGCGCAGGGCACCTAGATTTTAAAGAGCCGGACCAGGGAAACAGTTTAGCAACCTTCTAAAACGGTTCAAGGGGTTCAATTACTTCGGGCCTAGACTCAAGAAAGTTTGGCACGATCAATTAAATTACCCATTGATGAAAACGCTAGAGTGTTATGGTCAGATTGGGCAATGTTTGCCTGTTTCGCCCTGGTCCGCCGCCCACCCTGGTCTTACACAAATTTTGGGAAATGCATGGGAATCTGAGTCACGCCACTTATGATGAAGACATGCCTAGGAGAGCGACGGGCATTCTGGCTTATGAAGAATTTATTCTGCGTGGCACTGGCACTCATCGTAGGCATGCTCGAGCTGACAGTGATGACAATATAAGGGCCCTCCCAGAAGAGCTTATATTTGGCACTTCCGCGCCCCTTTAAAACAGATTCCAAATGGGGCGGCAAGGCTTCCTGGTTCCTTCGAGCAATAGAATTATGTGGCTAAAGTGGCTCAAAAATTACCCAGCGAAATTGTAGACGCGGAATACATGAGTTGCGAAACAAGTAATTGCCACACAGCTAGCTACTCGTTAGCATGGGCTGGACCGGTTTTCAGCGCCACTAATAATTTTAGGTGTGGGCAAATTTGGCGCCTCCAACACCTCCGAAATCCGTTTCTAAAATTCTTGCAATAAAATGATCCACTTCTTTGAGGAAATCGGAAATGCCGATATAATAGCGATCATCTGCGTGCCAATAGTACATTTGGACTCGTATTTTCCACACTTTTTAGCTGGTATCCCAACAATCACGGCCAATTTTTGCGCCCTTCGCTTTATCGGAAAACAACAGCGCCTTACACAAACTGTGCGGCTGTACTTATCCGCCGAGCAACTTGGACGGCTAATTATGACTGTTTTATTTTTCTACAACTTCGCTGCTTCGTTTATCCGATTTGATAGAGAGCCAGATTGGTATAATTTACTTCCGTCGCAGTACAGCGGGTTGGAATCATTTTTGCACGGCTTTACGTTATATTTTTCAGCGCCAGCGATTTAGAATGGATTCTTGACGACAATGGCGTACCATACGGTATGCTGTATACACCACACAACCTTACGGTGATGGGCATAGCTCCTTGTGTACTTTGCCGGCGTATCAATACCCTAATGGCTACGTATTTCTTCATACTGCAGCACGGGAAAGAAGTTTTTCAACTGGGCCTATCGATAATACGTATTTTCGGGGTCGTCCAAAATGGTAGAGTACTACGAGATTTCGCAAATTCGTGCTAGGTCGTCACTACCATCATACTGACAAGTTTCCGTACGTGCAAATGTTTGTTTTGTCGAGTATAGCATATTTGCCGCTGTTCTTTAAATATTCAGGTAGGGGAAGTATGGAATACGCAAAAACGCACCTTTCAGGCTCAAGCGGCGTTCCGATTTCGTTTCACGTCTATCGGCATGCGCTGTATTCGCAGTCGTTAGGTGCGAATTATACGACCATCGGGTACGACTGGATTGTGCGTCTGTGTTACATCTCACTGTCCTTTGTTTCGACGTTACTGGACGTTGGAACATTGGTTATGTTGCGACGCCGCTTGGTCAGTTGCGACATGGTGTCAAGTTAATTTTGCTCTTCTCCTCTGCCTGGATCTCTTTTATTTCCTGTTATTTATCTCCTAAAAGCGATCTTTAGAAAACTGCGCACGCCGACGCCAAAAACCAAAACCATGCCAGGGCTGATGTACGGCTCGGGAAACAGGTAGTTAGCCCCCTCGCTCCTAATTTGTTTCCGATCTTTCAGATGGCCATAAACCAAACCATCGCATTTCTCTGGCCCTCCCCACCTTTTATTTTTTCTACATCGAATACGTTGGCACACCCGGGGTCTCGGTAGAATTACGGCGATCCGTACTTATACAATCTACGTTTTACACGATTGGGACACTCTACGCCCCGGTCTTTGCGAACTTTGTTTCCGGGTGAGTCGGTTGAGCCGGTGAAGCTAGCTTTCTAGATGTATTGCTAGTTATTACTTCAAACCGAGGAAAGAAAAGCCGGATAGAAGCCGCGTTTCCACCATATATCCAAACCCAGCTCGTCGATGACGGTTATATATCGCATGTAATTGTTTTTATACGTCGATGACGGTTATATACAGGGTGTCCCAATAAAAAAGGGCACGCTGGCATTTTGTCATTTCAAATCCGATCGACTTGAAATTTGGAACTAAGGCGCGGAAGGGAATTTAAAATGTTTACAGAAACTTTCAGCCCGATCGGTACAGTAGTTTTCGAGTTATAGCAAAAATAAACTTTATTTTACGTTTTTAACCTGGATTTCTCCGGAATTGAGTCTTGTAATGTATGGCAAAAATGAAGACCCTTTTTTACCCGAGAAAATTTTTTATTTCGTAAAATTCCTCTTGGAAATAGGTTGTTTAAGTAGTTTTAACAAGATGTTATCATCCCCGATGTTAAGAAGAATGAGGGATTTAGGGCCGAAATTGATGGTAATTGATGCAAAGTCCAAAAAGATAGGCGAAAAAGTGAAGCAAAAGTGTTGAAAAAACAGTGTTTTTGTTATAACTCGAAAACTACCGTACCGATCGGGCTGAAAGTTTCTGTGAACATTTTAAATTCCCTGCCGCAGCTCTGTTCCAAATTTCAGGTCGATCAGATTTGAAATGGCGAAATGCCAGCGTGACCTTTTTATTGGGACACCCTGTATAACACCCGAAAGCATGTAATTGTTTTTATGCAGAAAGAAAGACGACGTCATCTCCGATTCATGTTTTTTGTGGTAAAAATTTGCAAATAAAAATACGTAACATACAGGGTGTCCCGAAAAAAACGCCTCCCTCTAACTCGACGCAGAAGTATCGGTTCGGAATGATAATTATAGGCTTATGAATAATTTATTCTACAGCCATGGCACTCATCGTAGGCATGCTCGAGCTGACCGTGATGACGTCGCGTTTTTTCTCTCGGCGCTGCCCATCTCCGCATGCATATCCGTAGCAAACAAAAAGGATTCTAAAAAATATACCGTTTGTTAGAGCCATACCCAATCACGATGATACTAGTGTGATATCGATAGGCTTTGGCGATGTTCGCCGTGACATCACTGCGCTTGAAGACATAGAAAGTGTTTTCGGTCAGTCCAATCAGCAATTCATCAAAGAAGAACGATAGATTAGAAAAGCCCAACTGAATCGTGAAGTTTTGCCGCAAACAAAGGAGCCTACCATCATCACCAGTAGCGGGTTATGGACGGCGATCAAGTTCCATTTTTCGACCATGGCCTAAGAGGCCTCCGTTTTTATGATTATAGCAATATGCTTACCAGATATTTGAAACGCCAGAATGTTGCCAGGTTTAGCACCAGTGTGAAGGAGATTATCGGGGGTAGCAGGGTGCCTAGGTCATCGAATAGCTCGCGAGAGACTTCGTTTTGGAACTTTGTGATAGTTAGCGCAAGGTAGGTCGGGTCGAACCAGTAGCCACCCCAGCAGTGTAGGTCGTTGTCGTGTACTGAATTTGAGGATGAGAAAGAAAAATACTCTGACCATCGACTCGCAGAAAATTTGAAAGGACATACTCGTCCCTAGCATTAGCCAAGCTGGAATAAGAGGCAGAATGCATACGACAATCCCATAAACGATCATTACGTAACGGGCAAAACGGTAGACGCCAATTCCGAAAAAGGCCAGTATAGCCCTAGAATTTATCTTCCAGACTGTGTTTCTACCGACCGATCGATTGTTAGACTGTGCAAAACCAAATGCATCGAATAGTAGAAGCTCATCTCGAGCGAGGCCATTATCGTGTTCAGCCCCATTCCCCAGTAAAAGACATCAATTTGATCCACCACACAATGCCAGCTAAATTAGCGGTTTGATCAACCACACAAATTCCTTAACCTCCATATACAATCGTATCATAAATCTTTGCCAGGCCTGCGTAAAATCGGAAAAAGCAAGTTAGCGTAAAAACCAAAGTGACGTTTCCACCCAATGGGCTTCTTTTTAGATACAGGTAACCAGAAAGGACACTCATCGCCACACCAGCTAATCCAGTCTAAAAAATGGGGGTAAGGAAACTGACAACAAACTAAAACTTACAAGCAGCCAGTTCCCAGTTATGCGGATATCGATCTGGTCATCGGAGCCGGGGTGAAATACGGGGATTTGGGTCAGGCGTAAGTAGCCGTTGTCATCGGCCGAGAGGTCGATGTGGCATGGGGACTCCATTTCCGGCACCCAGTTGTTCGAATAGCCGTACCATCCGGAGAAGGAGTAGCTTTCATCTCCCGAAAAGTCAAAGTTATCAGCCCCGGACGAATCCCAGTAGTTCGAATAGCCATGCCATCCTGAGAAGGAGTAGCTGCCATCTCCCGAAAAGTCATAGTTAGCAGATCCGGACGAATGATGGATGGGTACTGCCCAATCAGGCAAAGCAGATCCTTCAGCAGCCCAGTAGTCTCCAGGCGTCTCGGTGGTACTTGCGGTGGGAACGGCTGAATTTCTAGTAATGGGTGCGGTGGAACGCTCCAATAGATTGTCGCGCGTGACTGAAGATGAACTCGTGGGACCAAGTGTCGTCTGTCCTCCTTTGCCGCGAGGTTCCGCCGGGCTTAGCATTAGGGCGAAGGCAAATCCAATTTTTAGTAGGCGGCATCGGCGATTATGATCACGCATAGTCGGCAATGATTTCTGTCTTGCTCGCTGCAAAAGCAAGGTTAACTGTTGTGTCAATTGGGTGTTTGAGGTTCCACATGCTGTCAGGCTGTGCTCTTTTTAGAACTGCGCACAGTATCACCTGCTCCTGCGCCTTCCATTAATTTCATTTACCACCTGCTTCCGAGAAAAAGGTACCTGCACACTCAGCGCACTCAGTGCAGAGGTGTTCACAAGCAGCAATCAGGGGTGCTCCGGGAACATCATGAGTACTTCGGGCTCGTCACCCTGACAGAAGCGTGGCTTTTGGGAAGTTTTGCAACGATTCACGTGATCAGCAACTATCGACGAATAATATATGATTTATTAATCACCAAAACCATAAGCTAGAACCACGTAGGAGCTTCTACACCCTCGTGGTTGTCGTCTGGAATGACGTGGACAGTGACGAGCTGGTGGGCTCATTCCTTTGCTTCACATCAAGATAAGACATGTTGAAGGTGATGATGATACAACTGAAAAAGGCGGAAGTAATTCCTAGTTAGTTAACTGCGAACCTGATCAGGGCACAATGCATGAATTCATAAACCGACGATGCCAGATAGGTTGAACGGGGGCGGTAAGAGACACGCATCGTCGCGGCACCCACCAATTGTTTGCCGAAGATTAGCGCATTGGTGGCGACGAGCTAAAGGTCGAAAATTATAGAAACTAAAGAACAAGCTTTACCATAGTAGCAAATCGCATGTTCAGGTCGTTTTGCCGAGGGCGACTTTTCATCTAAAGAAGGATGATTAAAATCAGAGGTAACTTCTAAAAATCTTTTTTAATAATAAAGTTACAAACTAAATCAAGTGCGTCAAGATTTTATTAAATCGATAGGTGCGGTGGGATCCTTCAGGTTTTCTAAAGGCACCCTCGGGCACGCTGTCCTTCGATGCACTAAGGAGATGTTTTCCCGCCTGTGCGCTCGTGCAGGTGCTACAATAGCCCTTGCTTTAATGCATCCGCCGGCGCCTCGAAAGGCTTTTCTGGGGCTCGTTATAAAAAACTGAAGAATGTGCTAGCGTGAACCATTTTAATAAAACTGTTATATTACTAAAAACGTTTATATTTCTTTTTTTAAACAAACCTTTCTGCGGACCGTCGCCAACGCAATGACGTCCAACGCCAATGTTATGGCTTGGATCAACACTAAGGTTTCCGGGACCAGGTCGAAGAGAGTTCGGTAGAGCGCCGATTTGTGGTAGCGGCAAGTTCGCCAGTAATATGCAGGCGTAAAATGATATCCGGTGTAGCAAAGGTATCCAGTTTTTGGTTCTGAGACTAAAATTCTGTTCCATAGAAGATGTCATTGCATAAAGTGCGTAAATAGTAAGTGAATCGGTTTAAAACATACTACTACCGATCGTCGTCATGTAATATAACCATAACAGCAAGCAGAGTATTGCAATGTAGAGCACCGACCATTTCTCAATTTTTCGATAATGCATCCCGCCGTCGAACACGGCGAAGAAACTGGGTTATTTTTTAAATTCATAATTCAGTAATCCAGGCTACCGAATGGCTGAAATCCAGTGCTGCAATAAGCCCATAGTAAGATACGAGGTGTAATCGAGTGTAGACCATATCATGTTGTACATGATACCGGAAAATGGATAGCCGTCGCTTTTTAGGCATCCCCAGCTAAAAGTATGGTTTTGAGGTACCTTTTATACGACGGAGCCAACAATACTTACTCAAGCAAACATTTCCCATAGTAAAATCTTGCCAACGAGTTGATGAAGCGGCATGACGCATCAGCTATCATCCCAATCCGGACGACCTTCGAGACCTTCGAGTTTTTGATCACCAAAAACCCAGAGGCCGCCGACAAGCCCATTCCGATGACGCCGAGCTGAACAAGCACTGCCAAGTCTCTTGCCAGAACCCACCACAAACATCGAGGCCGCAATCCTGGGCTCGTCGGCCATGTGTTCAGGGCCCAAGTCTTGGTGAAAGGGCGTCCCATCCCATTTGTACTCTACCCGAAAATCCTCGACACTTGCAAAGTGTTGCTCATCACCAGGCCCCTTCTTGCAGACCAACGGATCATAGGTCAGAAGATCATACCAACGCCAATCGACATAACTGATCGATTGATAAAAATCGCCAAAAATCCCGGTAAAGTTGTATGGAGGATTTGTGGCGTAATCCAAGGGTGTCCACTCCGTGGTGGCGACGTAGAAATTTTCGTCGATAAAAGTGTAATCATCCAAATCGGGAAGTGCAGGGGTCGTTGTTAACACGGTAACATTTGTATACTCGGCGTTTTTCGCCATATGGGTCTCGCGACGGTTTTTGAGATTCAGGGCAGCGAATGAGGAAACTTTGATGAAGTGGCCTTCATGGTGGGTACACCTGCATGCGCACCTGCCACAGGTGATTTTTCTAGTGCTTCTTAATTTTTAGAACACTGAAGACTTTGTACCGCGTTGCATTACAAAAATAACAGTGAGCAAAATACAGCGCTAAATGTTTAAAAAATATCGAGCTTACGATAAAATCCTGCGGGTCAAATGCAATGGGGTTCACTACGTTTTATTACAAACTTCGCCGTTAAATTGTGTCAATCATCTTCATGCTTGCTTTTTGCTTTTCGTTCAAACTGAGTCGGTCGGGGAGGTCTTGGGACGAAAACTGAACCAGAAAAGGTTTATTCGTTTGTCGCAAAATTCGGAACTATTTTAAGAATATATATTTTGCTTATATCAGGCATAATTGCTCCAAAAGTACCAAAAAATCAATCAATCTTCGGTCGCACTGTTCGTGACCATGTTCGACGTGATAGTGGTGATATCAGGTTTCCTTGCCCGAGGAGCAACATCGCCGCATGAATAACCATAGCAAGCAAAGAGGATCCTGGAACCCAATTTGCATACGTGTATTTTAATTACCCGGTTACAACGACGCTCGCGTGGTAGCGATACGTTTTCGCAATGTTCGCGGCGACGTCGCTACGCCCAAAGGCGTAGGCATCGGAAGTCACGCCAACCAACAGCTCATCAAAGAAAAACGAGAGGTTTGAGAAACCTAACTGAATTGGGGACGGAGCTTTACTTCACAGCCCTTACTTACCATCATCATCAGCAAGGGCTGGTGGCCTGCGATCACATTCCATTTTTCTACGATTGCCTAGGCCTCGCTAATGGCTATTGCGTCAACCTCACCAAATATTTACACCTCCAAAATGTTGCCAGATTCAATACCAAAGTCATCGCGATTGTTAAGACCACCCAGCTGCCAAGATCTTCGAAAAGGACACGGTTATCGTTGTCTTGGTAGAATGTGATTGTGATCGCAAAGTAGGTTGGGTCATACCAGAAGCCACCCCAGCAGTGCATTTCATCATCGGCAACTAAATAATAGGAAAATATGCAAAATTTGATTCTCGAGGCAACGAACTTGTTCCGATCATCATCCACATCAACGGTAAAGGCAAGATGCATACAACAATATAATATGCCAAAATCAAGTATTTTGCGTATTGGTAGATTTTATACCCAAAAAATGCCAGAATAGCGCTAGAATCGATGGATTTCGGCGGTGATTTTCCACTCACCGATCGATTGTCAGTCCATGCAAAACCAAATGCATCGAATAGTAGAAGCTCATTTCCAGAGAAGCGACTATCGTGTTCAACCCCATCCCCCAATAAAACACGTCAGCTTGGTCGGCTACGCAGTGCCAACTGAAATCAAGATATTTGTAAACAGACAGCAGAAATTCGCCCCGGAAATAGCTTACGTCCATAAACAAACGACGTCATAAATCTTCGATAGTCCAGCGTAGAATCGAAAGGCGCACGTCAGCATTACGGCAACTGTGACGTTGCCACTCAATGGGCTCCTTTTGAGATACAGATAGCCAGAAAGGATGCTCAATGTCGATCCCAGCCACCCGACCTAAATTTAAAAATTAAACGATATGGATTTGGTCCTCGCTTACGAATAGGCCATTTATCGTAATACGTGAATCTACCCGATCGTCAAACCCCTCGTGGAATTCCGGCACTTGGCTGTATCGTATGTGGCCGTCCTCGTCCATTGAGATACCGCCAAGGTCGCACGGTCTCGGCTGGTCGACGGCTGAGTAGCTGTAATACCCGCTTGAATATTGGTAGGTGGGGTATTCAGCGACGTAATAGGTATTGGAGCCAGAGGAATAGTATTCAGGATCGCCCGAGGCTTCTACGCCCGAGGGTGAGGAGCTGCCGTGGATTGTATAATCTGACCATGCTGCAGCAGTGTACGTAGAGGTTACTATCGCTGGATCAGCCGTGGTTACATGCCCTTCGACGCAGTTCAACGACGCTGAGTACTGCGTAAATCAAGAAAATTTGAGTGATGCGCATCGGAAGAAGTCAAGTTGATGCTGAATTATGGTATTCTGCTTCCTGTCTACCAGAAATTATTTGAAGTTCCCATCAAGGGGCTAGACCCGGTTTTTCTAAAACTCATTAGGCACCCCAGGATTCCACCTGCACGTCGGAACGCGCCTCGATTTTTAGTGGTTCAGCTGCCGGCTTGGATAAAACCCACTGATTTCAGCCGTCCGGTAGGTGTTTCAATGGACGGTCGGATGAGGTCTAGTTAGGCTCTCCAGACGCGCCACGTCATGTGGTGTCGGAACCGGAGGTTCTTCGAATTATAATGGGTCATAGAAGCATTAAACCAAGGTTTGCAATTTATTTGGATCGCACAACTCTACAGGAAGGAACAAACTCTAGTAAGCACGGAGAATAAAATGCGTCTACATCCGAGTTGAGGTCATCTGCATGGAGAATGACATTGAGAAGCTTGTGGGCCCTTTTCTCGGTTTCAAGTCGAGGTACGGCATGTTGAAGGTGATGATGATACAGCTGAAATGGGTAATAGAGTTAGCGTAAGTTGATCGTGACAAAACCTGCGTAGTATCGTCCAACCCACCTGATCAAAGCGCAATGCATAAACTCGTAGACCGAATAGGCCAGATAGGTCGACCGGGGCTTGTACTTGACGAGTTTCGTCCCGGCACTGACCAGCTGTTTGCCGAAGATCAGCAGGTTTGTGGCAACCAGCTAAACTCAGAAGAAGTAACAACAAGCAAGTGCTAGAATTACCATAGTGGCAAAGCGCATGTTCATATCATTCTTTGCGGCTGATGCCTCCATCTAAAAATGGCGACACGGTCATAAATGAAAGAAGCTAGAAAAAAATTTTCAAGAAGGAGACGGACGCAGAGACTAAACGAAGAGACAAAACGACCATCCCCGAAAAATAAGAGAATGTAGTGTAAAACAACAGAAACAAGCAGGAAAGTTATATGGACAGAGACGCGCACACATTTGCGTCTCTGTCGGGGGTGGAAAGGGCGCACAGGGAATGGGCGGGGAGAGTATCGCGGCGGAGCCGGGACAGCGGACGCGAATGGCAAATGTTTCCGATCTTCTCTCAGCAATTACCTTTCTACGAACCGTCACCAAGGCAATAACGTCCATCGTCAATGTGATAGCTTGTAGAAAAACTAATAACTCCGGCACTATGTTGAAGAGCGTTTGATAGAGCGTGGATTTGTGGTATCTGCAGGTTCTCCAGTAAAATACAGGTGTAAAATGATATCCGGTATAGCAAAGATACCCGGTCTTTGGCTCTGCGACTAAATTAACAATTTATAAGCATGTTTTTCAGTTGAAACTTACTACTTCCCATCGTTGTCAAATAATAAGCCCATAACAAAAGGCATAATATTGTGATATAGACCACAGACCACCTCTCAATTTTTCTGTAGTGCATCCCACCGTTGAACACCGCAAAGAACCTGATTGAATCTCTAAATTAAAAGCTTATGCAGCGCACCGAATCACTGAAATCCAGTGCTGTAACAACCCCATCGTCAAATAGGAGGTGTAGTCCAGGGTAGACCACAGCATGTTGAACATGATTCCGGAAAATGGGTAGCCATCGCTTTTTAGGCAGCCCCAACTAAATTTTCAAGAGAGATTTTATGTATTTAATAAAGATTTTGAATAAAGGTATAAAAACTGACTCAAATAAACATTTCCCATAGTAGAAGCGGGCCACCGAGTTGATAAAACGGCACGATGCGTCGGCGATCATTCCAATGCTTACAATTTTTGAGACCTTCGCGTTTTTCACAACCAAGAAACCGGACGTGGCCGCTAAGCCCATTCCGATGATGCCGAGCTGAAGAATTACAATTCAGGGGGCAATTATAGCGTTCCTTGGAGATCTAATGCTTGCGTGCGTATCGCATGTTGCGTTGCGTATCGCATGCGAGCCCAACACTTTTGGATGTTGCTCCTCAAGCCAACCCACCACAAACATCGACGCCGCAATCTTTAGCTCGTCATTTGTGTGACCACCATTCAAATCCAGATGAAAGGGCACTCCGTTCCATTGGTAGTTTGCCCAATAATCGTCTTCACTGCCAAACATTTGCATATCCCCAGGGCCCTTCTTGCAGACCAGCGAATCGTATCCCATGCGGTCCAACAGGCGGGAATCGGCATAACTGATCCATTGGTAAAAATCGCCCGAGAGGCCCGTGAAATTGTAGGGCCTCTCCGTGTCGTAATATAGCGGCGTGTATTCAGTAGTGCCAATATCATTGGTGTTCGTATAATCATCTGAATGAGATGGCGGTGTGGTCGTTTCTTCTGCGATGACTGTCGTAGATTGAGTGGTCGTGTTCTTTTTCATTAATGCGTGAATGTGTCGGCCAATTTTTGAGAAGCGTCAAGCGGAATAGGGAAATAGAAGAGGCTTCAAATGGATGAGGGCGTCTTCAAAATATACACCTGCCTAGACACACCTGCTTTCATGTTTACGTGCTTAAAATTCTTCGAGAAGTCAACATTTTGCACCTTGAGAAATCATAGCATGATCAGAATTATCTGAATTTTACATCCAATTGATTACTGTTATATAGAATATAACAAGTAGGCATACAACTTGTTATATTCTTCAGACTGACCTTTTTGCAAACGCGATCGATTCTTATAAATGTACAGTCTATGTACTAATGATGGACCGTCAAGTGGGCACTATTGTCGAGTTTGCCGGCTCGATGCATTAGGGTGATTACCTTCCCGGTCCGTGTTTTCATTTTCGCGACTCTCGCCGCCGCTCACAAAAGATGCTAGCTCACGGAACGAAATTCGGCTTCTATGACTAGTGCTCCAAGATATTCCGAGAATGGCCGTAGGACAAATGTTCGCCACCCCTTCCATCAAAAGCCAATTATTTTATATTTGTAATAAAGCGAGACAATAAGAACTACGAGGCTAACGTCCTGCTTGTTGTGACGGTGACGATAGAACCACGTGGTCCCTTTTCGTTTCTGTTGCGACAAGTATAGCCGTAGACGACGAACAAGATACTGAAAAAAGGTTGTCGCGCCCCGCAACAATTACCCGGTGGCGATGGCGCTCGTGTGACGGGCGTACAACTTGGCCACGTTCCTGGCGACATTCGTGCGCGCAATTGTGTTGAGCTGCCCTACAGTATCGTCACCGGTGAGCGCGACCAGCAACCCGTTGAAGAAGAACGCCAGGTTCGAGAAGCCCAGCTGAACGATTCATAAAAAAAGTCATATCGTCTCACCAGCAAGACGAGCAACCGGTTGTCGCGTGCCACTAGATCCCCTTTGTCGCGCAAGCTCTGGAATGAGGTCAGGATAAGCAAAAAAATTACTAGAAATTTAAGACGCCAGAACGTTGCCAGGTTTGCGACCAGTATACAGCCGATAAGCACAATCACGTATGCGTCCATATTATAAAACCGATCACTGGCGTCTTTGTCAAGGTAGTGCACGGCCTTAATCTCCATAATCCCGGGATCGTACCAGAAACCGCCCCAACAGTGATCGATCCCCCAGTTAATAAACCCAAGGTGAGCTGAAATGTTTCGCTTAAAGAAATGTTACGGACGTTTAAAGGAATGTTATGCATATTACTTTCACTTGTTTTTACATAGGCTAACGTTTTGCCATGTGACCAAGCAAAACTTGTGCGCAATTTTTCGCTGATTCCGGGTCTGTTTTCCACTTTTTAAATCGAAATCCTCAGCAAATCTGGGGAACGGATTCGGAATTAGTGATAAATTCGGCACAAGATATGTTTGATCTCATTCCAAAGCTCGTAAAATAAATGTAAAATTGGCGAGAATAGAATAAAGAAAGTTAACCTTCTTTGTTTTCTCGCCTTGTGAAAGCTTTCGATAGATACCTAAATCATCAAAATCGCACAAGAGTGCGGGGCGCCAGAGGGGGTATCTTTTTTTGGACCATGCTACTGGTTATTGGAAACATTAACGTTCCCGAGTCCAGGAATTTGAAACGAATTTGTTCGCTGTCATTATGAACACCCAAAATCACCCACTCAGGCGTGCATGATCCGGGTGATCAAATTGATGAAGCGACATAGGGCATCCATGCCCATCGCAATCCCAACAATCCCCGCGACATCCGGGTTCTTGCGCACCAAGTAGCCAGAAGTGGCGGCCCAGCATCGATCAGCGCGAGCTAAATTTTTTGTGTCCAGGGTTTGGTTTATTGAAGGGCCTACAATCTAAATCCATCCGCAAATTATTCGTCTAGAAAAGTCGGAAAAAGCATTTGGTATAAAAATCAACGAACGAACTCGACGCAAACGCCAACAAATTTCGAAATTGCGAACCTCACAGGTCCTCAAAAAATTAAATGACTAAAATAAATGGTAAGCTGTCTCTTGTCCTAAAATCACCTGTCTTAAAGTTATCTATCCTAAAGTCATCTGTCCTGAAAAGACTTCTCATAAAAATTTTATTTATAATTATTCGCCAAATTCCATGTATTTGAAGCTAAAATGTTTAGGACAGATCATTTTTAGGATAGGTGATTTTAGGACATATGATTTTTAGGACAGGTGTCTGGCAATCAAAATAAATACCCAGCTATACTGCGGACTGCGGGCTTTGTGTAAGTAAAAATTTTAAGTTGCGAGACATTATAAAAACCATAAGAGTACCTACCGCAAACATCGAAGCTGCTATTTTTGGTTCGTCTGTTACGTGCGTCGGAGCAAAAATCTCGTGAACAGGCAGTCCATCCCATTGATAGAACGTGAAATAGTATTCCGCGGATGTACGGAACTGGATGCCACCCTGGCCCTTCTTGCAAGTCAAGGGGTCGTAATCAAAAGTGGCCTCGAAGTCGGGATATAAGTAGTTGACATAGTGGTACATGTCCCCGTGAGCGCCATAGTAATCGAACCACCAGCCGGTAGCGTTCAGCGCATAGGTTTGTGTGACCTCTTCTGTGGTAGTGGACGCTTCGGTCGAGCTCGGGCTGGTCGAATCGGAAAGTCTGTCTTCAGTGCCTTGAGGTGTCGGGCAAAGCCCCGTTCTTGAGCGGGGTTCAGAAAATGGCAGCTAGCCTTTCAGGTAAAATATTACTCCTACGGTATTACAGCGGCAATAAAACCTTTCGATTTGGCCTTACCCACGGCGAGAAGCTATCATTGGGAGATGGAGCGGCATGGTGGGAACTAAATGACACCACTTACTATACTCTGCCATACCCCCAGGGGGTATACCCCCCATGGGGGTACAAAAGGGGTACGAGGTGGGGGTACAAATGGGGTACGGGGTGGGGGTACAAAGGGGGTACGGGTGGGAGGTACAAATGGGGTACCCCCCAGCAGCCTAGCAAATTTTTTCTAGCGACCTCCCACAAATACCACATGTCGGTGGCTCGCAAAAATACAACAAGAAATGACGAAGTTAGCTGGAATTGTATCAAAGCAGTTAATAAAATAACAAATTTGAACTAAACATTTTTTAAGTTGAAAGTTTATCGGGGTTTTTGGAATAAACCCAGAAACCCCTGGTAGCGTTATAGTAAGGGTTTCAATAACGTTTTTAGTAAAATTCAGACATATTTTAAGTGGAAAAAAAATCACAAAAATTTTAAGAAGGTTTAGATTTTTCACCCCCTTTGTACCCCCACCCCGTACCCCATTTGTACCCCCACCTCGTACCCCTTTTGTACCCCCATGGGGGGTATACCCCTGGGGGTATGGCAGAGTATACCACTTACCAATCGATACGGCTAAATAGCAGACACCCAAATTACAACTTTTGACGTGGGGTAGATTGGAGGAGAAGTTGAGGTGTAGTGCGGATTGGAAGGGGAGCCTTTAATATAGCTTTCCGTATTTTCAAAGAGCTTTCGGTAAGCTCAACAGGGAAGTGGTTGGGGCAGGAACTACCCAAGCTGGGCACTAAAACGTTGCCGGTCTAATTGGACTCGTAAACCAAGTGCAAAACCTACAGGGTGATTAAAAAAAAGGAAGTTTGAGTCAACATATCACACGTGCGGAAACGAATCGAACCAGCGTTACATTGTCGGAATGCTTAAATATGCTGGACATGAAGCAATAACAGGTTTTATTTGACGATTTTTGACGACCAGAGGGGGTCGTCAAAAAGGGTATATGTCGGCTACGCGGGGGGGGGGACAATTTTACGCGTTTTTTGGCTCATTTTCGGTCATTCATCTTAGTTTTTCTTTGCGCTCAGGAGTAGCTTAGCTTAGTATTGGTTTAGTCTTAGCTTTCTGACGGGGTGAAGTACCCTCGCCATAGCTTTGCGTTTCGTAGATTCGCTGATTTTAGCTTCGGCTTGGCACTGTACAAGCTCGATGTAGCTGAGCTTCGGCTTTGCTTACCTTAGGTTCCATCCGGTACAGGTTTACGATACGGTTTTTACAAGTACGGTTGCCTAATCCCGACCATAAGACTGATGTTTGTTATAATTGGTGAGAAACCGCCAGTCACCGCCGCCCAGAAGCCCACGTGTACGTGGCAGAGCCCTAGAATTTGATGCATTCCCAGCCGAATTACCCGAAAATTGAGGCACGGTCGGATTTTTGAGCCAGTCATTCAAAATGTTAACAGTTCTCGACTATGGAAACCTTGGCTTTCAGATATTATTGTTTTCCCTTGCAATCTACACCTGCCGAAAAGTAGCGCCGTGGAGGGTATTCAAATTTGAACCTAATTCCGAAAAACGATGTTTAGGATCCAAATCCCATCGTGCTCTCAAACTTTCTCTTGGTTTTCATCGACACCATTCATCTTTTCGTCTTCAACATTCACGACTATCTGGCGCGGATTCTGGAGTATGAAAGCTTTGGTACATGCCTTTTTCTGGGAAATCAACGTCAATAGGCGCGTTCGGTGTTAGGGTGTTCCTTTGGTGGTACAGCGTTCGATATTATCTGCAGCATTTTATCTTCATACTCCTGCCAATTCTTCATCTATTCGCTATCCAATCACCGGGGCTTTATCGAAAATTGCACCTCAATGGATCGATTGCAATTATAATGATCCCGATATCGATAACTTTCAGTAGGTTTCCACATAGTTTAAAATGCATTTTTCTAAAATATAATCTGACTTAATACGTTGTATAACCTTTTAGTGGCCGTTATTGTCCATAACATCGTTTGTAACTGCATGATCTACCAAATTCCGGATTATTACGTTGGCTACACACCTGGGAAAGAGGCTTTAGCCGACATATTTTCAATTATTGATCACGTAACGAAGGTATCGCTTTGTCATAAAGTTCAGTCTGTTTTGAGGGCCTAATGTATCTACTACTTCTTGTTACTGATGTTGTTATCGTCACCAAGCTCTATAAAATGAAAATGTTAAGGAAGAAGCCAAAGAGAGCGAACGATGTTCAGCAAGTTACAGGTATGCTTTAAGTCTTGTTTATAGCTTTTTTAGCCAATAACAATAATTCGAATAACACGACCACCTTGGCAATTAGTCCGCAAGAGATGACGATTGGCTCCGTTCCGCTGCAACCCAATGGACGAAAGCAAGTATGTTTCCGTAATAAAACACCGACATTTGAAAAATCTTATGAGCACAGCCGGTTATTAGAATTTAAAGTGTTAGGTATACCCTATAGTAGCTGGACCAAATAACTTTAAATGCTTTCTTGACTTCCCATCAAAACGGCCTTGTTCAGTCAATTTTCAGACAGCACGTCTAAAAATTGCTCTCGATATCCGGCTGGCAGTTGCCTTTTTCTACATCGCCCTTGCCTATTCCCTATTCACCGTTTACTTCTTGTCCATAGGAATGTAGGGGAACCCAAAAAGCCTCAATTCTGCCCCAGATTTCCCGCCGAGGCCATCCCCTACCTAAACGTGCTGGTCTTCAACCTGGAACTAAGCAAGTGCACTGTCTACGTATTAATCGTTACTCTGAAATAAATTTAAGAATTTATACCTCGGTTTTAAAACCAGTTTTCATTCTTCTTCTTCAGTAGCCTCCAAAATGACACGCAATCTTTGTTCTCGATCTACGGCTTGTTGTTGCGGAACGATAACTTGTAAGAGGGGTCAATGTTCCAGACTGCCAAGGCTTTTTGCTCCATCTGAACTTAAAACTCCGAGCTTGGCTAAATTTTGTGGGAGTTGCGACACAATGTCCCACACCTAGTTAGACGTACAGAAGGGTTTCACTGGCCACACTCAAAAACACAAAAGTTTATCTTTTCCCAGGTCAATCGAGTGTAAGAACGGGGGCAAACGGCTCAAGCCACAAATCGAGCCCAAGCGCGTTCAAAAAAGTTACCCGCTTTGGATTATGGTAACCTGGTACTACAGATGTTTTTGTTTTTATTGTCGATATATACATGGAGAATGGTAGCGCCGTGGAAGGTAGGCTTACTTGGTTTTAATGCTGGGTCGTAGCCTATAGCACACAGGATCAGTGGGCGCGGCCGGGGCCAGGGTTGAAAAGTCGCGAAGCGGCTTTTCAACCCTGGGAATTAAGATACAAGGTTTAATTTCAGTGTCCCTGCCTTGGCTCTTCCCGTACCTCATCATTTTTGTCTTCGACTTGGACATGATCAAGTGCACAATCTACGTGATAATCGTCACCTTGAAATATAGTCGTTTTGTAAAACTAACAAGTAAGTAAAGTAAGCAACAATATACCAGGTCCACTTTCAACGCTACACAGACACTTGAGACGTTCACACGCTTCATCTTTAACCAGCCATGGCTTGTAGTTTTGGGAATCTGGATCGCATAAGAGCCTGGTAAACAGATCACCGGTGTGTTTGCAAGATTTTGAATCGAATAGTCAAGCGAGGGGAATCCTTGGTAAGAGTTTACTTTACCCCCCCACAGCCGAAGGGTCTCAAAGTTGTCGGTATTTTAGCTTATTTTGTCGGGACTTTCGCAACGTTATTCGATAGAGCGTCGAAAAATATACTAAGAGTTTTAATTTGAGCCTACAATAATGTAAAATAAAAAAGTTATAGCCAAAACTTCCGGCTGGGGGTAAAGTAAACCGTAGCCGAATCCTTAATGGGATCCATCAATAGATTAGTAGCCCGGAGTCTTACACATGTTTCGTGCCATTGCGCCTGCGAATAATGTCTTTTCGGGTCGGTGTCATTGAGGTATCTATATAATATGTAGATGACGCATCCAAATCAACTTCCTCAATGCGTAGGCTGCAACCTATCGTCCGACTTACCACCACAAAGTATCACAGATTTCACCTGCCGCCAGTGCGCCCGGCCGTTAATTAACAGCCATGACATTTTCCCGCCTCGCCGGCCGATCATTTTCAACAGTGTTGGCGTGGCACAGATTTTTTTTGTGGGATGCTGTTGGCGTTGGATTATGGTAATCTAGGTTTTCAGTTGTTGCTACTCATACTGTCGATATATACATGGAGGAAAACAGCGCCTTGGAAAGTGAGAATTTTGAAGCATTAAAATATTATAGTATAAAATACCGCTTTTAGAAAGTTTTACGGCAAAGCGCCATTGGATTCGAGTCGTTTGTAACTTAATATCTTTGTCTTTCAAGGACCCAAATCCAATCGTCGTCGCCAATTTCTTTATCGTATTTATCGATACGGTCCATCTTTTAGTTTTTATCATCCACGATTATCTGGCGCGCATCTATGAGTATGAAATTTTTGGTACCCCATCGGGGCTGTAACTTGAAATTCCTCTCTAAGGAGCCCTCGGAAGCAGGGCCTACGTGGCCTGGAATTTATTAAGATATTTCTTACAACTCTTTATCTTTATACTACTCCCAATTCTCCATTTAATTGCAATCTATTTACCTACATTTTATAGAAAGCTCGAGCTAAGGCGATCAATTATGATAATTATGATCCCAATCTTTACAGCTATAGGTTGGCCGGCCCTAAAAATATATAAAACTTTCCCAGTCAACGTCCTGGTTCACAATTCAATCTGTGACTGCATAACCTATCAAATCCCCGGTTATTACATTGGTTTCACCCCCGGAAAGGAGGCTATTGCTGAAAAATTTACGCTTCTGGACCACGGTATGAAGGTAGGCTATAGGCACATTAAAAGGTCTGATATTTTATTCAGGGTTTAATGTATATTTTGCTATTTGGCACTGATATCATTATCATCATGAAGCTTTACCAGACGCGCGCTCTGGGCAAAAATCGGAGACGCCCAACCGATATTCAGCTGGTCACTGGTAAGTGCCGCCGTTCACATGCACTTACGCGAGCGTATTTAGCAAATCACCATACAAATAATACCGCAAAAATAACAGCTTTGGTTACACTTCCACCGATTCCACGTAAGGTAGGAATATCCGCACCGCTTTGTGCCAAAACGTCCATTTTCCAGCATCTACGCCTAAAAGTTACTTTGGACATACGATTGGCTGTTGCATTTCTGTACATAGCGATCGTTAATTCATTACTTACCATGTATGTGGTTTGTATAGCCAGGTAACCAGAAATTCTTTTACAAAAATGCAACAGCATTCCGCCGGAAGCCATCCTCTATCTAAACGTCCTTATCTACGACCTCGACCTGAGCAAGTGCACCATCTATGTCTTAATCGTGGCCTTGAAATAAAATTCATCGCTGCAGATAAAAATAGTTTCTTTCCTTTTAGCTTTCAAGGGCCCTCACCGACTACGTGCAAATTAACTTAGGCCAGCGCACTATCCCATGCCAATTTTCGCCACAAACCATTTCTCGGTGCACCAAGACTGTATGAAACGGCAAAAATGAACACCAACATGTCTATTTTTGGTTATCGAGAAGAGGTTTTTTGAGCATGAGCTTTTTGTGAGAGCTTGCGTAGAGTGCGGCTCCAATTTGAGAATTTCGATAAGACAGTTGCTGAAAGCGTTTATTTATCAATTTTTCATGTCAAGTAGAGTGTGCCTGAATTTCCTAATTTCCATAAAATCTATGGACGATCTGTAGACAGAAAATCCTTAAAATGCCTTCACTGTCCCTTTAAACCAAACGGTCTCGATAAGACCGTTTTACACTCTTTTTAGGACTGAACCCCCATCGTCGTCGCCAATTTCCTTATCGTATGTATCGATAGAATCCATATGTTCATCTTCATCATTCATGACTATCTGGTTCGCATCTATGAGCTTGAAAGCTTTGGTATTTAAACCATTAATTAGATTTTCGATGCTTTGGGCGCTCTGGGAGTCTGGATCTACCTATGCTGGAACAGTTCACGGTACTACATACAACTCTACACATTCATACAACTGCCAATTCTTCATTTATTCGCTATTCTATTACCTGGACATTATCGAAAGTTGCACCTGAAAGGGTCGCTCATTATAATAACGATCCCGATCACAGCGGCTATTGGTAAGCTCTACAATACATTGCGTGACCCCGGGGTGCCTTTGAAAGGCACCCCGGGGTGCGTTTCTTGGGGTGCCGTCCGACACTAAGCTACGCCACACTCCGCCAGGTTGGCCTTGCCTTTAAAAAGTTCTGGCATCGAGTCTTCCAGAACTAAGCAAGATGCGTACTTGGAGGCGACCAAAAACGTCTGTTTTCCAATAAACATTCCCAGAAAAATGCCCTGAAAACATTCCGTCAACCGAACTATTTCTCACGGTCGAATTTGGGACGGTTGGGGGGGGGTGCTAGCAGGAACCAGTTGATCTTTAGCATTCCCCCTGTCTCGTCGTAATGTTCACGCCACTGGATTACGGCAACTTTGGATACCAAACCTTTACATTTTTGTTGTCGATGTTTATTTTGAAGCGCGTGGCTCCATGGAAGGTGAGAAATGCGGTTTAATGCAGCTGATTTTTTTGCATGGAGGTGGAGAAACACATTCGCCAAAAACGGGCTTTTTGGGTTTTCGCAATTCCTTCATTTAACAAATTTACAAGCAAAAATGTAAAAAATCCTTAATAAAGTGGGCGACGCGCCGTGGTGTTCAGACCATAACTCGAGGCCCTGGCGGAATTTCGGTCTGTGATTTGGATCACTTATGTATTCGATAGTGGGGATCATGCGCATCTTATTATCTTTATAAATTTTCTGCGTATTCAGACTAAAAAATGGAATTTTTGTAGGGTGACCAGTATGCCTCCGTCCCGGGATCATTGGGGCGCCTTTTTGCCCGCTTTCCCGCTGCCTCTTCCCATCTGTGGTGTAGTGGAATTGCGCCTGGCCTACCATGCGAATGGTCGTGGGTTCGGACCCTGGCGAAATATAACTGCTTGCTTTTTGGTGGTTCAACAAGAGAATATCTTTCTAGGTTCTCGGTGTGCGGGGTTTAGGCCTGGCTCTTGCTCTAGCGCCGCAGGCCAACGAAAAGGCCCTTGGTCCAGGCTCTCGCGCCAAATCCCGGAGAAAAACCAGTAACTAGCGCCGCAGGCTCAAAGATTCCAGCGCCAAGCTGGCTCTGACGCCGCAGGCCAAATCATGGGTCCTTTAATCAGGCTCTTGCGCCGCAGGCTAAAAAAAGAAGGTATTTGAATTCATGGTTCCTGGACGGTGTCCAGCCGAAAAGGGCCGCGAAGCGGGCTTTTTCCACTGGTTTATTTATATACCAGCTTCGTTTCAGGACCCAAATCCAATCGCCTACTCCAATTTTTCCATCGTTCTGGCCGATTGTTTCCAGCTATTTTTCTACATTCTCCACGACTACTCGGTCCGGGTTTTTGAAGCTGAAACATTTGGTAAACTTCCAAGAGCTTTCTAACCTTGAAAGCTCTATAGGTGACTTCGGTATCTGGCTTTTCCTATCCTTTTTAAACGTCAAATACTGGTACCAAGTGCTCGTTTTCTACGTCCTGCCTATCCTACATCTACTGGCAATTTTCAAACCTGGCAGCTATCGTCAAATCGGGACGAAGGCCTCGATCTTGATTCTGATGGTACCGTTAAGCTTGAGTTTTGGTAAGCTGAGAAAAATCTGCGTTATACGGAAATTACAGTACTCCAAGGCGTCTACCTCGTCATCTGTGACTGTAGCGTCTATGTGATACCTGGGTATTACGTTGGGTTGAAGCCGGGAAAAGAAGCGATTTACACAGTTTGGTATATTTTGGACATGACGATAAAGGTATCTAAATTGCTTATATGATTTTATCGCATTAATTTATCAAAAATATTAAGTCTAGCTTCCGAATTTTAGGGCCCTATGTTCGTGTTGTTGATCGTAGTCGACCTGATCCTTATATGTCGGCTTTACAAGATGAAAATCCTCGGTAAAAAGAATGTGAAAACTGTTCAAGAAGGTACGAATCGCAAGTAGGATTAAGCGTACTTAATAAGCCTAAGCCTGATATTTAATTTTCAGCGAACAACAGCACCACTCAAACGCAACCCAACGGAAGTAAGATCGATCTACCAAGAGCCAGAATTATCCAGAAGCCTCAGGTTTTTGAAAATGCCACCCTATAAGACGGTTTTATAGACACGCTTAAAAGTTGCTATCGATAAGCGCTTAATCCTGGCCTTTTTCTATATCGTAACCGCGCTGCTGCTGTTCTCCGCCTTTTTCTCGGCTGCCGACAAGTAAGTTTAGGCTTAGGCTTAGCCTTGAGGATAGGCTTAGGCGTGGGTTGAGGCTTAGGTTTTTTTATTATTGCATAGGTTTGGCTTAAGCTTATTTTAGGCCTAGCTTAGGCTTTGGTTTTCGCAAGCTTTCACACTGTTTTCTAGGATACCTATCGAAATCCAGCCCTACGTCACGGCCGTCATCTACAACATCGAGCTCACCAAGTGCACGATTTATGTCCTGATCGTGACGCTGAAATAAACTCATGAAATTTATCTTGGGTTCCTCTACCAGCGAATGCAACTGATAACCCTACAGTTTACAGAGAGAAAGCACATAAAAATGGTTGAATGACTGATCGGTTGAATATGATTTATATTTTGTTGGCAATCTAATATTACCCTGTTGTCTGGCGGAAATACTAAAGTATTCGCGAAAGTTGGGTCAAGCTTCATGGTGGCCGATCACCTGTTCGAAAATCATCTGTTCGAAAACCATCTGTTCGAAAACCATCTGTTCGAAAATCATCCGTTCGAAAATCATCTGTTCGAAAATCATCTGTTCGAAAAGTCATCTGTTCGAAAAGTCATCTGTTCGAAAATCATCCGTTCGAAAAATCACCTATTCGAAAAAGGTCCCAAATGGGGAAAATGGGAAGCTATTGCTATTAAAATGCTGTGTTTCGCATGTTTCGTGGGAAAGTTCGAGGAAAATCTGAAATTGCGCGGCTATATCGAATCCTCCGCCAAGCCAAAGAAGCGCCCGAGGGTGACCATCGACGAGCAGCAGCAGCTCTGCGAGAACAACAGCAAAGAATATATGGCCCAGTTCCTCGACAACATCGCCAAAACTTTAACCTGAATCGTCATGAATATGTCTTTTAAAGTCTTTTTGTTTTTTTTAGTTTTTTTTTTGTCATGAAAAGACTTTTCAAGAAACGTGAATTTTGGAAAAGTTGTTGCTTGGAAAACCGTTATTTTTCGAACCGATGATTTTCGAACAGATGACTTTTCGAACAGATGAATTTTCGAACAGATGTCTTTTCGAACAGATGATTTTCGAACAGATGATTTTTCGAACGGATGATTTTCGAACAGGTGATTTTCGAACAGATGATTTTCGAACAGGTGATAGGGAATCAGCTTCATCAATCCACAAACCCCTATTTTCCAATTTTCGATTGTCCCATAATAACACTCAGCTAGAGTGGAGTTTCTCAAATTGTCGGAAGCTCAAAAAGTGTCTCTACAGATGAAAGGTCCCCAATAGCCGTACTCTAGGTTTTCAACCCATTGCAGGAAATTCAGGCAATTTCCCATCACCCCTTTTTAACATGGGTTTCCGCCACAAAACCCTCCTGCGCATTTTCGTTCTTTATGAACCTGAAAAAGCGGGCGGAAGCGAAGTAAAGTAACTGCAAAAGTGCGCTCCCAGGCTAACAATCGGTACAACTCTCACAACGCCATAACAATCACTTTTGACACCAGACGTCAACAGGCACATTGGGTATTGGCCACTTTTGAGGGTGGAATTAACATCTCGGCATTCTCACGTCAACTACCTGCGGGACCCAAAAATCGGGGTCGAACTAGCGACGCGCCCGACTTGGGCACAAACCTCTCTGGATTATGCTGACGATGCTCGACTATGTGGAGTTGGCTTTCCGATTTTTACTATTTCCGGCGTTGATTTGGATGCTAAGGCGAGTGTGGCCATTTAAAGAAACCAATCCAATCGTCGTCGCTAATTTCACTCTCCTGGCTGCAGATTTTATTCATATAGTTATTTCCACAATCCATGATACTTTTTCAAGAATTTTTGAAATGGATATATTTGGTATGAGCCTTTATAAAAGCCGAAATTTTATTAAGGTGCACTTGGAAGCCACATCTACCTGATTTGGGCTAATTTTCGATATTGGGGCCAGATCTACATATATGTCTGGCTGTCATTTGTCCACTTGTTAGCGATATTTCTTCCGATTATCTATCGAAGAATCGATTCCCGGGCTTCGTTTTTGCTACTTTTAATACCACTCGGCTTTACAGCAGGTTAGGATGCTTGCATAAAAAAGTTATACCTTTTTTAGTGACTGATACCCTGTTCTATACGATTTGTGATTGCATGTATTACGCTGTACCTGGTTATTACGGTGCTTACAAGACCGGAAAAGCAGCCGTCGAAGGCAGTTTTACGCTGTTTGATAACATTTTGAAGGTAGCTTAAGGGTTTTGAGCTACCAAAATTGTGTCCTTAAGCTCATAATGTTTGGTGCGCTGATCGGGACGGATATTGCGATAGTTGCGAAGCTGTACAGAATGAAGGTCTTGGGAAATCATCCGCGTAGAAGAGTAGAAGCAGCACCTCCAACTGGTTTGAACTTGGTTTTATTTAATGAAAAAAGGAATATTTTAGTGATGTCCACGCATTCCGAGGTAGCTTCACCAAGAAGTGCCACGCTAATGGAGCCAAATTCCAACGGAAGCCGCGCGGTGCGTAGACCTATGGTAAGTAAGACGTCTGTTAACCTCGACGGATCGTATTCCCAGCGTCGTATTATACATTATTCCAGAGAATCAGATTTCCAAACTCAGCATGGCATAAAATTTCATAAAATCTAGATCCGCCCTCGCTTCAACGTAACTATTGACAAGCGCCTGGCACTGGCGTTTCTCTACATCAGCGTGGCATTTCTGAGCCTTTCTGTATATTTTCAATACGTTGCTGTGTAAGTGTTTATACGGTCTTCTCTACGATGAATTTTAGCCGCTTGGAAATTCGGTTCTTTTCCATCATCGGGGGCGGGGGGACGAGATTCGGCCCTTGGGATCAAAATTTCCAAAATTAGAAAAAGGCAATCCGTTTTAAAATATTATACACGTAGAAACTTACAAATTTTTTATCAAAAAAAAACCAAAAAATCGATATTTTGTTTAAAAATCGCCATTGCTACCAATTTCCGACCATTCAGAAATTTTTGGAAGCTTGTGATTTGTCTTTTAACAACACTACTAAAATACTAGCAGTTTAGTTGTTACTGATCTCTAGCCGTATACAAAAAATTTCGACTTCCCTCGATAACGCTAAAGAACCGGAAATTCATAATTTGCATGATTTTCTAGATTCCCACCCGCCGCCATTCCTTACGCGAATGCCTTCGGGGTTAGCGGGCGTAGCCCGCTAACCCCTTTTGGTTTGAGGTACCCCCCCATACGACTTTTTTGGGGTCCTTTTCCGGATTTAAAAAAGAACCACGCATCGGATCGCAAAACTGAATACACCATCGGAACCGGCGACACTTTTTGCATACTATAGGCTTTTAAAATTTGAAAAAAAGTTAAATTTCGAATTTTAACAGCCGATTTAAATTGCGTTTCGAGGGGGGGGGTCTGCGTTTGTATGTGTGTGTGTATGTACGCAAAACCTTTGTAGTCGTCAAAAAGTGCCTTCCCACGGTCCGTTTGGGCTGAAATTTTCCACATATATCGACTTGATGTAAATGAAGGTGAGGAAGAAGCGTTTTTTTGAAAATAGCCTTTTAAAAAATTTATATATAATTTTTAAGTTGAAAAGCTAAATTGCGGTCAAAACAAGGGTTAGTGATGTCCGTCTGGGCTCAAATTTGGCTCAAATATGAATTAGACCATGCCGGAATAAGTAAAGAAGAAATTGCATCGAAAGAATGCTTCTTCTCTGAGTTATTATAACTTTAAACCTTCGCCATACGGGGCGCCGCCCTCCCCTTTGCGGCCCCAGTCCCGAGTCAGGGCGGGCGGGTCTAGCTTCCCCTAGACAGGGCTCCCGTCGCCCCGTTGGCCTAATGGTTAGCACACTGGACTGGCACGTCTTGGCTCCCGAGTTCGAACTCCGCCCGAAACATGGTTTTTGCCGATTGGCCCCCGTACAACCTTATGATTTCTAGTGCGTTTACAAAGCGCCGCAGGCAAATTTTTTTGAAGTTTTGCGTACAAGGGTTCATCTGAATAAGTATTCCTTGGCTTATTTTACGATCTTAACAATAAGATTGAGGCAAAAAGGGCTAAATTCTCTCTAAGGCTAAAAAGAGTCTTTTTAAAAAAGGGCTTTTGGTTTTCGCAAAAAGCGATGAATTCTCGTGGCAACAAAAAGAGCTAAATTCCTTTCAAACTCTTAAAAATGCCACAAAATGTGGGATCAACCAAAAGTTGCTGGCACCTTATTAAAATGGGCAGATCTAGTTTCTAGCGGTTTCGGCTTGCAAATAATTTCTGTATTATGATCTATTTGCACTTTCTTGAAATTAATCTGTGGACCTGACCTGTGATCTGGGATGGCACCGAGTTTATTAAGGTTTTAAATAGCCAGCAACTTTTCGTTGTTCCCGCATTTTGTGGCATTTTTAAGAGTTTGAAAGGAATTTAGCTCTTTTTGTTGCCACGAGAATTCATCGCTTTTTGCGAAATTGTCCATTGCCTCGAGCTGAGCAAGTGCACGGTCTATGTAATGATTGTCACGATGAAATAAATGCTTCACGAGCCCCTAGGCGTCAAAAACCAATCCGTATGCCCCAAATCCACCTTCACTTTCGAGGCTCGGCCGTGAATTTCACCACGGTAGTTTGGTCGCAATAACCCTGCAACCAGGTCTCACGGGTTGATTCTCTGGTTAGGTAGAACTAGGCCCGTAGCGGAACCGAAATTTCGGGGGAGGGGCCCAAAAATTTTGGCTACCTACCCCCCCGGTCGCTATTTTTAAAACATCCGAAAATCGCGTCAATAGCAGCGTCGCAGGCAAAAAACCGTTCGCTACACTCAAATTCGTGTGAAAACACGGCAGAAAACGCGCCGCAAGCATAAAAATTTTTTAGAAACAATTGGTTCAGCAATTAAAGCCAAATTTGAAAAAAATAGGCTTCATATAAGTAAAAACTGTTTGAAACACAGTAATAAACAGCGCCGCAGGAGGAAAAATTTTTGTAACTAAAAATCACAAGGGTCCCCCCTTATGAATTTTTCGGACCTCGACCGATTTCGGGGGAAGGGGGGAGGGGGCAGGGCCTGCCCCCTCCTACGGGCCTGCGTAGAACCCATCGAACTTTGAAGTTTTAACCCGCTGTATTGGACCATTGAACAATTATGGAAGCGAAAATTCAGGATAAATTCTTAGCTACACTTAAAATTTTGAAATTGCGGTGATAATAGTGCTAGATTGAATAATTGACGAATGGTGGCCCGGACGGTTTTACTTAAGAAATGCTGCTGGTGGAAAAGAAAGAATAGATCTCACCTCTCTCGGCTCGCTCTCGCATATCGAGCCGATTCGGATGGGGCACGGAAACACCTTGTGGTGATTTTTTGGTGCAAATGCGCCTGAGGGGGGGCATCTTGACTACAAGACGTTCCAAGGGCCGTTTTTTAAACTCGAAGCCTCTGGAAAAGCTAAGCCAATTCTCAGCTGTCTTCGTTAATGCACAATTTCCGTAGCGAGTTTTGCCGGTACCCAGAAGCCATTCGCCGTAGGACAGTCTGGTACATTCTCACGGCCATTTGGGCTGCTGGGTGGCCAACATTCCGAGCGGCCACTAGGGGCACTTTCACCCTTCGTTCTACAAAATGCTGACGCCGCTAGACTATGCGGAGTTGGCGTTTCGGGTCCTGCTCTTTCCAGTTCTACTATTAACGATGCGGAAGGTGTGGCCTTTTAAGGAACCAAACCCAATCCTCGTCGCCGATTTTGCCTTACTGGCAGCCGACTTTATTCATATAACTTTCGCAACAATGTTTGAGGTTTTTACGAAAGTTTTTGAAACCCTGGCGTTAGGTGCGTGAATCTCAGACGGTCTTAGAAATTGAATAGGTGACGCTGGCGCTTATGTCTACCTGCTATGGTCGAATTTTCGGTATTGGAATCAGATCTACATTTATATTTGGTTATCCGTAATTCACGTGCTGGCTCTATATTATCCGGTGTCCTATCGATGGTTGGGGGAAGGGAAGTCGTTTATATCACTCCTGCTACCACTCGGATTTACGATGGGTGGGTAGGTTACTGTACTGTACGTGGGGAGAAAGAAGCAGAGCCAGCGAGAAATAGAGAGAGAGAGAGAGAGAGAGAGAAAGAGAGAGAGTGAGCTGTCATACTAAGAAATAACTATTTAGTAACCGTTTTGGTCTACTTCACCGTCTGTGACTGTTTCTATTATGACCTGATCGGCTACCATGGCGGCACGAGACCCGACAAGACTGAAATCGTGTCCATTTTTACCTACCTCAATTACGCCGTCCTCGTACGTCATACAAAACCCCACGTAAACCAATCTGTAGCTAGTAATGTTCATCGCGCTGATCGGTACTGACTTGGCAATCGTGGTCAAATTGTATAAGATGAAGGTGTTAGGCCGGGGCGCAAATCGACCCATCGAAGCCGGCGTTACAAAATGTGGGCCCGATTTTCGAGTTTAGTGTGCGAACGTTTAGCAAATTCCGGTTTGGACGCGCCGAGAAGTGTGACGCAAGTCGAGCCGGTTTCTAACGGTACACGAAGGCGACTGGTAGGCGTTTTTTACTAGCACACGACACGTAATGCAACGCGGCAAAAGTAGTGCCGCAGTGTATAGTCGTCGTAGTGTAACTGCGCCGAAAAAAATCTGTGCGGCCCTCTCTAACCTTGTATAAGCGCTGCGTTTTGCTGTGTTCAAGATCAGAAAAATGGAACTAAATTTAGGTGCGGCCCAGATTCAAGGTATCGATCGATAAGCGCCTAGCCGTCGCATTTTTATACACCTGCATCGCGTTTATATGTCTGGCTCTCTACTTCCAGTTTGTGGCCTCGTAAGTTTCGGTTGCATTGTCATCGGATACAAAAGATAATTAGTCGTTCGCAGGAACCAATCCTATGACGACGGGTTGCCCGGAACAGATCCTTGGCACGTAGTGCGACTCGAACTATCAAAATATTCCAGATTCCCACCGGCGATAATCCCCTACGGCAACATTGTAGTGCGTAGTTTGGAGATGAGCAAGTGCACAATTTACGTGTTGATTATCACGATGAGATGAGGTGCTGAACGCCAATGGTGATTAATAAAAAAATGGCGGATGATATCAATAAATAACACAACGTTGTGAAACCACGGTTTCTCAGAATTTGTTGATTGAGCCGACAACTGGAAAAAAAATCAATTTACATAGACTTGACACCTTTTTAGGGAGTAGATCGACCCATGGCTAAGAATGAAATCAAAAGATACACTTTGCGCAAACAACCCACCCCATTGCCCCCAATGTTATGTTACCCCGTAAACAATCTCAATCCCCGGGCGTATAAAGAGAGCGGGCTGGAGAGCCATGCAGTCGCGGGTCTACAGACATGCGATTTTTCTTCAATATTGTGCTGATCGCCTTGTTTTTTTGCCTGGCAGTTTGCAAGCCGGGATTGACCGGTGGGCCATCAATTTTTGAGAGTCAATGAATTTAGGGGAAATCCCGAAGAGCCAAGCCGACATGGGAATTGAGCACCGGGTGAAGAGGGGAGAGGTCTCGATGATGTGTGAGTTTTTGAAAGTTTTGACCTTACAAGGGCAAGGATCTTGTGTATTTAAAGAGATGAGGACGGCATCGGTTGAACCCCCCTGGGGGAGGGGGGGTTCAACAGATGGGGCGACGAGAGAGGACGCCCAGGCGAGAAGCGCAGAGGCATTTTCTTTCCCGCGCGTAATCGATTGACTCGTGCCGCCCCTATCCCTTTAAGGAGCGCTTCAGGTAACAATATTGAGTTTATGCAATGGTTTTCCTCTGGATCTATTGCGTACGCACACGCAGCGCGGTGATTGCGTTGCGTAATGAATTTCCTGCTTTTTCGCATTCTCGTTTCTTTTGGATGACGAAGTTCTCGCGTTGCGTGTCGCGGGTGGCGAGTTCCAAAAAATCATCCAAAAACTTCGATAATTGTGCTTTCAAAAAAAATTTTCCTTTTGAAACGTTTTTACGAAAAGATGGTAGCCCATCCCGAATACTACACAATTGCATCAATTTTAACTTTATAGCAAATCACAGAAGTTTCGGAGCCAAAAATCACGATGAAAGCTATGGCAACGGTACCGGAGTCATGGGTAATTTTTGAACCGCAAACCATAAAATTCATTCTCATAGATCACGACTAAAATCCCGACCTTCGCGCCCGACGTTGATATTCAAAAAAAGCCACTACTGAATAAATATCTTTTCCCTTCGAAAAACTTCATTTCGCGCCAGCCACTAGCCGGCACCTGACATTCAAAGAAGCGCATATGTGACCAGGGCAAAGCTGGGGGCGTAAATTTTTGCAGCTTTTCAACGGGGCCACCGGCGGTCAGCGTAAATCCATGTTTGGCGAGCCGGCAAAGGAATTTGGGTGGTGACCCGCGCTTATAAATGACGATTTTGAACCGGGGTTGGATACATTCTAAACCTCCGGAAGTGTCACCGGGATGCTGCTCTGGATTGCTGCCGTGGTGGTTGGGGCTGGGGCGACGTTTACGAACTGCTATGATTATGATCCGAAGTGAGTGTGGAGCTTTCGACCTTTAGTGGTGCTAGAAAGAATAATTACAATACTTACCGAAAAAAAATTACAAAATTATTTACGAAAATTGGGCTTCGGCTGCGGTTTAGGCTTACGTTTAGGCTTCGGCTTCGCTTAGGTTTAGGTTTAGAATCAGGCATAAGTTATATGAAATGCTTTAGTATAAATGACATCTTTAAAGGGCGTAATGAGTTTTTCCCGGAAAGTTTTTTTCTTTTTGCCGGCCTCTTCAAGGCGTTCAGCCACTTTTATAAGGCGTTGCTTTTTTTCTAACATCTTTCATCAACCTTCTCAGTTGCGCCCTCTACCTCGAAAACCGTTGGTGCTCCTCTCCACTCTGGAACGCTACCATGAAGTACAACTACTGCGGCGCAAGCTGCAGGATGTGTACGTCGTGCGTTGATGCTGACCCGAAGTGAGTTCATACAATCCTTGAGGGCTCCTTAGGAAGACGTTAAAATTTTCTTGATCGAAAGGTGCAAAGCAATGCTTTAATAGGTAAAAATGGATACCTTTAGCTGCCCCATCTACGCTTCTAACGGTTACTGCGATGGCCCAGCTACGTATGCCGAGAAAATCTCCAAATGTGCCAAGACTTGCGGATACTGCTACGACCCGAACAATGGATGCGTGGATGCCGATCCCAAGTACGTCTCCATGATTCTAGGGCTAAATTTTTGCTGGCTTTTAGCTGCCCAATCTACCGCGGCAACGGCTACTGCACCGACCCGCAATACAGTGACGCTGTGAGGATGCAAAAGTGCCGAAAGACCTGCAAATACTGCCAGTGCGGCTAGAAAAATTGGCAAATAGGAACCGTGTTTCTGTTAATAATATTTAATAAAGATTTTCACCGCAGAAAAAACACGATGCTGAAAGACCATTGGGACCAAAAATATGACGTGACTAGGTATGGTATGATACGATACTATGCCGTTGCCAATTTCCCCAAATCGAATTCACAAGCGCTTTAAAAACTTTTTTGTAATTATTTGACGTTCAAAGTATAGATTTTCGTACTTGAATGGAATTCGCGTGCCTCAAAGGTGATTTTCGTCTCAACCCCTGAATTTTTGGCGGAAAAACCTGCCTGCAGGCTGGTCAAATAATATCGTCAGCCGGCTCTCATCAGTGGCGATTTTATAGGAGGCTTTCAAAATGTTTATTCTGACATTCATTGGCTTGCAAAAATCATGCGGCAATGCAAAAATTTCCGGTGAAACCATTATTGGTGGTGCCGCTGACGCATTTTGTGGTGGCTGGGCAGACGAGGACCGAGTCGGCGGCTAAAATTCCCCAAAATATCGGGGGTTTTTTTGGGTGACCTACGTCCTCTGACAGTGGTCGAGGTGATAGTCTTGGTTTGATAGGGGCAGATCTCATTTTGCTGTGATGAAAAATATAAAAAAACGACTATCGTAACCCACCGCAAAGCAGATATTCATACCCGCGACACTGCGGCAGAAGTTTACTCCGCAATCGAGACCTTTGGCAGCTAGAAGCGGAATTTTTAACGTCGTAACGGTTATTATATTATTGCATTAATGACAGCCTTCAATAAATAAGCCTGCGAGCTGAATTATCGTTGAGATCTTACAAGGAAACCTCCCCAGCTCGAAGTTGGACTTCGATTAGCCATATAGCCTATCAGATACAGTTTTTCACGCTGATAACGATACCGATATTTATTTTTGCCGAGCGCCACAGGAACATTGTTAAAAATCGATTTAAAGTTTCGTCATGTCTGGCAGCCCCGCCTCAAAGCCCCTCCCCACCGGGAAGGATCCATCGGCGGCGTGGTGTAGTCGGCAAGTACTTGGCCTACCAATCTAGAGGTCGCTAGTTCGAGACTTGCCGCTGACGACTTTTTTGCTTTTTGCTTCAAAAGTGCTGTGAAGGTCCTACAAGTCATCAAGAAAAATGTTTTGAAGTTTTTTTGCACTTTTGGTCGCTAATTCAGGTAGTTATGGCTACAACGAATCACAGGTCTCGATACGATCCTCATGAATTTTATTACCTCAAAATGCTTACCTTGGTGCAGAAATGAAGCTTCACATAAGATGTAAAAAAAAACTTAAAGACAGAACCTAGTATTTCCTTCTCCTTTTTTTCAAAAAGTTTTAAAAGAGTGGCTGGTGCATTAAATAGTTGGTGATCCACCGATAATTCCAAATGTCTTCGGCTGAAAAACAGTCTTTCCGAGAAATCGAATAGAGCAACTTGAATTGGTGACCAAAAGTTCAAAAAAAATTAAAACCATTTGTCTTGATGACTTATAGGACCTTCACAGCACTTTTGAAGCAAAAAGCAAAAAAGTCGTCAGCGGCAAGTCTCGAACTAGCGACCTCTAGATTGGTAGGCCAAGTACTTGCCGACTACACCACGCCGCCGATGGATCCTTCCCCGTGGGGAGGGGCTTTGAGGCGGGGCTGCCAGACATGACGAAACATTTAAATCGATTTTTAACAATGTTCCTGTGGCGCTCGGCAAAAATAAATATCGGTATCGTTATCAGCGTGAAAAACTGTATCTGATAGGCTATATGGCTAATCGAAGTCCAACTTCGAGCTGGGGAGGTTTCCTTGTTAGTCTACAATAAGTATAAGCCGTCATTAATTACCTCCCAAAGTCTTCGTAGGGTCCAACGTCTTCTCGATAGCTGGGCAAAGCGCCCCTGTTGACTTTGTCGTAGCCCTCGGATTCTTAGTCGTTGGCTTCCGAGTGCTCATTCCTCGCGTTCCATGATGTCCTCCATGACCATTCTCTTGGGAATTCCAGCCTCCACCACCTCCCCATCCACCTCGACCTCCACCTCCACCTCCATGTCCACCCCCACCACCTCTGCTGTGCTCTAGGAGTGCTGGAAGTTCAGGACCAACGTTCGGCCCCGCAGCCTGTTAAAGTATGGAAATTACTTTGGATACTTTGATGAAACTTACCAGTGCTAGCGCGCAACAGCAGGCAAGGCTGATGAGGTTCAACATCCAGATACTGCGCGGAGTGACATGTTGAAGCCCGTAGGTTTAGACATCTAAACCGAACATGCAGCTGGCCAAACATGTCTCATGCCCGGTCGACATTTGGTTTTTGGTTAGTCGGCGTGGCGCCGGGGTACGTGGTTTGTGCTTAAACGAAAATGGGCATAAGTCACTGCTTAGGCAATTTGATGACTAACCTCGTCATCTGTTAAGCTGAAAGGTTGAATGGGCTTCCTGGAAGTATAAAATCACAGTGCGAGAAGCTCTAAATCTCTAACTCAATACTCAGAGGGCACTGGTTCGTTAGCGGTGGGGTATATAGTCCTAATAGACCTAATTAAAAAGAATATGTAAGGGCGTTCCCGTCCCCTGACAACCACCCCCCCCCCCCTCCCGCCAACGAATTAGAACCACTGCGAGGAAACCTTCAGAGTCAGTCAGGCCAGTTCTGACATTTTCCCTAGTATTTACATGTGGTCGTGGCACCACTGTAAGGGCATGGCAAAATTTTGTAGTATTTTGCACGATTTGTACAGAGAATTTATTCATATTCAAGACAAATTCTGAGTTGGTACTCTAGACGCAGAAGTTGCCAGTGTATCCATTGTCGGTCGTCCCTCCAACGCACTTGGTGGTTTGTGGGCAGACGAGGTTGGCGTCGGCCGCTAAAAATCTTGGATTACCGATTTCAGGCTCAAAACCCTACGTCCTTTCACCGTCGAATAGGTGATGGCCGTCAACTGGTAAGGGCAGAGATCGTTTTGCTAAATTCAGGATAAATTTTTTCTGGATTTTTGAAGGTACCGCAAAGCAATAATTCTTTCCACCGGAGCTTCGGCAAAAGTCGGTGCCGCAGTCGTTGGAAATGGCTGCTAAAAATGACCGGTTGAAAGAACCCGATTTTCTGCTAACGCAACGCAAGACGCGATGCGTTTCCAGACACGTCGGGTTAGACAAAAAACTTACGTCCTGTCTGCTGACTGACGCTGACGTAAGACTCAAGAGCTGGGCAGAGAGTCACTCCAGCGGTGGTGCTCATCCCTGGTCTACCAGTGGTTGGACGCTGAGTGGCTGGCTTCTGACTGGCTGGCATTTGTGTGGCTGGTGGTGGTGGCGGGGGTGGGGGAGGAGGAGGTCCTCCATTACCTCCCTGGCCACCTTGGCCTCCTCCTTGCTGGTTGGGTGGAGGCGGGGGCGGTGGGGGAGGTCCCCCGTTTCCCCCTTGTCCTCCTTGCTGCCGGGGTGGCGGTGGCTGCTGTCCTCCTTGTCCACCCTGCTGCCTTCCTTGCTGCTGTGGTGGTGGTGGCTGCTGCCCTCCTTGTCCACCTTGTTGCCCTCCTTGCTGCTGGGGTGGTGGTGGCTGCTGCCCTCCTTGTCCACCTTGTTGCCCGCCCTGCTGCTGAGGTGGAGGCGGTTGTTGTCCTCCTCGTCCACCCTGTTGCCCTCCTTGCTGTTGTGGTGGAGGTGGAGGTTGACTGCCGGCTTGACCCCCTTGCTGTTGTTCGCCTTGTAGCGGAGGTGGTGGATTTCCAACCGCAGGAGCTGCCTGAAAACTCCGTGTTATAAAAGTTATACGCAACGCGGCACGTCACGCGTGACAAGATGCGTTTGGATAAACTTCAAAAATATTTCTATGGAAATGGCCTTTAAAAATTACAGATATGTAAAAATCTAACCAATGCAAGCGCGCAGCAGCCAGCAATCAGCAGAAGCTTCCTCATGATGTCTTGAATGCCACTCAACCACTTTCCGCTACTTTATACCCAGTTCCATCTGGTTTACAACCATCTGTGCACACAATGTTCTATATGCTCTGTGGTCAAAATGACGAGTCCTTCGAAGAGTCTACTTTTTCGGGCAATACTCTAGGCGTGCCACGTTGATGTGACCTGTGGCGCGGCCCCAGGTTTGTTTGGACAAACGGCTTGGACGGGGGTCAGACGCGTTGCATTTTTTAGGAATTGAATAGGATTTTGAGGTGCATCTTTGAGAGCATCCTGCAACATTCTGGCTGGAACTGAAAAGTTAATGGATTCGATATTTCAGGTTTCGTGTCATGGTTTTTGTGATGTCCGGGAAAAATTTAGTTTTTTAACCTTTGGAAAACAATTCGATTCAGATTTTGAAGAACATGGTAGGGCATAATTATGATTTGGCTGACGCTGAACCCCTGCACAGTCATTGGGTGGGCACGAAGTTTGGAACGGGACCTAGCCTATCTTGTGCAGAATTTTTAGCTGATTAAGAGGTACATTGTAGAATCTGCTAAACGACCTGCATAGAAAAGCTATGAGGGTTTAGAGTGTGAAAAGGGCCGAAAATGGCATACTTTTGGCACCTATAAAACCTAGCAGGATAAGTTTCCACGATAACAAGTTAGCACAATTCCGTGTCCCCCTAAAAACGTCTCCTCGCTAAATGCTATTAATATCCGCAAAAATGTTGTGTATTTCGTACATCACTGAAGTTATACAGTGCGTTTTGCTGTGGCTACAAGTTCTTGTGATAGGGATGTTTATTGCCATGACCTGAATGGATTCAAGCCTTGACGCAATAGTAGATGTATCCGGTGCCGTCGGTGGTGCCGAACACACAGCTAGAGCCGTTGGGGCACGCCAGGTCGGAGTCGGGAACTAAAGTAAAATTTTAGGAATCGCTTTAACACTTACTCTCCACGACATCAGCCTGGGGGATGACACCCTCGTAGCTGCTGGAGCAGATCGCAGATGACTAAAAATATGATGGGGTCGTACAAGCCTTGGTAGGTTACGTCAAAGCACAGGTCCTTGCCATCGACGTTACGGCAAAGGCAGTCATCGCAGTTTCGGGCATTGGCTGCTAAAGGAAATAATGGTATTAGGCCAAAAAACGTAATGACATTTAAGTCGATAACTTACCTCCCGCATTTCCCTCCTTATCGACTCCAGCCTCAAGCGGTGGGCAAAGCCCAGTTTGGAAGCCGGCTGCGTAGCTTCCATTCATACAATAATGCACGTATCCAGCTCCATCAGTCGATCCGAAGACGCAGTGACTGTCCGATGGACAGGTCAAGTCGCCACCAGGATCTGGAAGCATGGTTATTATGCCGCAAACGTTTTTTTACGTCCGGCAACAGCTGCCGCATCGAGGTTGGTCTTGTATTCGGTGGGACAAACGTCTCCCATCTTAATATGCTAATAAGGTCTGGACAGATATATACCTGGAAGCACATGTCACGTCCGTCGGTACTTCTGCAGGGTTGGATGTGAGGGGCCGGCATGGATAGCTGCCCCGAGAGAGGCATTCCGCGTGCTTCGGTAGCTCAATAGGGAGAGCATCGGACTCGAAAGCCGTAGGATGCGGGTTCGACCCCCGCCCGGAGCACTTGTTTTGCGGATTGGACCCGGAGCTAGGCCATGGCCATGGGACCCCAGAATTCCCAACTGGTGTCATCCGCAGGATCCACCCGGGCTCTGACAGATGGTACACAGTGTCTGATGACTGTGGGACCAGTCATCCCTGGGGGGTGGATGGTTGGATGTGAGGGGCCGGCATGGATAGCTGCCCCGAGAGAGGCATTCCGCGTGCTTCGGTAGCTCAATAGGGAGAGCATCGGACTCGAAAGCCGTAGGATGCGGGTTCGACCCCCGCCCGGAGCACTTGTTTTGCGGATTGGACCCGGAGCTAGGCCATGGCCATGGGACCCCAGAATTCCCAACTGCAGTACTGCGCGTCCGGGCAGATACCGTTGAAAGCGGCTGAAAAGTATCGTTTAGTTATACCTTACTCGACTTGCCACCGCCCCGCCATGCATTACGCGACATGGTTGCTCACACTTACGTCCAGTATATGCCGATTTGACCACGTAGGCTTCCAGGCCCGGGCAAATCGTGCTTGGCGCGGAGGTCGTAGCAACCGCAGGCCTGGACGTCACGCAAAGGTGCACGTAGCCGATTCCGTTAGTCGAGCCGAAGAGGCAGACAGTTGAAGCTGGACAGCTGTGGCTAGCATTGGGATCTGAAAAACTTTTATTAAAAGAGACGGTCCATAGAACTCACATCCAACCACCGTAGCCTGATCGATTACCACGTTGTCAAAGGTGGGGCAGACGGAGCTCATCTGAAAATTACTTGGTGATCTTATTGAGGTAAAAAACATACCGGGAAGCAAACATCATCGCCATTCACGTTCCGGCAGTAGCTTCCGGAGAAACATGTTCCGTCGAGAGCCGCTAGAATTCATAGCGTTAAAATGGATGTTGTCGAAGTTTTTGCTCACACCATCCCTTTAGAATCTTTTTTGCCACTTTGTGAGCTGTAGTCCCGAATCTGTATAAACCTACGTCCGTAATTCGTATTCAGATCGACGTCCGGTGCAACTGTTGGGCAGGATGCGGCCTGCGAAGCGGGTATAAGGTTATCAACTGAGGGAAGCGTCGCTAACCCATGTTTTCAGCTTACCACCACCGCCAAGCAAAAACCAAAGAAGCTGAGAAGACGGAACATCCCGAAATGTATTCTAGGCATCGTCAAACTTTGATTTTATACATATTCCCGAGTGCGCTTGGCCCCAACTGTGCATACAGGGCATGAGGCCAATATGACGAGGCCCACCTTGGTGCTCTCGTGCATCAATGACCGTTGCGCTGCAAAATTAGCGAGTGGGCGGGCGTACAAGACCTACAAGTACACGCGATCTGCAAGCGAGGACTTATTTTTCAACATTGCCCCGATTTTGCGTAGCTTTTGCCTGGCTTTTGGAGAACTTCAAGTGTTACGTCTTAGCTCGGGTTAGATGCGCAACAATTCCCTTTATCAAATTTATTAAATCGTATCAAAGCCTTTAGAGCTTGACGCAGAAATTTCCGGTGAAGCCGTTGGTGGTCTGGCCGCCGACGCAGCGGGTCGTAGCCGGGCATTCCAGGTTGTTGTCGGCGGCTGTAAGTACAAACGTATAAAAGTAAATCTGATGATTGAAAAATAACTAAAAGCTGGGTTATGGACTTACGCCCGACGACGGTGGATGGATCCAGAAGGCTGGTCAGTTCCGGGCAGATTTCGGCGCGCTAAAAACGGATGAGATTTGCTGTGGGATGCTTGAACCGAATAGTTATTAGGTTTCGAAAAGAGACAACTTAAGGTACGTCCTCTATTTTGCATGCTTACATCAATGCAGGCGTTGCTGCTTCCCAAATACGTAGTGATGTAGCGACAGAATCCGCGGGCGCAAGTCAGGTCGTCATGGGCGGCTAGAAACATGGTTTTATATTTTTCGAAATGGAATCAATAAACTATCGTGTTTTTAAGCTTCTGACGTTTTCAAGACTTTTAATTACTTACGAGCATACACCGTCGCCAAATTCTGCGGCGTGAACGGCGGGCAGTTGCCGTTCGTAGCCTAAACCATTTGACAATGGCGCATTTTTTGGAAGAAATATACCTCAGCAGCCGAGAGGGCAAGGAGAGCAATCAGGATGGCCTGCATTGTCAGTAGTGAATTGAGTACTACTGATCATCCCAACCACTTTTATAGTCTCGGAAATTCAAATTAGGTTCGGGCCGCCACGCACCGGTGGTCAATTTTTGGCCCTGGCGCCCACGGGTGGACAAACAGAAGTGGCTCGCATTTGATAGCATATGATAATTTTGGGGGCAGGCGTGGGCTGAATTAAAAATCGGAGCTGGGTATAATCTAGCGTTGGAAAGGTCAACTTCAAAATCGTCGTTTGGAAACGAAATCAGTACACGGTTGATAGCGCATCTTTTCACGGTGTGCTAAAGTCATCATACCTACTTCAATGTGTAAAAATTTAAAAACGCCTTAAATACGGCCAAGTCAAAAGTAATCGCGTGTAGTAAGCAAATTTCGGGAAAAACGCTACAAACGAGTCAACATCTCGAAAGCCAAAAACTCAAAAGGCCAAAATTCCGACTGCCAAAATCTCGTTCGTCATAATCCCGACAGCCAAAATCCCGAAGGCTCAATTTAAAAGGAATTGGCATTCAAAAGCGCCAAACAGATGTCGGCATTTTTCGTGTCGGGATTATGACGCCGAAGATTCGGTTATCAAAATTCTGGCTGGAACTACAAGATTTTTCCCTCTTACTTTTTCGTGATCGTAGTGTTTGTCGTAATTTCATCAGGCACGTCTTGTGATAACCCATAAAATATCGCACCTCCTGTCCCCATTTACGAGACCAAACTATCTATAGCGTCGGCTTTCACCCGTGTGATTACACCTAATCGTAACCATTAGCAACCAACGATCATTTTCTCGCCAAACTCGAACTAATCTGAACCGCACGTACAATGGCCCGCTATAGAACAATGCCCACCGCCAGCCGCAGTTCTTTTTGGTGTCCAATTTGTTGGCTTCCGCTTCATGTCGTTCCATTGTTGCGCATGTTTGCACAATTGCTTGTTTTCCGCCTGGTAACATGGCTATCGGGGTATATAAGGGAGCCCCCGGATTCAGATGGTATCCAACAGCCTCGAGCAGCTCCAGCAGCCCCCCAGCAGCAACCGGCAATTCAGAAGATGTGCTCCTTCCGTCTGCTCCTCGCCGCCGCCGCCACATGCGCCCTGATCCCGTCGTCGTTCGGGCAAACGTGTACACCCCTCACGTCACCTGGACGTACGTATTGTTTGAGAACCCATTAAACGGTTCTTTCACATTTTCAGGGGGGGAGGGGCGGAAAGAGCATTTCTCTTTCTTAGACTCTAATTTTGCAAATTTAATTAGTGGAAGTGCTTCGAAATCATATTTTGCTAATCCTAAGCGTGAAAACGGTGAAGTTTTTTTATTAAATAATCTAAAAATATCGATGTTCGATCAAAAAAGCACGGTTTTTACCAAAATTTCGACTTCTTTTACACATTTTTAAAGTCTTTATACAGTTGGCAATTTGAAATATGGTTATATATTACTAAAAACAATAACAAAAAACCCCGATAACGCGAAAGAACCCATAAAACTAACCAGAAAGCGTATCATCAACCGATTTCAGCCTGCATCACCGGCACCCTTGGAGGCGCGTGCGATGTCGGTACCGGCACTTGCGTGAACGGCCCGCCCGGCTCGGGACTTATCTGCTGCCCGCCCGGTTCCGTCATCGCCGCCACGTCCAGCTCATCTACGAGTACCACCACGACGCCGGGTACGTCTACAGCTTTCGAGATTTGCGTTTCCTCACGAGCACGCCTTTACGTATTTTTCCATTATTTTTTGCTTCAGCCTGCGTTGACAGGGTGAACTCCCGCACCGGTGTCTCCGATTGCCCTGCCCGTGTTGCCGCCGGATACTGCACTAGGTATACCTTAAAAGAGTCTTTGGTACAGGCTCTCTAGGAAGTACTACAAGACGCTGATGAAGCAGCAGTGCCGTCTGTCGTGCGGCTACTGCACCTCCACCTCCAGCTCGTCCAACTCTAGTAGGTTGCTTACGCGCATATTCTTATCGCCGACTGCAAGGTGAAAAATGTAAAGTAACGATGAGTCACACTTTTAGCCTGCGCTGACCTCACCAACCCTTCCACCGGAGTGTCCGACTGCACGAGGCTGTCCTACCTCTGCTCCGTCTCGGCCTACTCGAGCGTGATGGCCGTTCAGTGCCGCAGCACCTGCGGCTACTGCTAGACATGTAAATTCTGTAAAGGCTCTCCACAGCATGTATTCATGTCAAATAATGCTAAATAAACATTTTTAGAATGAGACTGGACCGGCAGACAAGCATGACAGGACATTTTTAGGATTATACGAGCGGACCGAACTTGGGCCATCGAGCACATCAAGCTTTTTTTATTTATTAGTTTTTAGAAAAGGTTTATTAGAACGATTAGAATATCGACGTCTAATTTAAAATCTTGGTTACTTTTGCTAACGACGACTTGACAGCAGCTTTCAAAAAGCGGCTGCCATCAGCTCGCGACCATTTCGTTCGTTTGGATAGTTGGAAAAGCATATTCCAAGCCCCGCGAACAAAGGGCCCGCAATGAGCACCCGCCCCAGGAAAGGGCAATTCTTTTTCAGCCCCGATTCAGGGCCTCGTTTAAAGTCGTTCCTTTGTTCGGGTTGTTTGCCTAATTGGAAATTTGCGCCCCAAAAGATGTGCGCCTACCGTCTGCTCCTCGCCGCCGCCATGTGCGTCCTCTTCACATCGTCGTGGGGGCAAACGTGCGCCGACGGCGCGACGACCGGCCGTGAGTTGCTTTTGGGAACCCGCCTCGAAGCACAGAATTGCTGCGCTGCGCCAGCGCGAATCAAATTCGATCATGGACAGTTACGGTAGAGCGAAACAACTCATCATTTTACGCTTTCGGGTTAGATAGACAATTCTAGAAAATTTTATCCAGCCAAGCGGTCGCTTTTCTTACCGAAAATTTCATTTCAAGTTTTACCTAAATTACTTTATTACAGCCTGTGGTGCCGGCCTGCCGCCGTGTGCTACTGGCACGACGTGTGTGGGCCCCTCGGATAACCAGTTATGCTGTCCCACTGGTTCTGTCATTCAGGCCACATCGACTACAGTTGCGAGAACGACGCGAAAAACAGGTAGGCAGCTTGTACACGCCTCAGCCCGAAAGCTACTGCCGCGCTCTGCCCCTCCAGAAACTCCCTTTTCAGCCTGCGTTGACAAGCTCAACCCGCGCACCGGTGTGTCGGATTGCCCGGCTCGTGCTGCCGCCGGTTATTGCACCAGGTATACACGAAAAAAATGGCTGTCATCACACATACCCCAGGAAGTACTACAAGTCGTTGATGAAGCAGCAGTGCCCGAAATCTTGCAACTTCTGCACCTCGAGCTCCAACAACTCTGGCTCCGGCTCTTGTAAGTTATCTTTTGCCGGACGCCTCTCCATGGCAATAGCTTGACCCGACCCCCCGTTTCTAGCCTGCGCCGATCTGACGAACCCGCGCACCGGAACGTCCGACTGCCCGAGGCTGTCCAACCTGTGCTCTAACTCCCTGTACCAGAGCATCATGGCCGTCCAGTGCCGCAAAACGTGCGGCCTTTGCTAGACATGTAAATTCTGTAAACGCCTTCTGACGCCTGTATACATGTCAGATAATGCCAAATAAATTATTTAACATAAAACTAGTCTAATTCTAAAAATCCAAACCCTGAATGCACCAGCAGGAACGCCGAATCCACACACAAATCCGCCTCCCAAAATAATGAGCTCGATCCACTTCCAAAAATTTGGTCGCAACCAAAAATGTTGCGCGCGCGGCGCCCGGGCCCGCCGCCCGAAAACAATAGCGCCAAATCCGTGCAAATATTCCAATGTTTCTGGTCGCCGCAAATTGCCGAGGAAAAAATTGGCGGCGCCTATTGTTGCAATGTTTATCCAGTGGTGGGGGATAACGCGCGAAACGGTGTGGTTGGCACCCTATAAAAGGTGCGGAATTCGGGGTTGAAGGCATCCAGTAGCAGCCTCCGGTCCTAAAGACCCAATTAGCCAACCAGCCAACCAACGACGAGAAGATGTGCTCCCTCGTGTTCGTCGTCGTCTCCACTATGGCCATCTTCCAGTCGGCACTGGCTCAAACTTGTTCCAGCTCGGAAGGACGTAGGTTTTAAGGATAATGGGTGCCTTCTTTCCTCCCATTTTTGACTTTCATGCATTTAAACGTAGCTTTTTTATTTTTGAAATAATTTTACATTTTGAATAGCTTTAAATAAAGACTTTAAATATCACCTAACAAGCGCATTCAGCCTGCTTCACAGCCGTCGGAACCACGTGCACCTTGAACAGCGGCGCGACGAATGGTGTCTGCACGAACAGCGCTGACGGCGTGGTCTGCTGCAACCCTACGCTTGTCGTTGCTGCCTCTACCACTGGAGCTACTACCACTACACCTGGTAGGCTTTTACGGTATAGTTAAAGTTAACTGCCAGCTACCTACCAGGTGCGGCTAAAAACGGTTCTTTTTAGCTTGTATCGACAAGACTAACCCGAGCACCGGTGTTTCCGACTGCGCAGCCCGTGTCGCCGCCGGATATTGCACCAGGTATTGATAATTATACAACTTCTTGACGCTGTCAATTAACTCTTGAACTCGAGATCAATTCATACGCCCTTCAGGAAGTACTACACCACCCTGATGAAGCAACAGTGCCGTAAGTCGTGCGGCTACTGCTCAAGCTCCAGCTCGACCAACTCCACTTCCAGTAAGCATTTAGGGGTCGGGTGCAACTCCTGATTAGTAACTTCGAAGGTTGGCATCATAACAATTTCCTTTTCAGCCTGTGCCGATCTCACCAACGCTCGCACCGGAACCTCCGACTGCCCCCGCCTCTCTTACCTGTGCTCCAACTCCCAGTACCAGAGCATCATGGCCGTCCAATGCCGCAAAACCTGCGGACTCTGCTAGATTTTGAATCCCGATTAGCAAGCCTCGGCCGCCAATTGTACATGAGTTAGAGCCGAATAAAATTTCTCATCTCAATCTTTTATTCATAGCACCCCATGAAAAGGCAAAACTGGCAAAACATATATTTTTTTTTTCAAAATTCCACACCTCAATCTTGATTCCGGGTGCACGGCAAATTGTAGTCAGCTAGGTTGAAATGATAGCCCGGGCGGCAAACACATTCTGGCCCCAGTATCATGTCGCCGATAAACACTTCTGGGCGCCAATACTTCGTCTGATCGTAAGAGCATGCTGAATTTTTAAGATTTCACAGATCGTCACAGACAGAAAGTTAATTTTTACAAGAAAACAGTCTAATTTTTAATTGGGTTGTTTTGGAGCACGCACCTACTTGTTGACGAAGCTTGTAGAGTTCAATATCCCGCGCGGTTAGCGCTGCAGCAGACGCTGACGCAAGAATAACTACCGTGCAGAGGAACAGGAACTTCATGGTGAAAATTGGTGGTTTAACGGCCGGATATGCTTTCCTGGTTATGATGCTCATTATATGGGCACAAGAGTTCCTAGAAAGGGATCGATTCCGCGTGCCATTTCTCTCAACTTCCCCCGACGCGTTGTCTTTTTGCTCCACGGCATGACCATTGCGGACAAGGGAAGATTGTGTAGTGATGGGTAATGTTTGACGATATTCTGATTTTTCATTGTGTAAAATATTCGATTCGATGAAAGATCCTTATAAAGCTGTATTTTTTAAACGAGTGAACTTATCAAAAGAATACATGACGAATTATCCAACAATTCGCAAGCAAGGCTTCTCCCAACCAGCCGGATTCTGACGGTATCCAGGTCTGCAGTAGCAATCAGCTCCAAAAACCATGTCCCCAATGACGGACTGCTGCTTCCAGAGCTTGGTACGATCGCGAGCACATTCTAAATATTTGGGTTAATCACGTAAAAAAGTTGCAACTCACCAGCTGGAGTGAACTGTGCATCAACTAGGAACAGCATTAAGCAAACGAAAAAGCCGAGCAGGAAAACTTTCATCGTGGTATTTGGCCAAAATCGGGCGCCGGATATTTATACCGATAAGCAGTGGCATGGTATTCAATCGGTACGCGGCTCCGCTCGATCCATCAACGATCATTACCGACAATGGAAAGACCGAGAAATGAAAGGGATCGAGCTGTTGCACCCTCAAAATCATCTCTGCTAGTTGGCTTAGCTATCCCACCGGTTTTCCCCGACACTGTTTTTGAGTTGGACTCATGTTTGTGATTTAGGGGTAAGGCAAGTTATGACTTGTATGATTCTATTAGACCGGCGTTTTTTTGATGTGCTACATTGAACGCCCCCATACATTTGCCCAGCACTCGGCGGCGGAGTTTCGGCTAACCAGGTTATAATAAATATTGGCTTTCTGAAAGTATAGTGAACTCGTGGTTTCTATATGAATATTGATCTCATGGAATCAACTACGATCACCGCTGTTGCGAACACCCACAAGAACGGAACCGTAAACGGTGCCGACGGAGAGACCTTATACTATTACGTCGACGCGTCCTTTCCTGAATCGGATTCCCCGTGCCGGAAAGGCTCTGGGGATTTGATGTATTCTGGGGAAGACGTGGCTTATCAGTGGAATTTTCTACCGGTTCGGCCGGAAACCAGAGATAGCTTTGACTCGTCGGTCATGGCGAGCTGCTTTTTGGTGGGTACAAATTATGCTAACGAAGTGGTAGACATTCTAGATCCCTGGAAATCAGCCGCAATGTAGATATTTTTTTCATATCGGTTTTACTGGGCTTTCCTTAGCAATGTTCTCAACTTATCTGGTCGCGAAAAGAAGCCCTGCCCATCGAATTGTAAAAGCAGCCCTCCTGCTCTCCAGTCTTTGCCGGTGCTACAGTAGTTGCGTCAAAATCTACGAAGCTGTCTGTATTTTTGAGTAAGCAAAGAAGGAATACAAATCTAGGAAATTCAGTTGGCGTTGTGTTAAAGACGGAAGCAACTTATTGTCGCCAATATTCTTTAACAGACTGGTAACCGCAATCGACCTCGGGTTATTCTATTCATTACACCTAATTTTACATGCTGTGGCGATGGATCGGTAGTTTTAGCTGATCCGTGCATCTAATAAAATCTAAGGTTTATCTTTGCGTTTTTTGGACACCAAGTTCATCGAATAATGAGTTCTTTGGTCATAGTGTATGCGGCTTTAATTTTTATCGCGCCAGTCGTTAGTTACTTGCTGTTGATGAGGAATTGTGAGTCATACGGGTGAAGTAAAATTATTTGAATGATTCTATTTTTTTAAACGAATTTCTTCAGTGCCCAACGACGATGGGTCATACCTTTGCTATGCCGGCTACTTTTTCTCACCCAACTATTATTTGATCAAGTATGATTACATATGGAGCACGTCGGCCAAGGAGCTTTGCGATACCGCAAATACCATGTGGTTTGGCTGTATTACCGTATCGACCATTACGAGTATGGGCACGTTTTGGCGTCTGAAACTTAAGGTAAGAAGCTTCATACCATAAGTTTTTATTTGCAATTTTTAGACCATAAAAGAAACCAATGAGTTGGAGGCAAAGAATGACTCGCTGCTGGTTTCTGCGGTAACTCATCAATCACCGAGAAAATCGCAACTTTTAGCTCGCTTTCGCCAGCCTCGCCTTTTTTACCGATTTTCTGGTGATATCAATTACCGACGACAACTGGAAATTGAATACCGTCATCGGCAATGTGGCCAATACTTTCAGAAAGTATATGAGCAATCTTATCGTCAGGCAGGCTGCTGACGCCATATGATTTTGTATATTTTAGCATCATCTTCATTTGCTACGGATCTGTTTGTCGGCCGCCGGTACCCGAAAAGAAAGTCCCAGTCATCACCGTGAAAGCACAGTCATGCGATTTTTGATCAATAAAAGTGTTTGCCGCAAATGTTCTCCTTGGGGAATCAGGTCCGCTCCGTTCGAGTTTGGCGGCGTTAATGCCGCAAAATGAATTGGTTGACCCACGCACGTTGCTTTATTTTTTGATTGCCGTCAGTGGCTCGCTGGTAATTCCCTCGCGATTCTAATTTTTCTTCCATCACGTTCCATGTCTTCCATTAAAAAATCCTTTGTGTTTCACAACATTCTAAAAAAACTGTGTTTTACTTCCTCTTATGTGTCTTTGCGAAAAGCTATATTTGGACCTGCTTGTGATTTAGATGAATCTAGCTGTCGAGAATGCTACGACAGGATTTTCGCTTCCCGTTGACAACATAAATAAAACAAAAATCATCGACATTGACGGAAACTATTTCGATTACTATGCAGGTGCTTCCGAGGCCGGCCCGGACCTGCCGGGCATCTATTGCTGGAAGGGAAATGGCGATTTGCGATATGTGTATCAGGATATTGTTGCGTATGAATGGAATGACATGCCAGTGCGGACGCCCGATAGTGGCGAATTTGACCCCTGGGTTGTGGCGACGTGTTTTGTGGTAGGCTTCAGAACCGATTTTTCACATGGCAGGCCGATATCATCGCGCGGCATTAGGTTTGAAAAAGGTTTGAAGGATATTGGCATATTTCGCAAAATATGAGACGACCGGGTTGACTGAGCCAAACTGAAAGCGTATGATACTAACAAAATTCAACGCCGTACCGTGAAGGAAGGAAACCTTTGATTAGAGCGCACGTTCAGGGAGGGGCCGTGTACTCCTCCCAACGTGTACACCCTATGGACGTTGCGGCGTGGGGTGCCCCTCACCACCTCGCCAGGTTGTAGCTGTGGCTGACTGGTATCCATCCGCGCCTCCCGAGCGGGGGCGGGTTCGACCCCCGGCCGCGGCAAAAATCTTTCCTTTTTTCCAAAAAAGTCCCTGAACGTGCCCTTTAAATGAACATAAAATCATATTCAGCTCGGCTTCGTCGGTATAGCGCTGGCTCTGCGATCCGCCTATCTTATCCATATCCGATGTCCACTATCAAGACCCATAAGGTTAAGCCTAATATTTTGCTGTTTTCTACGGCTCTACTTATCGTCCACACGAATCTATAATGCTGTTTGTATTCTCGAGTAAGCCAGATTGCTTGGTCATCCGCTCCCTCACAGTTGGCATTGCATCGACCCGGAGCCAAAGTCATTTTCCGGACTGTTTTTCAATCGGATAATCACCAGCTTTGATTTGGGCTTAATCTATTCAATGCATGGAATTTTCCATGCGGTCACGATCGATAGGTATATCATATGATCTAATCAACTTTTTTATCCCCCAGGATGTTGTTGATTTTCATGGGGAGGAAGCTGTATTCTTCTTTCCAAATAGTTCTATGGCCCTATGGTGCTGTGTTATTTTTACTGCCGATTGGCGCCCAGTTATCAATTATCGGGACGCGTAAGAAACAACGTTAGATGTTGTTGGCTACGATATTTTTTTAGTCGATTCACTTTCCAAAGACTTCCAATGCCAAGCGGGAGCCTATTTCAGCCCCTTTTTCTACGCGGCCAAAACTAGCTACTACTCTAGTGAATTCACCAGAGAGTTCCTGGATTGGACTCAAAAGATTTACTTCGGCATTTTTATTGTGACTATCGTCATAAGCTTAACAACTTTCTGGAAGTTGAAGATAAAAGTAAGCTACCACGGTCGGGAGATAGTTTTTAGATCATTCGAGGTGATGATGTGACGCATTCAACCGACAACTCCAGGTTAATCATTTCGGTAAGATCCACCGATCGCCAAGGCAAAGAAAATCTAGTTAATGTGCGTCAATATGACATGTTTTGTCGACTTGCTAATTGCCACCATCAATGATGACAATTGGAAGATGAACACCGTGCTAGGGAATGTCGCGAATACATTCAGAAATTACGCCAGTAATGCTGTCACCAGGTAAATTCGAACATCCGTTAAAGGCCTCTGGAAAGATGGGATTGGTCAAAAAGGAAGAAAACGTGCATCGGGCGGGGATCGAACCAGGGATGGTCCGCTCCGCAGTCCAACGCGCTACCCCCACACCAAAGGGTCGAGTCGGTTAGGGCCGCGGAGGGGCCCCAAGTACCCTAGGGCCGAACCGGTGCACGTTACTGGGCAACAATTCAAAATAAAGCTATTTGCGAATAATAATAACGAAAAAACCTATGGAAAAGCTTTCTAAGGGCAAGGAAAGTACTCCCTGGATTTCCTGAAGTGTTTTATACCCTTTCCGACGATTTTTGAACTAAAAAGCTCCCCAAAAACCTCTTTCCGCTTAGAACATGGCCGCCTTCTAACCAATCAGCCTCAAATTTTTATCACCGATGCGGATGGCTAAAAACTATTTTTATGGAAGTTTCCAGCCAAAAATATAGTCAATCAAAAAAGTTATGGCTATAAACCCGTTTTCTGGAAACCCAGTCGGGGGTTTTGGGGGCCCTTACGCGATGGAAAGTGTGCATGGTTTCGCCCCGTCGGTCCCTCACCCCTGGGGACGCCCGGCCATCTTTCCAAGGATCTTTAATGGCTCTAATATTTCAGCTTGGTCTTCATTATCTATGGGCGCATTGGTTCAAGAATTGGCCGAGATCCGGATTCGCTGATCGTCACCGTGAAATCGCGTGGCTCGTCATAGATGCGATGGAATATTTTCACAGCTGAAAATTCTCTGGTATTCGCAGAAAAAGGCTGATCATTGCACAACTCAAAATGTTGCCAGCGTGATGTCATGCCATAATAAAAAAATTTTTTGAGCACAATCAAATTCCCCGCTCAAACACTTTATTTTCTCGTGACAATTATGCGTGGGAGCTTGCGGGCGTCAGTTCGAGGCCTGGGATTTTTTCGATGTTAAAGGGCACGTTCAGGGACGTTTTTTTTGGAAAAAAGCAAAGGTTCTTGCCGCGGCCGGGGGTCGAACCCGGGCCCCCCGCTCGGGAGGCGCGGATGGATACCAGTCAGCCACAGCTACAACCTGGAAAGGGGGCGAGGGGCGCCCCACGGCGCAAAGGAGGGGAATGGCCTGTCACAGCACGGACAGGCCGTGTACGCGGTCCCTACGTCCATAGGGTGTACACGTTGCGACGAGTACACGGCCCCTCCCTGAACGTGCGCTTTAATGGCCTGATGTGCGAATTTGAAAAACAGATTGTTTCGGAGTTTGACGGGTTAGACTGGTTTATCTATCGCAAAGTTACTATCAAGACATAGGCCGTGCATTTGCTAGCTTCCAGGTTGTACACGAGCAGCCGTAAATACGGCAGGATTTCCGCCGGGAGCCTGAAATTTCTTAATTTTGCAATGACGGCACCATAAGAAATAAAATGGAACAGCACGTGCATGAGTAATGGTCGACTCACACATTCAGAAGCATAAAATACACTGGGAATAGCTGATAGGCAAGGGCAACAAATAGAAGGGCGACCACAAGTCGTTTTTCCAATGACATCTTGAAGGAAAATTTCTGAAAGTCGATTATTGTCAAATCAAATTTGAACCTGCCGGCGCTGGACTTGGCTGATCGGTTGAATAGAAGATGGAGTTTCGCTCAAATTTGTCAAAGTGGTTCCCGTTGTGGGTCCTGCAAATTTTGTTCAGCCGATTCTTGTACCGTTTTCTTTATTGGGACATTGCTTATTAGGACGTATTCCGATCCTCTTTGCTTCTTTTTAATGCTCAGACCTGCCAGTCGTTTGGTAGTTACAGGGGTGCGCGGTGCTCTTCTGCCAATTAACCGCATTTTGTATATCTTCCATATGATCAAAATATCAGCACTGATTAGCAGGGTATACATTATGATCTAAAATTTAACCCTAATGTTTCTGAATTGTGTTTTTTTATACCTTTAAAACCTGTCCAATCCCCTGGACCGTCCGCGCAAACTCGGCCTTGTCGGGCTTAGTGCCAACGTGGTAAGCTGGTATCAAATAAACATTACAATCACAAAGAGTTTGATATAGGGTGGTAAAAACTGGAATTTTTGCATAAGTCTGTGTAAGTCCGAACTGGAAAGTCAACTTACCGATACTTGCCATAATAGGAATAGAAACCAGAGAGATCGACTCCTTCCTCCCAAATTTTCGATAAATCGTAGCCGCAAAAATGGCCATCAAATGTAAAATTGGCAGTAGCCAGAAAGTGAATATTTGCAGGTAGTGACGAAAATTGATCCAATAGAAAATTACTGTTAGTGCAGTAGGGCCTAGAAAGCTCAGGTGAGCTTCGGATGAAAAAAATTACCATATGGTTCAGCGCCCAGAATTCTTGCCCAATAGTCGTGCACATTGAAAAAGACCAAATGTATCGCGTCCACAAGCAACAAGGCAAAATTGGCAAGCAGTACCGGGTTTTGATCCTTAAAGGGACGCGGAAGTGCCAAATCTAAGCCGTTTTGGCGGGGTCTTAGATTTCTGGCAAATTGCCAACGGCCACAGCACGTTGGTAAAAATCCAAGGAAGACTCACCTTCCATGGCTCGAGCCTCCGAATGCTGTAGCAAATTAAAAGTAGCAGTACGAATTGAAAAGCAAGGTTACCATAGTCGAAAGCCGTCAGCATTTTTAAAGCTAGTCTGTTGCGGTGGTTGGTTCGAGGGTGTGGAATTCGCGTGCGAGCTTGGCTTCATTGATCCCTAATTCCTGGGATTTTCCTGGGGTCGGCAGGTTGATCCTTGTAGATTGTGGATCGCTGCTCATTTTCTTTGACGAAAGCGTTCGTTTCACAAAAAAACCGTCACGCGCCGAACTTGGCGTGGGCGTAATGCGTGACGTTTGGGACGGGTATCGGAAAGTTCGAATGTTCAGTAAGGGACCCATAGTCCTTATACTTTTCCGTCAATTTCCAGGTGACTGGTATATCAGAGACATTCCTCCTACATAACACAATCCTTACATTACCTTCTTCGATGCCGTCGCCATCAATTTTTCTGCTCTCTTCACCCCCGGTACCACCCCCACAAAAGCGATAAGAACGTTTGACGTAGATGGCGGCTGCAATTCGCGGGGAAATCACCTGGCTCCAGGTTGTTGGACCACTTTTTCGATTAGTGTGTCATTGCGTTAGGTATCTGTTGATCGCTCAAGCCCAGGAATGACCAACGAACAGCCGTCAGGGGATGCCGGGGGCACCAGTTGTCCGTGGCAGGCTTTTTTGCAACCCGGGCCGAGTCCGTGGGCTTTTCTCGGTCTCACCGGCCCGGAAAAGGTTGATTGGTTTGGTCTCGTCTGGGCTTGCAGGCGGGCTTCGGCTATTTTGAGAGCGTTCTTTTTGTGTTTATTAGATCTTTAAGGCAAAATTGGAATGTTATCTTTAAAAATCGTAGTTTTTCAGGACGATGGCTGATTCCTACTTTGATAAACTCTTAATACTGAAAGTCTTGTGTTTTTTCTGAGTTTCGGACGCTAAAAACCTAAATTACTATGGTATTACCATACATTGATCTAAACCATTTATCGCTTACATATCCCCCTCATCGCCACACCCATTCAGCCCTTCTGGCCGAACAGGCCGTGGCACGTAAAAACAGCAAGGTGCCGGGAAGGGGGCCAAAGCGTCTATAGGAGTGGAACGTAGCGGGCGCCAAAAAGTTTAAGCTCTTATCACTTTTTCAAACCGACTTAATATTGAAAATCCAATATGAATTATTGCAGGGTAGAATTTTGCGGTTCGAATGATACCAAAGACAGCCAGTTAGCCCTCCGAAATACCACTTTTCACAAAGTCGCCAACCAAAACCGCCTTCGTTTCGATACTTTTTGAATTCAGTTTTCGTAGTGCTTGGTATCATTGGAATCGCCGAGACCCATTCTACAAAGTTGGAAATTATTTTTTAAGAGGCCATTTAGTTTTAAAGTTATAAGGCTACGAAGTTTTGGCTCCATACATTTTCTTGACGAATGGAGCGTCGCGTTGCTTACGCCCATATTGCCGCAAATTCTGTGCTCGGTGCACTTTTTTCCGACCTGTGATTTTTCATGCGAATTTTCTGATTACCATCCACACTACAACACCTGCGCTTTCCCAGAAATTCATCTCTTTTGTAAATTTTCTCAATCAAATGGCACGTCCTCCCCTTCCCGTAAAAACCACAGACAGACCATCAAGAAAAAACATTTTTTGTTTTTCGCTCTGTATTTTTGGATGGCTATCCGAAAATTCCCCGGGTATTTGGATGCCCTCAGCCCTTTTTCTTTCTTTTTCTCCCCACCAAAAAGCTTCCTCAATCAAGCACGAGAAGTCGGCGGCCCCGAGACAGTGTTCCGGGTTGACCGCTCGCTGGGAAATTGTTTTCGGGGTGCCCTACCCGCGGAACTTTGAATAAAGCGAACAAGCGGCTTTCCAAGGAACGCGAATTAGGGGGCCTTTGAGTGGAATAAGGAAAGTGCATTTTCTCGCGAAGGGAACTGCCTTGAAAATAATTAGGGGTCTTTCTAGTGTGGGCTTTGTAGTATCATTTCGATCATGGCATACCCTAACGAGATACCCGTTTTAGCTGAATTTTTAGGCGGATTAGAATCAACAATGGGTACGGATTTTTATGCTACCATATTTATCTTATATTTTTCTAAGCTTCTGAACGTTATTTTGCAAGTTTAAGAAAGCTTCTCATGCAAATTTTCGCAGTTTATGATTTTTCTTTGGATAAGCGTCATCCGGTGTTTTTAAAACTATCCCCTTCTATTTTTTGAATTTCGAATTTTATGGGTTTTCGTAACTTGTCGAATCTGATTCCTCGCTTCCGCTTTTTTAAAATTCATCAGACTACTGCTCTGATCCGGCGTTTTTGTTGATTCTATCGCACGCGTCTCGATCACGGTCTGGACCGGTGGGAAAAGCTCAAAAACTGAGAAATCTAACACCACCCCTACCGTTTTATCAGCACCGGTTTGACTCGGAAAATATAAAAGCCCGGGAGGGAGTTTTCCTTGATGGAAAAATTGAGATTCCAAGGCGTTCCTGCCGTTTTCAGGCAAAAAATGGAAGCTCTAAGACTTCGAAGACATTTTTTCATGCTTTCTTCTGCCCCAGAAGCTTCTAGCAACTAAAATTTCCGTTCTCTAGTTTTCTACAACTTTCTGGAAAAAGGACGGCCTCTAGAATAAGCCGCTCCGCAAACGTTCAACCCAGATCAAGGCCAGCCGGCCGGCGGTAAACAAAAACTTTTCAAAGGCCTCAAAACGATTTTCTCTACATTTTTGTCGCCCATTTTCTTAGGGTCCAGGCATTCTTCGGTCAGCAACCTTCGCCTTTGTTTTAGTTTTTCGGCCATTCGCCATCTGAAGGAACCTCCCGGGGAAAACATGACCAATTCCACGCCCCAATGGGCCCCTTCCCAGATTCCACCGCCAACGACCCGAAATAGCTTTCAAGGTGCCTAGAAAACATCCCGGGTTCACGTCAGCGTATTCCCAGGCCAAAGCACCTAGCAATAATACGCCATTTTCCCAGACGGGAATTTGCATGGCTGGGTTTCGCCGGGTGGCGTCATTTTGGGCCGTGTATTTGGGGTCAAGACTAATAAAAACTTTAAAATTTGTATATTTGTTTCAGCTGGGTTTTCTTAAATGGACGGCCATACGGGGGTACCTTACTTCCCCGCCCCGCCGGAATTTTTTGGCTAAAACTTTTTCATTTCACATTATTTTAGGCTGAAATTAAAACTCCTAGTATATTTTTCGACGCTCTATCGAATGGCATTGCAACAACCCCACAAAATAAGCGAAAATACCGAAAACTTCGAGACCCATCGGCTATGGGGAGACCCTCGATTTGGCCGCGACGGCGATTCAATTTTTCGTAAAAATATTTTGCTGATTTATCAAAATAAGCAAAAATCCTCTAACGCTGTTTCGAATTGAATTATCATTTTCGGAATGCAAAATCGGGTAAAAATTATTTATTCCGCGGAGTTTCTAGTTTTTTTTTCTGGCTAATTTTCATCAATTTCGATCTCTGTTTGAATGATGCGCAAAACGCTCACTTTTTTGATCTCTAACCATTACGCTCGCACTCCTTATTAGACCTCAGAGTCCACCCGAGACACTCTTTCACACGCAGAACGGCACGCATTATGCGTGTCTTTGACGGGGGTTGTTCGTCGGTTCTTCGGGCTCTTCGCTTATTGTTATTCACCGGGTCCGGCTCTCCGTTTGTGGTCCAGACATCACACCTGTCTGACCTATAAATCGAATTCCCAGCATTTCAGACGCCGCCCAGTCCTATTGATATTCTGTTGAAATGGCGATGAGCGCGGTCCAGATTGAGAGGCGCCACAATCCGTATCGTCCGATGATGGCAGAGCAGGAGGAATATAAGGTTAGTTACGGTTTTTTCGGGATTATGGGCATGTTATAAATATTTATCAAAATCTTCGATATAATGACTAAGGCCTTTTAATGCTAGGAATGTTTGGAAAAGGGATTGTTACTAGGCGTTGTGACCATTCATCGCATTCTAAAATATATTTCCAATTTTGATATTGTTAAGATACGAATGTACTCAATTGGAGCTCAAACTACATAACTATTCATGAAATAAACTCCCGACCCAGGCATTGTGAAATTGCTAAAGTCTGTGTATACATCCGGACAATTCCTTACTGGTCAAGGTATCTACTTTCTGATAAATACATATGGTCCAAATGTGGGAAGGAAAATTTATTACTATTGCATACTGTTGTATTCGACTCAGAAAACTTGTAATTTATGACAAAGCCTGGGAAATTTCGACGTTTTTGACTTTCGCTGCAATTCTAAACCTGAACTTGACTTCGCACCACCAGGCATGAAATCCAGCCTCGCTTTCGACGCCCATTCAAGTGCTTTTCCAATCCTACACGCCCCGATGACCATTCGATCGCTCACCGAGCGGTGGTCGGCGTCTTGGAGCCCATTTTTCGTTGACATTCCCGCCATTTCAAACACCCCTTTTCCCACACGGCCATTTGCAAAAGAACACCTTTCACCACCACGTCGACACCTTCAACGACGGCGGTCGGGCTCAAATTTCCGCTTCCATCCTCTTCACGAACCATTGAAAAGACCAATTCCAGCGTGATAAGGGTTACTTGAAGGAGCGTGAGGGTTTGGTTCTTTGGCCTCGGGTTCCTTCCTTTGTCTGGAATGGAAAAGCGAAAAATTGAGGAACTCCCGGGTTCTGAAATTAGGTTTGTATTCAGTGGCTCGGGGGCTAGACAGTTGGTTGAAAGGGGTTTCAATCGGTTGACACCTGTGAAGGGAGTTGAGTCATAAAAACGGGAAATAAGTTGAAATATGGGTTACTCGTTAAGAACCATTGGCTGTCGCTCTCTCTCTCCCCTCTCCTCTCTCTCTCTCTTTCTCTCTCTCTCTCTCTCTCTCTCTCTTTCTCTCTACTCTCCCTATCTCGCCCGATCTCGCCCTATCTCTCTCGCTATTTCTACATCCCCTACAAGTACTGATCACAACTATGACTGCTAATCAAATTCCACTCCAC